CCCCCCCGCCCCCCGCCCCTCAGGCGACCGGATTTGTCTTCTAACCTAGGATTCTACAGATACACCGACTTGCAGCCGGTGGGAATGGGCGCCTTTGGTCTTGTCTGGTATGGCCAACAACCCCTCTCTTACTTGTTGCCGCGACGTCCATGGCGTCTGCAGTCCAACCTACCGATCATTCCACTGACATGCGCTCCCCGGATTTGATCAGTTCGGCGCGGGATCAATTGACCGGGCAACCAGTCGCCGTCAAGAAAATCATGAAACCCTTCAGTACACCTGTTTTGTCCAAGAGAACCTACCGCGAATTAAAACTGTTGAAACACCTGCGACACGAAAATGTTGGTTCATGTCGCTTCATGGCGATTCGTCGCCCCGCCGTGCCCAGAGCGTTGACAATTTGCAGATTATTAGTCTGAGCGACATCTTCATCTCCCCGCTTGAGGATATGTATGCATTCGTCATCTTTGCCAATCGTCTCTTGCGACCGGTTCAGTTCTAACATGATACCACAGCTATTTCGTCACAGAGCTTCTCGGCACCGATCTGCACAGACTGTTAACTTCGCGGCCTCTGGAGAAGCAGTTCATCCAATATTTCCTTTATCAGATTCTGGTACGTTGCCAGAGCCGGTCCCTGTCGTCTCTTCCCGGAGCGGCTCCCTTGCGGCGGTCGCTAATGGTCTATAGCGGGGTCTGAAATATGTCCACTCAGCCGGCGTCGTCCATCGTGATCTTAAGCCCAGCAACATCCTCATCAACGAAAACTGCGACTTGAAAATCTGCGATTTCGGTCTTGCCCGCATCCAGGATCCCCAGATGACCGGCTACGTGTCGACTCGCTATTACCGCGCGCCCGAGATTATGCTCACTTGGCAGAAGTACGATGTGGAGGTAGACATTTGGAGCGCAGCATGCATTTTCGCCGAGATGCTGGAAGGAAAGCCTCTATTCCCTGGAAAGGATCACGTCAATCAGTTCTCGATCATCACAGAGCTTCTTGGAACTCCCCCAGATGATGTGATTCAGACAATTTGCAGCGAGAATGTGGGTGCCTTCCTCCATGAAACCTCAAATCCGGAGATAACCTATTGACGCATCGATCAGACTCTGCGATTCGTCAAGTCGCTGCCCAAGCGTGAGCGCCAACCTCTTGCCACCAAGTTCAAGAATGCGGACCCCGATGGTACGTACTCCCTAGTCGAGACCGGAGGAAGGCGAGAGCCAGGCTGACATTAATTAGCGGTCGATCTCTTGGAGAAAATGCTTGTCTTCGACCCGAAGAAGCGAATCCGCGCTGGCGAAGCCCTTGCACACGAATATCTCGCCCCCTATCACGACCCCTCCGATGAACCTGAGGCCGAGGAGAAGTTCGACTGGTCATTCAACGATGCCGACCTCCCTGTGGACACATGGAAGATCATGATGTGGGTTTTTACTGGTTGGGCACTCTGCGAAGAAACGACAATGCTGACAATAACGCAGGTATTCGGAGATTCTTGACTTCCACAACATCGACCAAGGCAACGACGCTGGCCAGGTGCTTGTCGAGGGGGCTGCGGCCGGGCAACAGAGCTTTGCATGAGGAGAGGTTCCCGTCTAAAAACCACCCTTGACGAGGCGCATGCAATATGATAATGATGTCCTTTTTCATTTTTCTTTTCCAAGTTCTCATGGTATGTAGACTGGATGCGGGAATTGTGATCTGCACGTTCGCGTACTTATGCTCTGGCTGCTACATCGCTTGTTTCCTATTCTTATGCCCCTTATTTGTTTCTTGATGATCTCCAGGCTGTTAAGAGTCCGGATAATTTGGAGATTAGAAACGTCTGTAACATGACCCAACCGCTTGGTTTCTTCCCCTTTCTTTTTCATTCTGCTATACATACACTTTACATATCAGCTTCATGATTGATGGAACCGGTTTTGTCTTGGTTTTTTTTCCCGTTCACCAGGGTGATGGAATGTTGTTTTACGAGGTGTGCTTGATAGACATTGCTTGATATGGGAGCAGGTTCCTTAATGGATGATTCAGTTACGGGTTACTTGAAGACATGGAAAAGATCTCATAAGAGTGTTTTGTGTGTTGTATGTAGAGGGAGTGTGAGTACTCAGACTACTTCGTAGACAGAGAGTCGGAAGACTAGAACCTTAATGTTTATTTCCTTCGAGGGCGGGGATTCCATCGGGGATTCCATCCATGCTCCATCACCGCTCGCCGTCACCGCCCGCCCGCCGAGGAGGGGAGGGAAACTCGTCAGGATTCTGGATCCGAACCTCCTTTCCCTGGTCGGCTTTTCCCCCATTGTTGAGCTATTTACTAGTTAGTTTTTGCTACTGGACGTTTTTGTTTAAGTTATTATTGACTCAGTGGCACCCATTCTATTCTAATTTCTTTCACCTCAAGTGCCCTGGGAGGGTCTTTCTTTTGAAAGGAGGAAACTGGCTTGGAACGTGTCACTTCCTCGGCTTGTTCAATAGTTCCCCCCCGCCGCCATGTCTCACGTTCACCCCCGTCAGGGTCCCATTGTGATGGTCATAGATTTTCACCATGCAAGGTAAGTACATATACGCAAGAGAGAGCACAGGCAAGAAAACGACACTGAGGCTTTCTTTCCCTTCAATGCGGCGGCGAGACCGACCGATCAAGAACAAGCATGTCGGAAACATTCCTCCGAGTGCGCTTTCCCTTTGCGCTTCTGCTGGGCGCAATCCGCATTGAACCCCTATCTCTCACCCTTCCTCCTTTATCATAACACAGGAATGACAAGCTGAATTTGTACTTCTTTTCCCTTTATTTAGAGGCCCTGAAATCGAGTTATGCTTCGGAGACGATGGAGGCGATCCGGCTGCGGAGAACGACTGGTCCTTGTTGCCATTTATGGCCTTATCTGACGGCGCGCATCTGTACGACTCAAGCCTATGCCCCCTTCCTATACATGGATTTCCGCACGGAATGCGCAGTTGAGCTCATACGTATTTTCCACCAGGTCCACCGAAGAGTTCTCATATTTCACCGTCCGCCGGAAGGAGACCCCGTCGCAGCCTGCCACCTCCCTGTTCGGCATCTCCTGTTCTCGACAGATCGACTCCAACATCCTCCTCTACCGACCACCAGACGTGACAAGATCGACGGTGCAGAAGGCGGTGGTCGTGATAACGGACAGCCCCCAGAGGCTGGGACAGCTAAGGGAGAAGCTCTCCATTGTCACGTCGGCCTGGTTTGCGCAACGGTATGTCAAGCAATGCGGTTCAGCGCTCGTCCGTCGTTCGACCGCGATTTGAAGGTCTTGGTGGTGAAATGCTCGCTGACCCAATCAACAGCGATTTTTCGGACTCGGATATTTTGAAAGTATATTCTCGTTTGAGTGAGTCCAACGTTACCTTACTGACAATGACGTTCAGAAATTTCGGGAAGGCCTGGTCATCAGCTTGAAGAAAGATGAGGACACGAAGGATCACAATTTGGGTAAGACAGTCGATGTCTAATATATGGATAACCCGGGCTTACCAAAGCGCGAAGGGCTCTCCCTGCGGGAAATGATCCATGAGTTCAAATACCAGACTTTGGTTCTGTTCAAAGCCTTGCTTCTGCAACCAAAGGTATGCTCTCGCCACCCCAAAAGAAGTACTCCACTCACCAGGAATAGATGCTATTCTTTGGCACGAAGTGTGAACGACTGTGCATGATCCAATTTTCTCTGGTCTCCCTGATACCGGGTCTCATGAACCGCTTGGAAGACTCTGCCGACCCAGCGTTTGACACCTATGCGCAAACAGTAGAAAAGCCGACATCCCTGAAGACAAGTGACAGAAACTCCTGTATGCTACCATCCCCGGCCTTTGTGACTCATGCTAACACCTGCAGTACTGGCATACATGGGCTTGCCGTTGCAAATATTTGGCAAGGTGCGTATCTACTCGGTCGGTTATCTTCGAAGACCTAACAGCTCGTAGGGAAGCATGTTTGGCCCTTACACTCCGCTACAGCAGCTGGACTTGCTGGCAGATCATGGAACCAAATCATATGTCGTGGGATCTACAAATTCTTTATTGCTGCAGCAGAAGGATCGCTACAGCGATATATTGGTCAACGTGAGGATATCGCAGCATAATCTACAGTTTAGGTGCTAATCATAGGCACAGCTTGATGAGGACACTCTCACCATAAATTCTCCGTCTCTCCGAAATGCATTGGCCCTCTCTGTTGCGGATAGGCGTTGGATTGACCTCCTCACTCAGATCATCAATGAAACCTGGGATGATGCGCATCCCCAACAGCCGAAGACTCACGGCTACATGGGCTCGGAAGAGTTCATCAGGCTCCAATTTGAAGAGTACCTGTTGGCGCTGCTCGCTTGCATGCAATACCACGAGGAGCTTAGTTCGTCGACGACTGGTGAACCAGGTGGGCGAAGCCGGGCCCAACTGGAAGCGTACAACATCGAGGGCGACCCCGCCTTGGAATTCAACGCTGAATTCTTGGCACAGTGGAGAAATACACCCAACTATGCATTGTTCAAACGTCTCACCTCTGATGCACTATTATTCTCGATTGTTGAACCTCGCCACCCGTGCGCAGGGGGTCTGACAATCGATGATGTTCAACGGCGTGTAACCCAGCAAGTCGCGGAGCTGCATTTAGACGAGCGCGTGCGAGAAGGCCGTGAGGCTCTGAACCGGCATTTATCGACGGGTCAGAGAAAAGTAAGTGCGGCCTTCAACAGCTTCTGGGCAGATGTCGAATCGATGCGGGAGGCCCAGCGGAAGAAGAATGAAGAGAAAACAACACCTTCACAGCGGTCATCACTGGACAGAGGATCCCGAAACTCGCCTCCGTTCTCACCTTCCGATACAGCATCAGTTCATTCAACCGGAGGGTCTTCGTGGCTTGCTGGACGTAAGGCCCCCGCGGTGGATATAACACAAGCACAGGCTTCCGTTAGCGCTGTGAGCCAGAAGGCTGGCGCGTATCTCAGCTCTTGGGGCTCATGGGCTAGCGAGAAACGGAAAGAATGGCAGGAGAAAAAGACCACGCCCACGTCGCCCATTACATCTTCGCCCTCTGTTCCCACATTGAGCAGCAGCACCGAAGCCAGCGAAGCCGACCGAGACAGACTCTCCATGCAGTCGCGTCGGAGTGAGGACTTTTCTACGCTGTCCCGAAGCGGGAGTAGGAGGAAGCGGTGGAGTAATATACTGCTCCGGCGCGAAAGTGGCGAGTTCAGTCGCAAGGATGAAACGACAGGTGACAGTGACGAGCAAGAAGCTACGTACCCAAAGTCACCCCTGTCGCAAGAGGCCCCAGCTCTTGGTGAGGGGGCTCATAGCGAAACAACAGCTAGTCGGTCGGAGTACACAACTCCACACCAAGCCGACAACCAGGAGAATGAAGAGCACGCCCTCGTCGAGAACAGGTTGCCTACGGCCATTGTAACCCGAAAAGAAACCCCATCGCAAGATTCTCCGACTCTCGGTGCTGGGGCCGACGGCGAGGCAACGGCTGGTCAGTCGGAGCATACGACCCAGCCCAAGGCTGACAATCAGGAGAATGGAAAGCCTGCTGCCATTGATAACACCTTGCTTGCGGCAACCGAGAACCGGCAAGAATCCCCGTCGACGCCGTGTAGCATTAAAGAACTACCTCCGAACACTTCCAATATACCCACCGAGAAAGCAAGCGAACCATGACCACTTCCGCATGGCACATGGCCATGAGTTTGATTTCAGCCGAACCTTCTTCATGTCTTATTAATATCCCCCGGTCTGAATATGTGTGAGTATATAGGGACTCCTTAATATCTTGTTCACCATCATGTCATTATATACATATTTTGCCGGTTGTGCTGTCAGCCTGGATGAAGATCGAGGACGACACAATGGATGTATTTTGTATTCTCCCGATATTATTCTAAGCGCACCCTCATGAACACTAATGTGAGATTAAGCATGATCAGAACTTGGTCTTCTAACTTTTTCGAGACATCACGAGGGAGCAACACAGAAGCTTGGTCACGTTACACAGATTCGCAGATAGCCAATTTGGTATTCCGAACACGTATGGAAGGACCTCGTCTGTCTCTACCTTACACCAATCTACCTACATTGTCTGTCACCTTGGCTCGCATGAGGTTGCTCAACACTTGGCGATTCATACTGATAAAGATCAAGATATTAGAGAGCAGGAGAAGACTCAAATGTCCCTGCGAGGATTTGCTCCTCTACAAGCTGTAAGACGGGCTGACCAAGGTTGTTGAGCCGTTTTAAGCCACGCATCGCCTCCGTGATGTCCTGCAACGGCTTCATGACCGGATCTCCAGGCTTGTGAGATAGAACCAAGAACTCGACGCATAGCGACAAAGGAATCATCGTCAGAGGATGAACCTGCACAGTCAGCGCTGCAAAAGCCAAAGGACGATAGGCCTCACCTTCAAGGAGTTCAATGTGCACAGCCAATTCGTAAAATCGACGATATCCTGCACCGCTGCCGAAGCTCGCTTCTTATATTCCCTCAACAAGTCATCCTCGCCGTCTCGCGGGAGGACCTCGCAAATCATAGTCTGACAAAGATGGAGGATCATTGCTCGCCACATCAGGTTGATAACAACAACATGGGATCCGCTTGTGGCACGTCACCGGGGTACCGGGCCTTCAAACACGGAGGGGCAGTTGGGTGGACGAATTGCGATGCTCCTCAACTGAGACACTGGTCGAATTAGACTCTGCCTGGGTTGAGAATGATACGAGGTGCAATTACTCCCTTCTGACGCCTGAAGGAGTCTGACAGCTGCGTTGTGCGTGTGAGCCATCAACGGGGTGCCAAACCTGACAGCCGACTGCCCTGTTTACTGGGCCCAAATTAGGTTACGGTTGTTGGGGTTGAGTGTGGGGAGAAAGTGAAGATAGCCTCTATCGGTATATCAGAAATGCCAGCTGCACCAACGCCACTTCCGTAAGGACCGTATATGGGAGGATTGCGCGCAAACCATGACAGCCCGCGCGCTTTCCCTTTCGGATGGCCATCTCAACGTCTCGTGGATGATTTGGCCGGAGTCAGGCCGGCTATTTCCAGCTTAATCACACACCACACACGCAGACCCGAGGCCTTCATAAGCTTATGGGTTGGGCTTGGCGATAGCTGACTGCCAGCTGTTGGACCCTTGACAGGATTCTGCAGTGCTAATGCAGTGCCAGCTTAAGTCCTGGTGCTGAATATGACAGGAGCTTGTTCGGAATCACTGCTAAGAACCGGCGAGCGAAATCTGCACCATGTTCCACGGAACTGGAGGCAGCAGTGTCCCCAGTCCTGACCGTCAAGGATTGCTGCCTTCGCCTATGCGACCTCGGTTTGAGTAGCGTGGTGATGGAGAGAGGGCGTTTTCTGGTTTGGACAGGGTGCCTACACGTGCTCTTGCCTAACACAGAGATTGGGACTGAGATCTGTAGATCTACCAGTTTCTGAAATTGACTGCATTTTACGACTGGCCTGCTAGTGACGGGCTGCAAGAACGTTAAACTTCCGTTCAAGGCCTGTTGGGCGCCAAGTCTGATCTAAACGCATACGACGTCGCGGTCTTGGGCGGGCCGAACACTTCAATGGTGCTGCTAGCTAATGATTGCTTCTGTTGATGTGGCTCTGGTCTCAGAGACTTTGCAGCCCAAGGACGACAGACAATACGAATACAGTGACCAATCCTGGGGATCGCGGTTCCAACTGCAAGGGTGGAGGATATCTGGGCAAATGGCAAAGCCGATCGGATACGAAACATCTCGGAAATACATGAAACCAGGCTGGATCAGGGTTACACCAACCCGGCAGGCCCTCACAGCACCACGACCACCTTCTGCGCCGAAGTGCCCTGGGCCTGTCGATCGACCGCTGGCTGGATACTGTGCAGACCTTGGCCGGCCACCAGAGGCTCCGGGGCGGGGATGAAGGACTTCGCTTCCAGCGCGCGGGGGAGGAAATCCTCGTAGATGGCTTTGCCGACCTCGTTATCCTTGAGCGTCGTACCGAACACACTCTTGACTGTGACTCCTTCCGGAGGCTGAAATCCGCCCTTGACGGTGACGATGAATTTCGAACCCTGCGATCTGTTGACGACTGCCGCGGTCAGCGGGGTCGCGGCGAAACCAATACAGTCCATGGCGCCGGCCAGGGTCTTCCCTTCCAGTGCCGTAGCGAGATCGTCTACGACGGTGGGACTGTTATAGTCGAAGACGCTGCTGGCGCCGAGGCGCTTGACATAGTCGAAGTTCCGGGGGGAGGCGGTGGTGACGACCTCGTATCCGGCGGCGACGGCGAGCTGGATGGCATTGCTACCCACGCTGCCGGCGCCGCCCCAGACCAGCAGCGTTTCCCCGGTGGCCGGGCGACGCGGCTCCGAGGGATATTGCAGGGCCAGGTGGCTGGGCTGGAACAGGCCGCAGGCGGCGGTGGACAGGCCCAGGGGGAGCACGGCGGCGGCCTCGTATGCGATGGCGTCGGGCAGCTCGCAGACCATGTTGGTCTGGAGGATGGTGTAGGCCTGGAAGGCATTGTCTTGGTTGCGCTTGGTGGCCATGCCCACCGCGTGTCCCACCACCCGTGCGCCCACCCGGAACCGAGTCACCTTCGGTCCGAGCTGGACAACTTCCCCGGCCACGTCCTGCCCCAGGATCGTGGGGTACTCCATGGGCCACCAGGCTTTGGTCTGGAGACTCCCGTCCACGGGGTTGACCGCCACGGCGTGGTTTCGGATCAGGATCTCGTTCTCGGCGGGTTCCCAGAGGGGCGCCTCTTTGACTTGGAAGGGGTGGGCTTTAGGTTCGGGCAGCCAGGCGGCAGCGTTGGAGGACATTTTGTTGTGGAGGTGGATGATACGTTGGAGTAGTGAGGAAAGGTGATATGAGAGGTAAATTGGATGTAACGGATGGCTCCCTTGAGGCATGAGGATTCCATGTGAGGAGTCATTTTATAGTGGTAGACTGGTGGGTATTGACTAAATCCGAAGATCCGAGATGCCGTAGATAACGCGGTGTATTGCCTATCTCCGATGAAGAGTGGAGTCGGACAAAACTAAGCATGTAGTACAGGACTAGACCGAGTTAGTGGGGCTATTAACTCCTTCTGTCTAATATCACTCGGGTCAACTTCGTATCCTGAAACTGGGAGGGATGCTTATGCAGTGACATCTTCATTACAAGAGTCTACAGATACTACGGAGACACACGCAGTTATACCCTACCCTGTCAGACATCGCATTCACCTGATCAGTAAACTCCCCTTCCTCAATGAACCTACACAATGTCAAGTGTGAAGAGGAACATTCAGCAAAACCCTCACAGGAACAACCTCCACAGCCTCCAAATCCCACATCCCAAGCACCGCATACGGATCCGCCCGCCCCATCGCCCATACCTCCTCCTCCGACGCCGCGTGCACCAGATGAATGCTGCCGATGATTTTCGAGAGGTTTAGTTCGTTGTCGTCCTCGTTGTTGCTGTCTGGGTTCTTTGTTTGGGTGTTGTCGTGTGACGACAGCATCGGTCCCCCGAAGCCGATCTCCCCTGATGCGAAGTACGGGGCGTTGTGCGCTAAGTGGTTTTCGCGGTTTTCCAGGCGGGTTGTGATGGTAGTTGGGTGGGGGTTGTCGGGGAGGAGGAGGAGGTAGGATTTCTCTGTCTTCTTCTGTTTCTCTTTGGTGTCTTGTTGTTGGGGGGGGGGGGGGGGGGCGCGCATTCTGGTTGAGCTTGTTTCTTTGGGGCTTGAGTGTGGTGTTGATACGGGGGTATTCGGGGTAAGTATGAGATAATCGGGTTGAATTGGGGGTTCTTGGATGTATAGTGGTGAGCTTGAGGGTGATGAGTCTGGTTGAAGTGGATGGGTTTATAAAAGGCCCGAGAGTAACTGGGAGATACTCGGTGGAGATACAGAACTGGGGGTTTTCCCCGGGGTATCATACGGAGTTGTGTTTCTCATTCAGTGAGTTTCAGTTTGTGTGTTTGTTTGTTGTCAGGCGGAGATACGTTGGGTGTCGATGGTATAGACCCTGGTGTACTGGAGTAAATATCTAGCCGCGTCTTATTGTATATAGAGTTCTAGCTTAGCTAGCAGGATACTAATAAACTATGAACTACCTTACCACACTACAGCAACAGCAACAACAACAATGGCACCACCACAATGTCCCCCACCGTCGACATCGGCGCCTGGCTCTCCCCCGATGCCTCGTCCGCCGCCCGCCAGCACGTCGTCGACGCCATGCGCGACGCCTACACCACCTACGGCTTCTTCAACCTCGTCGGCCACGGCGTCTCCCCAGCCCAGCGCGAGCAGTCCCTCAACTGCGCCAAGCTATTCTTCACCCTGTCCGAGGACGAGAAGATGAAGGTGTGGATCGGCAAGTCGCACGGCCGCTCGTTCCGGGGCTACGAGCCACCAGGCATCCAGCCACATCAGGAGGGACTGTTGCCAGATACCAAAGAAGTGAATCCTACCTCCTCTCTTCCGTGCTACCCTAAACTCTGGACCTGCACACTAACGAATCTACCGGAGTGATAGTGCTTCATCATCGGCCACGAAGTGTCCCTCTCCGACCCAGAAAGCGGCACCTTCTCGACAGGCCCGAACCTGTGGCCCGCCGCCCTGCCAGACGAGCACTTCCGCACGCCAATCATGCAATACCAAGCCACGATGGTGGTCCTCGTGCAGACGCTGCTCAAGATCCTCGCGCGCGGGTTACCTCGCGAATGGAACTGTGGACCCGATGTGCTGGACGCGCTGGCGCAGAACCGCCCCTCGATCCAATGCGCTTGCTGCATTACGCGCCGCAGGCTGTCAGAGATGAGCGGCAGTTTGGCGGTAACCTTTTCCCTCTCGCTTTCCCCACTCCCCTTCCATGACTTTCCCTTGGCCGGGTACGGGAGTATGCTAACAGAAACAGTGGGCGACCACACGGACGTCGGCTGCCTCACGATCCTGCTGCAGGAGCTGGGCACCGCCAGCCTGGAGGTGTGGTACCCGCCGACGGTGCAAGACTGCCGGTGCCGACAATCTTGGGGAATTCTGGGAGCTGCTTTGCGCAGGGAAATCCCAGCACAAGGAAGTTCCCAAGGAGCGCTTCGGTTTTGAAACCGTCTTTCGCGACGCCGATCCCAAGCGCAAATGGTATGGCAACTTCATCAACGGTCATGACGAGTTTGACCACAAGTTCTTTCAAGAAAAGCCCGAGGGAAAGCGCCACGATGGACCCTCAGCAGCGCCACTTGCTGCAGATTGCCTACCAAGCCGTGGAACAGTCTGGCTACTTCCATAATCCGAGCCCTGACAATCGAGTCGGTTGCTACATGGGCGTCCACGCCTGCGACTATGAAGCCAACATCGCCTGTCATGCTCCAAATGCGTTCTCCGCCACCGGCAACCTGCAGGGATTCATTGCCGGCATGGTCAGCCATTTCTTCGGCTGGACAGGCCCTTGTCTAACAATTGACACGGCATGCTCCTCTGCCGTTGCGGTTCATCAAGCTTGCAAGGCAATTGTCAACGATGAATGCGGCGCAGCTCTTGCAGGTGGTACGCATGTTATGACCAACCCACTGTGGTTCCAGAATCTTGCAGGGCCTCGTTTTTGAGCACCACCGAACAATGCAAGCCCTTCGTTATCAAAGCGGATGGGTACTGCAGGGGAGAAGGCATTGCAACTGTCTTCTTAAAGAAGATATCCGCAGCACTTGCTGATGGGAATCAGATTATGGGTGTAATTCCGGCGACGGCTCTCCAGCAAAATCAGGACTGTACTCCGATCTTCGTCCCAAACGTGCCCTCTCTATCAGATCTGTTTCAAGTGGTGACCAAGCGATCGCGTCTCACACCAACTGATATCTCAGTTGTCGAGGCGCACGGCACCGGAACTGCAGTGGGGGATTTTGCAGAGTATGATAGTGTTCGTGCCGTTCTAGGAGGATCTGTCCGTACAAAGCCGGTGATGCTCAGCTCTGTAAAGGGCTTAGTCGGCCATGTCGAGTGTACCTCTGGCATCATCTCCGTTATCAAGGTGCTATTGATGCTTCAGAAGGGCATGATCCCTCCTCAGGCTAGCTTCACCACTATCAACCCGGCCATCAAAGCCACGTCGAGGGACAACATTACTATCCCAACCAACCTGCAGCAGTGGGATGCCAGTTTCAAGGCTGCTCTCATCAATAACTACGGAGCATCCGGTTCGAACGCCCCCATCGTCATTACGCAAGCCCCAACACAGGCGATGAGCGTCCCTGAAACCACTGTGGATTTCACTATGAAGTACCCGTTCCGACTCACCGGTTTTGATGGCCAAAGCCTACGCCACTACTCCAAAGCCCCTCACAAGTATTTGAAGTGTGATCGTTCCGTGCGGCCAGCGTTGGCTGATGTTGTTTTCAATGCAAACCGTCAGAGCAACTGGCAGCTGAACCGGACGCTGATGTTTAGCGTGAAGTCAGTCAACGAACTGAACGAGAGGCTTCAGGCATTTGAAAATGGCGACTCTAGCCTCGCGTCTGTTTCTCTCCCTGAGGCTCGTCCCGTGGTGCTCTGTTTTGGTGGGCAGGTGTCTAAGTTCATTGGGCTTGATCGGCGGGTGTACGAACATGTAGCAGGGTTGCGAAAGCATCTCAACACCGTCGATGCCGTGGTTCGATCTGTTGGAGGTGGTAGCATCTTCTCAGACATTTTCACCCGTGTTCCAATCGATGACCCTGTCAAATTGCAGGTGATGCTGTTTTCCATGCAGTATGCCTCAGCACACAGCTGGATAGAGTTTGGGGTCCAGCCAGCCACGGTCGTGGGCCATAGCATTGGTGAGCTCACGGCACTGTGTGTGGCCGGTGTCTTATCGCTCGAAGACTCCATGCGTATGATCGTGGCTTGTGCTACCATTATCAGAGATTTCTGGGGTCCGGATAAAGGTGCTATGTTTGCCGTCGAGGCCGAGCTTCACGAAGTGAAAGCGCTGCTTGCTGAACCCAAGAACCGCTGCGTCGGTGTCGAGCCTGCCACAATTGCTTGCCACAACGGACCACGGAGCTTTACTCTTGCTGGTTCAACCCGGGCAGTGGATGCAGTCACTGAGACTCTTTCCTCATCGGCCTTTTCGTCCATAAGAAACAAGATGCTGAACGTGACAAACTCCTTTCATTGTTCCCTACTCGACCCTCTATTAGAGCGCCTTGAACAAAGCGTTCAAGGACTCGAGTTCAAAGAGCCTGTGATACCCCTCGAAAGGGCCACAGAGTCACCTATCAAGGAAGAGCCCACAGCTCAATTCGTTGCTCAACACATCCGCTCACTGTGTTTTTCCACCAAGCAGTCAAGAGACTGGCCAGCAAATATCCCTCCTGCGTCTTTTTAGAAGCTGGATCCAACTCGACCATTACCAACATGGCTGGTCGAGCCCTTGGCAATCCTGAGCGATCACACTTTCAGGCTGTCAACATCACCTATGACAGCGGCTGGAACATTCTGGTTGACGCTACAGTGAGCCTGTGGAAGGCAGGCTTGAGTGTGCAATTCGGGAATCACCAGTCAAGCCAGACAAAGGAGCACGCCGTTCTCCTACTGCCACCATATCAGTTTGAGCATTCAAGGCATTGGATCGAACTTAAGACGCCTCCCAAAGCGGCCTCGGAGGAGAGCCCAAAGACCGAGATCCAGGAGAAAACCCCTTCGGAGAACCTTTTAACTTTTGTGGGGTACCAAGACAATCTCCGACGGCAAGCAAAATTTCGCATCAACACGATGACTGTCAAGTATGATAAACTCATTCGTGGACACAGCATTGCCCAGACCGCGCCAATCTGCCCGGCGACTGTTCAGCTGGATCTGGTCATTGAGGCCGTGCGCAGCATCAAACCTAATTTTGCTACAGCCAAGCAAGAGCCTAGACTGTATAATGTCGAGAACGCCTCGCCAGTCTGCATCAACCCGGGGCGGGTAGTGTGGATTGAAGCAGTTACGGATGACAGCACAGTAGCGACTTCCTGGGATTTTCAATTTGTCGATGATTTTGCACTGGAGCTTGAATTCTCGCGGTTGGAAAGACATTTCAGCCATGAGCGGTGTCTTGACATTATGCACAGTAACGATCCGGACGAAGTCATGCAAAGCCGAAATATCTACAAGATCTTCGCCGAGATTGTAGACTACGGGGAAGACTATCGTGGCCTGCAAAAGCTCGTGAGCAAAGGAACTCAGTCTGCGGGCCTAGTAGCCATGAAAAACAATCCAGAGTCATGGCTCGACGGGCATCTGGCCGACAGCTTCTGTCAGGTTGGAGGTATATACGTCAACTGCATGGTCGACCGCTCTTCGTCCGGTATGTATATTGCGAATGGTATTGAGTAGTAGATTCGCTCGCCGAAGCTTCGGCAAGGAGATCCACGACCTGATTCATATCATGTTCTGGCGACGCACCACCGGCCATCAGGCAAGGCGTTTCTGACAGATGTCTTCGTTTTTGATCCGACGAATGGGTCTTTGATCGAAGCTGTTCTGGGTATCAGTTATGTCAAGGTTCCGAAAGCCTCGATAAGCCGGCTACTCTCACGGCTTACCGTGGGAGAGTCTCAACAGGTTGCAGACGTTTCTTCTGACACTATTCGTGCTGATGTAGATGCACCTATGAGTTCTGTCCCGTTCCCTGCTCAGGCACTGCCACAAAGAACTGTTGCCCCACCAAGAGCCGAAGTGCAGGCGCCAAGCAGGGTAGATATAGCACCCAAGGTCAAAGCTATTCTTACTGAGCTCTCTGGTCTCGAAATGGAGCAGATCCAGAATGACAGTAATCTCGCCGACCTAGGGATCGATTCTTTGATGGGGATGGAGCTGGCACATGAGATTGAGGCTGCCTTCCAGATCACAATCTCTGAAAGTGAGCTCATGGACGTCATCGACATACCAAGCTTGATGAAGTGCGTGCAAGCTGCGGTTGGCGGTGTTGCCGCCACTGCAACCGAAAGCAGTGAACAGAGCACGTCCGAGAGCGAAGAAAGTGATACGAAGCTTAGCGGCTACACGACGCCCAGTACCGCTTCTGAATCTGCAGAGCCCGAGAAGTCTGTCAGAAGTGCCGGACTGAACCTTCCTTTTGCGTATGTGATAGAGGCTTTCAACGAGGTGAAGAGCATGACTGACGATCAAATAGTCGGATGTAAAAAAGCCAAATATTTTGAGACGGTCCTGCCTCTTCAGGATCAGATGTGCGTCGCGCTTGTCCTCGAGGCTTTCGACCAGTTGGGACACCACAATCGGGATGCCGACCCCGGTGCCAGATTTTCCCGCATCTCACCTCCCAAAGAACATACCAGATTGGTCAACTATCTGTATAGAATGCTCGACGAAGGTGCCGGGCTTGTAAATATTGATAACGATATCATCACTCGCACGGCTGTTCCTCCCCCTCGTCCAAGCAGCGATGTTCTTGAAGACCTTCTGGCTCGCTTTCCAGAACAGAGTATGGCCGACAAACTTACTTTCTACACTGGATCTCACCTCGCTGCAGTTCTGCGAGGCCAGACAGATGGAATCAAGTTTGATCTTTGGAACAGCAAAGGGGCGTGATCTCGTCTCCAAAATGTATGCCGAGTGGCCGCTGAACAGGATGTTCTACCGGCAGATGGAGGACTTCATCAGCAAGCTTGTTTCCAAAATCGACACGACTCAAGGTTCCATCGAGGTTCTGGAGATGGGCGCCGGCACAGGAGAAACGACTAGTTGGCTTGTCCCTTTGCTCGCGGTGCTGAATATCCCGGTCGAGTACACTTTTACAGATCTCGCTCCATCCTTTGTTGCTGCCGCTCGCAAGAGTTTTGGCAAGCAATACCCATTCATGAAAGTCAGGACTCACAACATCGAGAAGGCCCCCACCAATCACCTGTTTGGCACACAGCATATGATCATCGCCAGTAACGCTGTGCATGCCACGCACAGCCTTAAGGTGTCTGTGGGTAACATACGCAAGGCCTTACGGCCTGATGGTCTTCTTCTGATGCTGGAAATGACGCGAACGATGTACTGGGTCGACATTACCTTCGGGTTGTTCGAGGGCTGGTGGTATTTCGGTGACGGACGCACACACGCTGTGACGCACGAATCGCAGTGGGAAGAGGAGCTGCACTCAGCTGGGTATGAGCACGTCGACTGGACCGACGGGTCGCGGCCAGAAAACAGGTTGGGAAAGCTGATTGTTGCTTTTGCTTCAGGTGGGAGGTATGAGCGACGTCCACTAAATCCGGTTAATATCAAGAGCCTATCGACTAACTGTGCGGCACGACAAGCAGTTGTTGACAGATACGTGAGCGAGATGACGGCGGGATGGGAGGCCCCTTCAGCGAGAGGCAGTCGCCCGAAGAAGGCTAGCAAGCGTGTTGTTCATACAGGGGCAACAGGAAGCCTGGGATGCCACCTCCTCGAGAAGCTTGTCTCTGATCCCGACGTGAAAAGCGTCATCTGTTTAAATCGACGAAACCGGCTCGACGTTGCTGAGCGACAGCGTCAGTGTCTCGCTCAGAAAGGCATTTGGCTCCCCGTCAATGCAATCGACAAACTCACCGTTCTTGAAGCCGACCTCAAGTTCCAGAAGAGGAGATGAGCGTCGAGTCTGTTTTGCCCACAGGGTACGGCGATGCGAAGTGCATATGCCAAATAATGCTCGAATCGACCTTGAGGACCCATCCAGATAATTTCCACTCTAGGACGGTGCGTCCAGGGCAGATTGCAGGCTCCAGTGTGAGTGGATACTGGAACCCCAGAGAGCACTTCTCCTTCGTGATGAAATCTTCACATACACTCAATGCACTTCCTAGCTTTAAAGGTCTCTTATCCTGGACACCTGCCGATGTTGTGGCAGCTACACTCGTCGATCTGCTCTTTCTTGAGCAAGAGCCGCACCCAATCTATCATATCGAGAATCCAGTTCGCCAGAGATGGGAGCGAACGATGCCTATATTGGCCGATGAGCTGAACATCCCTCCGTCGAAAATCATTCCATTTTCAAACTGGGTGCAGCGCGTTCGCGAGTATAGCCAACGGACTGAAGGGTCAGAACGAGAGAACCCGGCGATGATGTTGGTGGACTTTTTGGACGACAACTTTCTGCGCATGTCCTGTGGGGGGCTCTTGTTGGAGACGAGGAGAAGTCGCGAGCTTTCAATAATGTTAGCAAGTATGGGGCCGGTCAGTGAAGATGTAGCGAGAAAATTTGTTAAACATTGGAGGACGATCGGTTTCCTGAATTGATGTCATGTATGATTTACGTTGCCTTCAAGTCTCTCAAAGATGATTTGACAAGGTTTCCAATGGGAATAGGGTCATGGTTCTTGAATGAATTGGATGATGATTGAGCATTAATATGGTTGTGTGATTGATGCCGTAGAGTGATCGTGAGTTGAAGAGGGAAGGTCCCATCTGTTTCCAAGTTGCCTGGTAAGGTAATTACGGGTGCCGCCGCTTTGGTACGATCATCACGTGAGTAACCTAGTCACTCAGACCCACTGCTCCACAGATTATTTAGTGCAAGCCCCACCAGATCTGTCGATCATTACCTACTCGACGAACAATCAAGGCTGAAACAAATTGTACTGAGTAATCGTGACAACCTACATTGAGCTTGATTTGACATCTACACAATTTACATGCCGATCATCATTCCCACATCCGAGCTACCACCAGCTCACAAGCAAGGCCTGGCACTGGGGACATCTAGTCTTGCTTTCCGTGAGCCACCCTGGTGAGCTTAAATGCTAAATTTCCGACACGAGGCGTGGAGAGCGGCTGATGCTGGAATATCTCTAGTTAATGGCTTGGCCCGAATGATATTTGCGCAACGAGGCAGAACAGCAACCAGTCCCAACTTCTATGACAATTCAATTCAAATTTATGAACCTAGTGGAACCAGTCTATGTGCAATTTGCTTACTATGTGGGTGGGTACTTCGTCGAAGCAAGAACTCACCGGATCGAGGGAGATCCCGTACAAATCGAAACAAACATTTGAAGGAGATTGGCTGCGTGCGTGTATATACTCTCAGCGTAAAAAGTACGGAACCGTCCTCCGATCCCAACATCGCAATAGTCGAACATCAACAGGGTGTTAGCTTGGCTAGGTTCAGAAGCGATGACCATGGTGATGGTGGCGGTGACTATCGAGGTGCTTCTTCTACAAGCCAGCCACCGATCGATTCGATTGTCCATTAGTCTCCTCTAGTCAAGTTGAAAGGGAATGAACGGAGAGAATAACCATGGATAGGCAACGTACATGAAGAGAGACACTGTCACCCGCTGCAGCAGCAGAAACCGCCGGCACCGGCGTTGAAGAATGAGGGCAAGAGACTCGCAGAGCCCCCCGGAACAGCCGCCGACGAAGTCGCGGTATGGCCGTCGCAGATCCCGTACATGAAATGCTGAGAGGTGAACGTCGACAGAGCCGTCTTCTTGTATAACTGGCATTCTCCGCCTCGCACGCTGTACAACCACGCGTTGCAATCCGACAGACCGTCGCAGTAGCCCGCGCAGGCGGAGCCGTTCTGGTAGTTGGTCGCGAAGGCAAATGGTGCACGATCCGTGTTCGAAGAAAAGAATACGCAGGTTGTAAATATGGTCAAGGATTGTGCTGCGGCTTGAGATGCGCTCAGCTGGTTGGCGTTTTCCTGTCGGCACGGTGAACGTAATGTATATAACTGAGTTTATTTCTTGTAACTTGAAAGCACATCATGCATGGAATAGTTGTAGACTAGCTGTGAGTTCAATTTGCCTCGGAAACTTCTAGAGATCGGCGGTGGGTCTGCCACAGCCCCACCTGTCAAGCACCAGCCCTCAGACCCACCCATAGGGCTGTCATTAAACGAATCATGAAGCGGCTCGGCAACCTTCGTACAACGACCTATAAAATTGGCCGTTCTCAATATCTACCGGTATCAGCTAAGGGCAGACCGAGCTCCCTTTCTCGCGGGTGGAAGTTGACCAGATCTGTCAAATTGCCTCGAAGTTCGGGGCGAGTATATACTTGAGTAATACCGTTCATGTCGCTGTTGCTGTCGCGTCGATTGTGTTTTGAATCATTTGCTTTGGTCACCATGGCTGATGCTCCTTCCTTCCTCGTCCGGATGGTCCCAAGCTTCTTCACAATGCCGAAGACATCTCTCTCAGTGGCTCTTTGCTAGATTTCGCAGCCTGAGGACAAGCGACACGTCGCTGGTTCGAGGGTTGGCTCGTTTGCTTGGTTGCTTCGGATCCCGGAAGTAGAGACTTTTTTTTCGGAGACCTTAAAAGAAAGCGATCATTCGGTACCGTACCACTTTACCAACACTTAGACCGTCATATCGATGACCTGAATCCGAACTCCTTATAATATACACCTTAACCCACTATAACATAGCCAGTAACCTCCTTTCGACCTGGTCCAGAGCATAGAAACTACCAATCCTGAACCCTCCCATCAGCCATACTCGCCACCGAATCATTCGCCCAGTACCGCCCATTGACGCGTCCAATTTTACCAATAGCCAGTCGCACAGGGATCCTTGCCCCTTCCTCTATCGAAAAACGTTAGTAACACGTCCACTCACGTCCCGTCCGCAAAGCCAAGAAAAGCCCCACACATACCACCAAACTTAGGCGGGACACCAGCCTGCGCACCCAGCGACGTGCCCACCCACCCAGGACAGCAGCAATTAATCAGCAGGTGAAGATTCTCGCGAGCGAAGATCCGGGTCGCGGCGTTTAGGGCCGCCTTGCTTGTGAAGTAGGTTAGGGGAGGCCAGCCTGATGCGGTCGCGGTGGCTTGGGTTGCTGAGTGCTGTTGTCGTGGGTCGGTTATCAGGCTATGAGGGTGGTAGGCAAAAAGGTGATGAACGGGTAGGAGTAACGCACGCTGTACTCGTCCAGTGAAGCGTCCAGCCCTTCCATGGGGAGGTCTTCTTTCAAGAAGCGCGCGCGTAACCGGGGATGGAAGTATTTGAGCTGGCCGGATTGGGAGGAGACGCTGATGATGCGGCTGCCTTGGCGCATTATTGGTATGAAGGCTTGACAGACCTGGACTTTGGTCAGTAGCTGATTCTGAAAATGAGGGGAGGAGGGCTGGGGGGGATTTGGGTGATCGGGGATCGGACATTGAGGGTCCCACGGTAGTTCACGTCCAGAGTTTCACTGACGCTGGGCGGAAGTGAGGTTCTCCTGGAAGTATTAGACCCGGCTTCGTTGATGAGGATGTCGCAGCCCTGGTGCTCGTGGCCGATTCTCGTGCTGAGGGCGTTGATACTGGCCTGTTCGGTGAGGGATAGCTGAGCGGGTCGGACTTGCACGGTTGGTGGTATGGATAGTCCGGACAAGTCAATTGGAGATCCTGCTCGGGAGGCTGTGTAGAGGATCAGTGGATCCGAGTACTGCTGGATTAGGGCTGCGCAGGTAACACGTCCGATGCCACGGTTTTGTGGGCAGAGTTAGTTTGGAGTGGTCTGCTATAGGGGCAGGAGGAGGGGACTTGCGGTGCCAGTGACTAGGGTTACTCAAGGAGCGCTCATTTTTTGGTCGGAATCAGGCTGATATATCGATTTGAATAGGTGAAGGGGATAAGGATAAGAGGGGAAGAACAAGAAAGTACTCCGGGGGAACGTGTGATCGTACTATGATGGCTCAATTCATTATCTCCGAGGCAGTAGGGATGCCGCAAATAGTACGTCTGGAGTGCCCATACGTGCATTTGTGCATTTGTCATGCGTTATTCAAGTAGATTGCTTGCAGTCCCTGAGTAATCAAGACTGTTTAATCTATTGATTATGAACTAGTTGTATAGCTATCTGATTGAGCTATTCTCAAAGAAGCTTAGTATGAAAAATGATATGCAAGCCACCTTTTCCTATACATGTCTCAGATTTCCATACAAGAAATACATGTATTGTGAATTACCGGTACAACCCCATCGTCAACCCGGGAGTGGAGCCCCTACAGCAAGTGGAGCACGTGGGGAACGAGATGCACTAATCGGGAGACCCACTGGTCAAGTCGGCTGGCCCGCTACTCTAAGTAGACTTCACAAGGAATGATGTACTGTACACACAGTTACTTCTTTCGGATATGCTCCATTGCTTAATATAGAAAAAGATACCCATGACTACTACTCACGGAGACTTAACGTATACCTTTAGCATGAAATTCAGATGACTCCAAGTCGCAAGCAAGACGCACTCAAACACGCAGGAGAGTGACCCTCAAGTGAAGAATGGTTTCGACCGTGCTGACGAGCCCGAGCATCGGCGCCCTCGGACTGGAGCTTGCAAATTGGGGACACTCATAGGCGTCATCCTGGCGGTGAGAGTGGGGCTCAATGTCCATGATACCGCTTGCGATGGTGGATGAGCCGATGCAACGTCACAAAGGGCGCATGAGAACAGAGATCGCAGGGATAGGCGCCCGGTTCGTGCATGCGGCGATGATGGTAATAGAACGAGGAATGGCTGGTAGTCATCCAGCCACAGGGCTCTTGGTCTTCCTTCGGCCCCCGGAACTGACAGATATAATCCCCCTCACTCGTTCGTATGTACTTATGTAACCCGGGGGGTCTGCTCGGATCCTGTCGCCAATGGAGACGAGGCGGCTGCGGGTGCGGCTGGAGGAGCTGGCCCGGATTAAAGCGCGTCGCCCACGGCACGCCGCAGTTGGGGCATCCGTATGCCAGAGTCACCTTCATCGCGTCCGCTGCCCACCGCATCTGCCCGATGCAGCTCTGGTGGAAGCTCTGCTGGCAGCTCCCGCAGCGGAGCTGACTGTGAAGCTCGTTGCCAAATTCTTCGCAGAGTGGGCATTTCTCTCGTTCGTTTTCCTTTAGGGACTGCAGCTGCACCTCGCGATGGGCGAGCTCCGATGGTGCGTAGTGCGCGTAGCGCTGCAGGTTCGGGTGAACTGCGAAGGCCATGATGATGCATCACTCACTCAGACTCACTGTGCTTGGAATCTGTTTGGTTCTTTGTCAGTTAGCGAGTTAAGGTTTCTGGGCGATGGTGGGTTGGAAATAGAGATGGAGATCACGCTGATTCCCATGAGCTCTTGGCTGTCCCGATTGGCATTGTGCACATTTCGGTCCGTGTCTCGTTAAATAGTCACAGAGCGGATGGTAGGTTTCTCCACTGAAAGAAAATCTCATGGCATTTTGGCGGGGTTGACCTTTGAATCTTTGTCTTTGTACAAGTATGCAGAGCTCGACAGACTGGAGATAATGAAAGCTTGATGAACATGTGCCAAGACCGAGACGTTACTTCATCTTTATTGGTGGATCTGTTAAACTATAGAGCGTGTTCTTTTCACAGCCGGCTTAGGATGGAGGCGGGAACGACTTACGAGTAGATGATTGATAACCAGTTCGCTTGAGCCATTCCGGACTCGTGATAGGCTTGTTGCAGCTATATGCAGGGGAAATTCTGAGAGCTATATGCAACCATATAATAGGTAGTTTGCCGTTTTCTCGGCCACAAGATAGCTCATGTGCCTCTTGCATCAATCTGCTGTCTGGCGATGTTATACTCACTATGACGCTGGCCGATTTCAGCATCAACATACTCTTAGAAGACACTTGGACATGCAGAACAAGCAAGAGAGGTTACCGCTTAGAGGCCCCCTTGTATCACTTTTTTTTATAGATAAACTCTCTCTGTCGTAAAAAAGCCACACACCTATTCCAAACCTTGTAGCTTTAGCTAGCAAGGAACGAATCACGATTACGTCTCATCGTGTGTGGCTAAATAGGTCTTTCATTGATCGTGGGGCGCTGCCGGCTGTTTCTTTCACACTTAAAACGGCCAGTGAGACATTAGATTCTATAATACGCGAACTGGGGACGCACCGAAAGGCTTTTCACCAATCGAATCCGGTCAATATTGTTTCAAGAAGCGGCGGAAACAGAGTTTGTGTAGAGTCCTTGTGTATCCCGAGGTTGCACAGGGCTCAGACGCTAAAAGGCTAGATCTCGCCTCATACCCGCTAACAAGGATGCAGCGGATGTAAGTATAAGTGCTTGATGCAATAATACCATGCCTCATACTAGGCTCTCAATGTCACTGAATCATCACAATCGATGGAGAGATCTGCATGGTGATATGCACTGAGTAAGGCGCCCGGCGGACTAGCGATGAGCGCAGTCTGCAAGTACAGCCGCTGTTATTCCGTGCAGATGACCAATTGGCAATATGATCGTGGCTTGGGGGACGGGGAGAAGAGAAAGGAAGAGATACACTCAGCCGCGGAGAATCGAGCGCAACCAGGCTATGTTATCTGTGATTGACCGTCCGAGAAAGAGTTTTAGCTGGAGTTTGTAGGATTGAAGGAGGCTTGATCCGGAGATGCTTCATCTTAGTGACCTGGGTCCTGTCATCAACCGGGATTGGTAAGTGAGTTCCGGACTTGAAATGCAGTGAGTCGTCTAGAAATCGAGAAGGAGCGGACACTGACCCCGGATGCGGCAGGCATTCCTTACAGTAACAAGTCGTCCAACTCCGTAAGAAAGGGGCCATCTACAATTGCCTATTGAAAGTATTCGTCTTTCATCTTGTCTCAAAAGATGTTATCTAAACTGCAGATGGCTGGAAGTTTCATTCTCTAGCTTGAGCAGGTTAGAATATACGATAAGCAATCACATTATCTTAGTATTGGTTGCGATTCACATCTCAAAGCGAAATATAGGAGGCGATCAAGAGACAAATGACAAAACATCATCCTATCTAGAAGCATCATCTGGGTTATCATTTGTGGTAGCAGCGCTATGAGAGAAATACAAAATATCCCATCCTCCATGGTTCGACGAAACCTGGCGTAAATAAAATCAAAATGTGAGGATAATCGATACCGCGCTAAGAGGACACACGGGGAGTAACAGAGAAAGGGGGGACAGAGTGATAGATAGCATGGGAACCGGAAGGTCGCGGCAGCAGATACTTCATGCAATGTAAGCAATCTCGTCCCCGTCCAATCGTTCGATGTAATCCTTCTCCATCAGAGCCTCGATATTCTTCTTAATATCGGGGACCTTGGGAGGGAAGCGAGACTTGACTTGTTGAATCACTTCTTGGACAAGTTGTACGTGCTTCATTTTCTTGCGCGACTTCATGATACGGACAATAGCAGACTAAGACGGCATTAGACGCGGCACTTATGAAAGAGAGAGGGGCAAAATAGATGTGAGGAACACATACCTGGAGTAGAAGCTTACGGTCCTCTTCGATAGTTTTGTGCGTATCATCCGACTCAACCTTTTGCTCCGACTTGATTTGGATGTTCAGATTAACCTTGATCTTCTTGTTCTTGAAATTATAGTTCAGAGTGAATGACGTTCCAGGTTCTGGCTTCGATCCGTCGGGACTGATAGTCAGAACCTTGGCCTTGAGGAAAATGCTCAAATTGGGATCGAGAATCTCGGGAGAGAGGGACGTGGCTTTTTGAATATCTTCGTAGGTGAGGGTGTCGTGCTCGTTGAAAAGTAAGAGGATTCCCATCTGGAATGTAGACACCTGGAAGGTGTACGGCACCTTGGTATTCTTGATGTAGTTGGCTTTGATTTCACCTTTGCATAGCTGCCAGAGCCATGTCAGCTTTCGGCCATTGTGCTTGTCAAAGTAGAAGCTTTGGAAGCGCTCAGAAGTCTTGACAATCTCAGGTGGTGCAAGGAAGTCGGTAGAAGGCGCATTGAGAGGCCAGAATCCAGTTCCTAGGATCTGGAAATGTGAGTCTACCAGCTTCCTCCGATCATCCTCGTCGAGGACCTTCTCCTGCCAATCCCGATAACTGGCGTTAAGGTCCTTCGAGATCTGAATATCTTGGAACATGCGTTGTAGCTTGTTGGTGTATTCAAAACCGCACGCCTCCTTGAGCTTGCTGATCATGCTGGTCTCTGCGTCGTCGGACACGGAGCTGACATGTACCAGACGCTTGGCAAGCATTTTAGAGTAAAACTTCTGGAAGACATCCTTATCCTCGATGTACTTGAAGACAGTCATGATCTGCACCAGCATCTCCTCCAATTCCGACTCCTCCGCAGCCTTCGATCCCTTCTTGAGTAGCGAGTCGGTATAGCGCGCAAGCAACTCAGGAGTCTTTGTGGATCCGGACTTGCAGATCTTGTTGCGGTTGACAAACTCTCGGCAAGCATTATCCAGAGACCGAACAAACTCAGATTCTCCATTGAACGCCTCGCTGACCAAACTCTGGTATCTGGTATGTACCTGCAACAACGCATCCACGTACGATTTTGGCTCAAATGATGTCTCGCCATCGGCGGCCACCTTCTCGACGGCGGCCAAACCAGCCTTCCTCACATGTGCCTCGAACTTCGTGCGAAGGGGATCCAAGCCCTCCTTGATGCGCGAGAGCAGTCGGTACATTCGGGCCAAATCATCCTGGCGCTCGTTGTCCAACAGAACCTGGAATTCGTCTCGGAGAAGTTCTGAGTGAGCAGTGACCAGCACCTCCAGGCAAGTGTCCGTCAGATGCTTAGAAATATCCTGGTGTAAGTATAGGCCGACACGGGCCTTTTCTTCCTCCAAGCGAGCTTCTGCCTTTTTCATGTACTCGACCACGCTGTTCTCGGTGACGAACTGACGCGATTCATTCTCATAGTAGACCTTGGTGGCGGCGATGAAGGGCTTCTCGAAGTGGATCCGGTAAACTTCAAGCGTCGACTTCGTGCTGTCACTCTCATCGAGGCCAAGGGAGACAAACGAATCGACAATGCTCTTGATCTGTGACTGCTCGATCGTCTCGCCGTTGCGTTGTTTTTCAACCAGATTCAATACTGCGTCCATCACCTTCTGATGGACCTTCAGGAAGAAGTCCTCTTTCCACTTCACCAAGTGCAAGGTGTAGACATCGTAGACATTTTTCTTACCCTCGTCGATTTCACGCTTTACCCAATGTCTGTTCAAGTAGCGGAATAGATGATTGATGTATTTGGCGGCCGTAGTGTAGCGAAGCCATTCGCGGATATAGAATCCCAGTAGAGCTTCCTCAGCATGACTCTCGGATTCTCTGTTCACGGCGTCGAGGTGGCGTGAGAGGTATTCGCCGAGCAGCTTATACAGTTCCTCGCCGAGGAGATGAGCTGCAGTGATGATGTTAACATGCATTCTAGCGCTGAATCCAGTGGCTCTTGACCGGGGGACGTGGGAGATGGAAAGGGGACTGACCGCCGCGATGAGCCTGTAAACCCGTACCGCTACCAACAGCTTTTTGTGATGTGCAAAAGTTGTGGACCGCTCTATGTTCAGAAATGTGAGTATTCCTGGCGGGGTGAACGCCTTGGGGATAAACCATACGTGTAAAGGGCCATATACTAAGCCCGGGTGAAAAGAGGTCAGCAACGCGGCTTGTGAAGCGGCCAACAAAACATAAAACGAAGGTCGAGTACCATACAGTTTTCATATCAACTCCTTCCTCTAGTTTCAGCATCACACTGTCGATGCCCTTCTCCAAGAACGCCCATCTGCATAAGTCAGCCGGTGTCCCGGAAGTATTCGCCTGGATAGCCGGCCCCGCGGATGAAGGGCTGGAGTTGTGGGAACAAACGTTTCATCGAGATCATCCTTGTGAGGCGTCTGAGGGATAAGAGCCGGCATCTTGTGTTTGAACACCCAGGTTCGAGTCTTGAAGGCGGGTCTGTGGAAAATGCGAGTGAACATTAGCCTGGTTGGACTAAAATAGCCTCATAAAGAGCTCCGGAAGGTCGAGGGCATGTTGCTGCAGGGAACCGCAAGTTGATGGGAATGGGCTGTGTGTGTAACAGGCAATGATACCCATGAGATCAGGTATGCATGAGGCTTACCTCCAACGGTGCAAGCGATAGGTGCAGTGAATGACCTCACTCTGATCGATGAGCGGTTAAGGCAGCGGTGACGAGACAGACGAATGATGTCTCTCTCCTGACTTGATTGGGGTTTGAAGGAGACGATCTCAAAGGTTATGATAGGGCGATGGGGACAAGAGGTAAGACAGTAACACGCAAGTCCCGAAAGTCACAGAAGTCGGGAGAGGAATGAGACGCGCCTGAAGCTGGAGGGGAGATCGGGGATGGAGAAGCAAGCCAGAAAAGGCGTGGCGTTGGGCGATGCCGTGGGGGTTGCGCCGGTTTCGGTAGGCGGTCAGACAACTGAGCTCTATTGAAATATCCTCGGAAATCAGGACTGGCTGACTTGCGGTGAAATCCAACTGACTGCCTGATTCTTTTCTCTGTAGAGATACATCCTTGAAAGCCTCCTCAATCGTCTGCTAGATGCTTTGGCCCCTACCGACAAGACATTCCGTTGTTCTTGCAGCTACTCAACTCACGGAAGCCCACATCAGGCAGCCCGACATATACAGAGTGGAACCTCATTAAGTCTGGTAGCTGCCTTGTGACATGCACTAGTTATCCTAAACACTAAGCGCAGTGTTGCCCATGCTCGTCAAAATTCACGCCTGTATCCCTCCGAGATAGGACAATGATCATTGTTCGCATGTTCAGTCCCATTAGAGAGGCACATATTTGTTGCAGGACCGCCTTGGATTCTGATGCACTATAAATGACGTCATGTCTAGCCAATTTGAATGGCGGTCGCTCATAAGAGGGAAGGAGGGTCTTCTTGTCCCATCCTCCGCTCCAACTCAGGCACCTCATCGCGTGCCGTGCCAAAAATAATTCAGCGCAAGCATGCCGTTCAAACCCCCCACTGACGTTCAAGTAACCTGTCGCCGAATTTCTCGGTGGCAGGGTTTCCCGAATACATCCATACAGTCCAAGCCACTGATCATCTACCACAAAGCCTTCGACGCATCAGCCAGCGACCTTGCAGCCCATTTCGAAGACGTGGGCGAGGTCACGCCGCAGTGGGTCTATTCCATGTACCGCCAAACGCACTTCCACAGCACCACCCACGAGGTGCTAGGGGTGGTTTCCGGCCGTGCACGTCTCTGCTTTGGTGGAGAAGAAAATCCCGATCGCTTTGAACCAACCGTCGAACGAGGGGACCTGATCATAGTGCCCGCCGGTGTGGGCCATCGACTCCTCGACGAACTGGGCGCGGATGAAGGATCTTTCAAGATGGTGGGGGCCTATCCGCCGCAGAAAGAATGGGATATGTGCTACGGAGAGCCATCGGAAGCTGACAAGGTCACCAAGAACATCCAGCAATTGGACTGGTTCCATGGAGATCCCTTATACGGTAAAGATGGGCCGGTCCTGCACGTGTAATATGTACTCAACGTGGGCACGTGGATCCAGCAGACAATCCTATATATACATCTACCATTGACAATTAACCAAGCCTCGATGCATTCCAATCCGCATGATTACCAGTATCGAAGCCAGAACCTCCGCACAGCATGCCACACAACGCCTCGCCTAACCCAACAGCACAGAACAGATGACCAATCCAGGGGATGAAAGAGACCAAAGCAAAAGAACAAAGAAAAAGATAAAGATAAAGATAAAGATAAAAGAGGTTTGAGATGAATTTATGGGGTCAAGTAGAGAAAATAGAGATCCAGAGTACCGGGTGAGAAGGGAAGGAAAGGTAGGTGGGTATAGCATGAAAAAAGAGAAAAAAGAAGAAAAAAAGGGGAAAAAAAAAAGAAGGAAAAGCTGCGAAGAGGAATAAGTCCCCTTTAACTAAGACTAAGAAGCCACACGTTCGACGAGTCTATAAATGAGTTAGCAATGCTCATAGATCATAGTAAGGACGTAGGCTTACCTGAGTACACTGATCACAAACGTTGTAAGCCAAGCAAGAAGCGCAATCAGTAGAACACAAGCAAGAGCTATTTGTCGGTCGCAAATCGCGTCGTTCTTGGGCGTTACTTCTTGATTGACTTCGTTCAATGTGCACGCGCCCTGTACGGTGGACAGAGATTCGAATGCTAAACTTAAATTGGCTGAGTCAAAGACAATGAAAAATATGTCTAACAGAATCAGCCGTGCTTTGGCGGATGCAGACCGGAGGCCGAGTGGCTTTGAGGTATATTCGTCGAAAGTGATATAGATTAGGTATACGAGAGCCACCGCGTCGACGATGATGGCCATTAGCGCGGAAGGGCCCTGTGGATGTTTATATTGTCCCGAGAGATGCTGGATAGAGCCTCCGAGGGCCAGCGCAGTGAGCGAGAAGCACCAGACAGTAAGTCTGAAGATCAGCGGGACCATAGGACTCCTGAGAAGAGTATTATGGAAGCGCTTAAACCAAATCTGTCGACGTCGCTTCATCCTCAACGGATCCTCGGTATCCTCATCCGGGGCGAGCTGTCCCCGCCATGGCCCCGAAAAATCGCCCAGGTTCTCATTCAACCATTCCGGCGTAACGGATTTCTCCTCAATACCCGGCTCACGAGGATAGGCGATCACCTTCGAGAAGTTCTTCCAGCGAGACTCGCGACGGGATGGGCCTCCTCGTTCTTCATCCTCCTCGTCGACTCGGTTCGTGCGATTTGGTCTTGTCGCATACGGAGAGTGATTATGTTGCGCGACGACGGCGTCGTCGGGTTGGGAGGGGAGAAGCCTGGCCGTAGCAGGAACGTCGTTGTCTTCTTCTGGATACTCTACCGACCGGATCCAGGCTACCATGCGAGAAGGTGAAAGGTTAGCAAAGGCTTGCGTCGAGGGGTCAGAGTTGTCTATGACCAAGTTACCTGGCAATGTTCGAGGTTTCCTCCCCATTATTGGACTATTATCAGTATCTCCAACCACTGTAGTCTCTGGTGAGCGCGAAGTCCCGGCTGACTGGTCTACGACATCCTCATGATGACCAAAGTCATGATCACTGTTTACTGCGCCAACGGAACGGTTGGACTGAGCCGACATCCATTCCGCAGTGGAAGGTTGTTCCGACAGTTGTTCGTCCGGAACGGAGCCTGAGTCTGGTGGCGGTAAAGAGTAGGTGTCGCGCGCATCCTGGGCCATGGCCTTAAAATCCAGCCACTGTTCCAGGCAGAGTTGCGTCGGGTTATCGGAAGCAGGGGGAAGACGGCGGGTCCAATCTGCATCGCCTCAATGTTCCTCGGGAACTTCGAGCGGGTACAGCGCCTTAGCCTGCAATTGGAATACCCTTGACTCGCGTGAGGAACAGAAGCATCCGGAGAGGAGGAGTAAAGACACCATCCAGCATGGGATGTTGAAGGGAGTGGAGTGGTTGTGAGTGGGGGGGGGGGGGGGGGGGGGGAAGAGAAAGAAGAGCGCGCACCCGGGGGGGAGGGGGCTGGTTCGGCACAGGAACCATGAATCGCAGCGCTCCAGTTTTAGTGCCCGAGACATTCGTAATAATTTAGATTTTAGTGATGGTTCCCTCACCAACTCGACTACCCTCACTACTGCTTGCTATCGCCGGGAGCGGAATGACGTCGGCCCTGCACCTGCTCCGGTGACGAGCATCGCGGCGGCGGAGGCGGATTCACCACCAAGATGCTCCTCCACCATGGTGGCCAACAATCAGCTTCCCAATTCTCAACAATTCTCTTCTAACACTGCCTCCCTCCCATAAATAACTTTTTCGGATTTCAGGCTACGACGTACGGCTATTCGCCACTACTTCACATCGGCCACTTTCCTTCGTCCATCGATAATCAAGCTCCCTGTCTGCTCTGCACGACGTGATTCCTTTGTACGCTACTTTGCAATTGCCATCCAGTCGACGACGTCAGGCGCGTTTCGCATCCACGAGAAGTACCACTGCGATGCGACTCTTCATTGTTCCGATCTCGACGCGACGAGCTCTCATCTACGCTCGGCCCGTCGGTCAAGAAATCTCGAAGGAGCGCTCATACATTGACAAAATCACCAACAAAGCCGCAGAAACGTGGGCCAAATGGGAAGAAGCGGAGAAAGGATGGAAGAAACATTTGGTAAACTGGGGCAATCGGGTGCAGCAACGGATCCCCTACCAAGAATGGGGACTTAAGAGCATTCCCTCGCTGGCGTCTCAGCGGCGCAGCGACAAGTCCTACGGAACAAAGAAGGTCGATGTGCTCTTCCCTGGCAACGCGATTCGATCCGAGAAACTTCATTCCCTTTTGTATGCCCTCGCGACCGAGAGGCAAGACTTGCATCGCAAGCGGATGTATTGGAGCATGCTTGCGACACCCCTTACAATTCCGGTTGGCCTTCTTCCAGTGTATGTCTTCCCTTCCTTCCTTCCTTCTTTTTGATGACGTGCTGCTTCGAAGCGTCATTCCCGGGCTTGGGCTTATGGTTCTGTATACAGCATACCTAATATCCCATTCTTTTACCTGGTGTACCGAAGTTGGTCGCATCGGCGAGGTTAGCTTTCTCCCGATCCCTTAGCTGCTGCAGCTGCAGGATACATGTTAATAATTGTCTAGCATTGATGGGATCCAAGCATCTGCAATATCTCCTGGAGAAGAATCTCCTAAACCCCATCTCATACCCTGCACTTGAGAAGCTTTACGCAAAACGGGTTTCGCATGCCCTTGAAAAGACCGGAGCGGACACGCCCCTGATTGAGATGGTGAAGGACGTGGAGGAGAGTGATGACAAATTGTTGCTTCGCATGAGTGATGCGAAGAAATTGGCAACAATCCTCGACGCACCAGACCTCGCTCTGGAAGCAGAAAGGGCTATTGTGCAAGTGCAGGAACAATTAAGCGCACACGAGGAGGAAGACCAGAAACAACGTCCTCCTAAGGAAAAGCAAACATGAATGGGACTTTGTACCGAGGGAAATCATCTTTGAAAGGAGCCTTCGAGGTGTGCACCACTGGTTCCAATGGTTTGAAGGCCTGTACTGGGCTACTACGTCACTTCTATTGTGTAACTCAATGTCGGAGTACGGTACATAAACAGCATAGATCATGAGCAATAAATTCGGGGTAGATTTTACAGAGGCTGGTGGGTGTAGTTCCAGTTACCGGTATGCTATGCTAGTAGTACTAAGTATATAATTCTATGCTTCTCTAATTGATACTCTCACTCCACCGAACGGAACTAACTTGTTCCGGAAGCAGTCCCCCCCCCCCCATGGCTGGAGCCGCTGCGGGAGGCCCGAGTCGGAGAAACGACCAAACATCTCCCCCTCTCTCCCTTTCGCTCATTCACGTCATTCTCTTACTGTTGCTTGCTTGCTTGTTACACTCATTCTTAATTTGCTGATTTCCCCCCCTCATCATAATACTCCTCCACCATGTCAAATAAAAAGATCGAGCAATGGGAGATTGAACGGTACTGGGAGATCTTCGCATCGCTGGCAGGCGGCCAGTCGCGCCTAAACAACTCCCAAGCGGCCTCCGTGCTGAGGAATAGCCGGCTTCGCGACGATCAGCTCGAGAAGGTTTGGGACTTGGCCGATGTTGACGGAGATGGAGAACTGGACTTCGAAGAATTCTGCGTGGCCATGCGATTGGTCTTCGATCTCGTGAACGGGGTATGTGAGCTCCCTGCCTCTCCTGCTGCGGTGGCCTCCCCATAGTGCCTCGGGGGCCGCCGGCGGCATACTCCTATCCGCAACCACTCGACACCCCTCCCCCCACCTCTTTCTGCCTCAATGGTCAACCTCAATACTTCAAAAGCACCGCATGCTGATGTGATTTGTTCTTCAAGGAACTACAAAGCGTGCCTCACGTCCTGCCCGACTGGCTTGTCCCCGAATCCAAAGCCCATCTCGTCCAGGCGACTCGAGCACTGAGCGATCGTCCCGAGCGATTCGAACGGATAGAGGATGAAGATGACACCCCGGGCCTCAAGGACGGATTCGAGTGGTACATGAACCCTGCCGACAAGTCGAAATACGAGGAGATCTACCTTGCGAACAAGAACCACCGCGGAGAAGTCACATGTACGCCCCCCATCCTCTCCGCTTGACACATGCCCTCAATTTCAGGTCCCTAACATGAAGCCATCGTACGAATTAGTCGAATCACTGCAGGGACTGTACGACTCACTGGACGTGCCGGACACGGACATCCGCTCGGCATGGAACCTGGTCAACCCGTCCGCCTCCCCCGCGATCAACAAAGATGCCACCCTTGCGTTCCTGCACATCCTGAACTACCGGCACGAGGGATTCCGCATCCCGCGCACCATCCCGGCCTCGCTGCGCGCCTCGTTCGAGAACAACAAGATCGACTACCAGCTGGACAACGTGCGACCCGCCCAGAAATGGGGCGCGAACGGCGACACGGAGACCGCGTCCGGCCGGAAGGCCAAGTTCGGAGACACCTACCTGAGCCGCCTCGGCGCCGGCGGCAAGACCTCGTACACGCCCAAGGGCACGGACTTTAGCGACACTATCCAGGACGAGGAGTGGGAGAAGGTGCGGCTGCGGCGCGAGCTGGCGGAGCTGGAGTCGAAGCTGGAGGCGGCGCGCAAGGCGTCGGAGGGCCGCCGGGACCGGCCCCGCAACGACGGCGGGCCCAACTGGGTGCTCATCAAGAAGGAGACCCTTCAGTTACTGGAGTACAAAGAGCGTGAGCTGCGCGAGTTGCGCGAGGGCGCCGGCCGGGCCAAGGATGGCCAGGACATCGAGCGTTTGAGGGAGGATGTCAACGCCGTGGGCGAGCAGGTCGAAGGACTGAAGACCCATCTGGCGCAGCGCAAGCAGGTCCTCGCCGACTTACGACAGGAGATCGAGGAGCAGAGGTTGTCCCGATAGTCTGTCGATCTGTCTGTGTGCGTCTGTCAAATCGGCGATTCCCACCATTCCAGCCAGCCACGTTCTTCAATCCTTGAATGTAATTACTGCTTCCTTTTCGCCGATCTCTACGGGACTTTGATTCCTTGCCTTTCACCGATCTATCCTTCTCACTTCGCTGTATAGCCAAACCTCTTTTTTTTCCTTTTTTACATTTTCCTTTTGGGCGAGGAGCTCCAGGCGTTGAAATGGATGTTCGATTTTCACACCTCGTTTTTTTTGTTTCTGCCAGTCTCGTATCCCAATTAGGGATAATGAAGACTATATCTGGGATGGATTTAGACTGAACATGCATCAGACTGTTGATTCCTGTAGCGTCACCAGTCCCTGTACCTAGGGAGTGAACCACTGTCACCCAGTTCAAACTAAAAAATCAATGTACAGTACCCATATACAATGAGATGTCCCATACAAGCAAACCAAACAACATACAAAACTGCCTTTATAACGCCACCATCTTGTCTAATTTTACAGCCAACCAGCCCAAAAGCAATACCAGGAACGCACTATGCTTAACCGCGCTGAAGTATGCACACCCTCAAACCACCCAAACCGAAATCGAGTGCGGCGAGACAGGCAACGGAGCAGAAAAGAAGATAAGTCTACTTGCCAATAATCTGAGCCATCAATCCATTCCCATCGCGCTTAGTTTCGACGGCCATGTAGGCCCTTCCGCCGGTATCCAGGCCCTTCTCGGCGCGGGCATAGGCCTCCTCGCTGCGGTCGGTCAAGACGAGCAGGTCGGCGTCCGACAAGATGGCGGAGGGGTCGGCGCCGAGGTCGAAGCGCTCGTACTCGTCCTCGCCGAGGGCCTTGCGGAGGTCGTCGAGCTCGCTCTGCTTGAACGCAGCAGCGGAGGCGTCCGGCGCGGCATCGAGCAGACTGCGGAACTTGCCCTTCTGGATGACGAGGCGCTCGAGGCGGCGCTTGGAGTCGGCCTTCTCCAGCAGGGTCTGCTCGACGGTGCCCTTGGTGGCGAGCCGGTACACGAGGACGGGCTTGGTCTGGCCGATGCGGTGGGCGCGGTCCTGCGCCTGCAGGTCCTGCTGCGGGTTCCAGTCCGAGTCGAACAGGATCACCGTGTCAGCCGCGACCAGGTTGATGCCTTGTCCGCCGGCCCGCGTGCTCAGCAGGAACAGCTTGGTGTCGCCGTCCGGAGTGTTGAAAGCCTGGATCTGCGCGCGCCGGTCCTCCTGGCTGACCGCGCCGTCGATGCGGCAGCATGGCCAACCCCGCAGGTGCGTCGCCCAGTCCTGTAGGATGTCGAGCTGCGTTTTGAACTGCGAGAAGATGAGCACCTTGTGGCCTTTGGAGAGTAAAGCTGGGAGCAGCCGGTCGAGGAGCAGCATCTTGCCTGACGCGGTCACTAGCGTTTCGTCGATGGCGTCCGCGCTGTCCCAAGGCCAGTAGAAATTGTGCGGGGAGTTGCAGGCCAGGCGTGCTTGCATGATTGGGTTTTGCAACTTCTTTTGCGCAATCTCTTTTTCTGGAGTTAGAGAGATATGGGTGTTAGCTTTGAGCTTCATGCTATCTGGGTCTTGGATAGAGACGATGGGGGTAACCGTACTGGCAAGTTTGATGGTCTTGGCCCTCTCCAGCTCCTCTTGTTCGGTCTCGCTTGGTTCCTCGATGTCTAGATCCTCCTCCAGTCCCTGCTCGAGTTTCCGCAGCTTCGTGTTGAATTCTCGATCACTTAACTCCTTGTAGCTCTGTGGGCCCCTGCTGCGTCTGGCTGCCCGACCTCCACTAGCTGGAGTGGAGGCACGACTTGATTTGACGCTCTTGTTGGGGGAGGAGGCTTCGCTCGGTTCTGCGCTTCGCTTCAGGCTCTGCGAGCGGGATAATCTGCCGTTCTGGGCCAAGAGTCGCTCGGTAGCTTTCTCTTCGAGGTACTGCCGGCCCGTGCCGTTGAGAATCTCGCGGTAGAGGTCTTTCTGTTCCGCTGTCAAGGGGGCATAAAGAATGTACTCTCGTTTCTTGGGCAGGGACGTCTCGACGTCGGTCTTTACGCGCCGGAGGAGGAAGGGCTTCAGGATGGAGTGCATGGTGGAGACTAGGGTGCGCTTCCGACGCTCCATGACATCCGTCTGGCCGCTGTTATCCAGCATAGAGGAGAAGTCAAACCAGCTCTGGAAGCTGTTCAGATCATTGAAAATCTCCGGGAGCAGGAAGTGCAGTAGTGACCACAGCTCGGTGATGTTGTTCTGCAATGGGGTACCGGTGATAAGAAGACGATTGGCCGAGTTGTAGGTGAGGAGCTCCTTGATGAGTTTGCAGTTCATGTTCTTCAAGCGGTGTCCCTCGTCCTGTATGTCTCCCGTGTGAGCAAGACTACTCCCTGATGAGCACAAGAAGCTGAACATACCACAATGATATAGCGCCACTGATACTGCGCCAGGAACTTTCGATCATTCATGCAGATCTCGTAAGAGGTGCACACCACGGGAAAGTCCATATCCCTCTGATTCCTCATATTCATGTACTTCCTCCTGATCTCCGCGCGCTGATCCTTGGTCCCATGATACAGGACCGTCTTGATACCAGGCGTCCACTTGGCGAACTCATCGACCCAGTTACTCACCGTACTTAACGGCGCCGCAATCAGAAAGGGGCCCGAGACATTCTTTTCCTTGAAGAAAGCCAACAACGAGATCGCCTGCACGGTCTTGCCGAGCCCCATCTCATCCGCGAGGATCCCACACAACCCATTCATCCACAGAGACTTCAACCACTCCAATCCCTCCAGCTGATACTTCTTCATCCGGCCCCCCGTCACCAATTCGGGCTGCTGCGTCGCCACCAGCTCCTGCCCGCCCAACGCCGTCGGATTCGCCTCATACTCATCGGCCGCATGCTCCAACGCTTCCTGGACAGTCGGCTTCTCCTCGTCAACCTTCACATCCGCCTTTCGGAAGTAGCTGGAGATGGTATTGCCGGTCGAAGCCGGCTTTCGCCCGCGCCCTCGCTTCGGCTTGGTGGTGATAGCCGGTTGCTGTTGTGCCTCATCCATCTCCTCCTTCCCACCACCAGCACCACCCTCATCCTGACCCACAGCCTGCTGCTGCTGCTGCTGCTGCTGTTGCTGTTGCCTCGCACTCGTCCTGGTCTGCCTCTTCGCCCCGGCCCCATTCACCACCGAACTACCCTTCGTCTCCCCCTTCCCCGTCTCCTTCCCATTCTCAGGCACTTTACCCTCCGGAACTCGCAGCTCCTTGCTCTGCTGCTCCCTCAAAGCCTCCAACCGCGCCTCTTCCTGCTGTTTCTTCATTTTATCCGCCATAATCGCCACGAAGACCTGACCCCCGGACAAAAGAATCAGCACAATTGGCCCCATATCGATCAAACTAACCGTCTCGGCAACCTCCAACAACCAAACAAGAAACAACAAAGAGGGGAAAAAAACCCACCTCACTCGTATTCAACAAATGCATCAACGCCTTCGCCTGTCCATCCATCTCCTCCAGATTGTCTGCCTCCGGACCCATCTTCCCCGTCCTAGAGCGGTTCTGCTCGACCGCCGTGTTGATCATTCTTGTAAATGGGGGGAGAGGATTAGCGAGAGAAGGATATTGGTGGGTTGTGTAGGAGGGCTTCGTCGATTCGTTCCGATTGGGTTGCAATTAGTTCGTGGCGATTCAAACGATCGATCGATTGATTAGGTATTACGAGTACTGTGTACTTCCAGTCGTAAAATAGGTGTGATTGGTATGCTATAGAGACAGCACCAGCCAAAAAAATAAAAGAAAAGGCGAAGCTGAAGCTGAAGCTGAATTAGTGATTTGCCGGTTTCGCCGCTGTGGCGTATGACGCGCGCGCGCACACACGGGAGCGAACTCGTCGATGGGCCTGGAATGTAGTGTACAGGGGAGGATGTCACAGCCTCACAAGTCGGAAGGGAGGATAATTGAGAGAAGGAACGTAGGATAAAGCAATGCTAACGAGAAGCTGTCCGGAAGAAATCGCCGTGCGAGAGCGAGAGCGAGAGAGTAGACGCGGAAAGGCGCGTTAGTAGGGAGAGCACAGACCATCTTTTGATTGATTTTCTTCTCTCTTTCTCTTTCTCCGTGCCGCGAAGTCACATGCAAAATTGAGTGGCGATAAGCTAAGCTTTTCTGTAAGGGAGATCGGATCTTTCGGTCGCTTAACCACTAACCAGATTACTGTTGAGATGGAGATATACTAAGTTTGCAGATTTTATTGGGATTATGCACACCTAGGAAAATCATAGGCTAGCTTCGAAACTCAACCAGGCTCAATTGAAACTATTGTGTGACATCGATATCTAGATTCGAGCTATTTTGAACACAAAACATCTTATTCGTACAGTACAATTCGTTTTGCCTCCCTTGAGCAAAAACCGTATGTGCTGGGTGGGATCGAACGGGACTGGCCATTCAATGGCTGCATTCAGATCGTTCTCGCACATACTTGTGCAGCGTGGTTAGTTAGGTACAAGGACCATCTCGTCCGCAGTGTCATATTCCTCTGCACCACTTCCCGTGGACCCAACCTCAGAGCTGGTTTCCGCCTCCGGCATGGCTGTTTCCGATTGCTCTTTGGCCTCAGACCCGGATCTTGGCTCGACTGAGGTACGTGCTGATGCCTCTGTGTCTTGAGTGGATAAATCACTCATCACGCTGTCAGATGATTCCACCCGTGCATCCTCTTCTTGCGGGACTGCTGCCCTGGGGGTGAAGAAGACATTGCTACTGACACTTCGTAAAGGCCTGGACGCTGGCATGTGAAATCCTCGGCTAGGACTTGTAGGAGGGGTCCAGATGTCCTCATATGGTAGTTTGCGATGGTCAGATAAAGCAGCTCGCTGAACTTCTCTATTCGATCTCTCTGTCATTCTTCTGCGTGCTTCGATGACCATCACAGTAATCTCTTGTCTGAGACGCATGAAGACTCTCACGAGTCTCGTCTCACTGGATGGACTAGAACCGCTTGACTTGGTTCTTCTAGCAGCCATCTGGGAGGTTCTAGTCGAAGTGTTAGAGTGTGCCCGTTGACCTTGATTCGAGCGAGACGCTTCGCCGGGAGCTTCTCTTTGTGAAGCAAATACTGGACATGAACGCTCGTGGAAAATCCAACTCAGGGGAGGGAAGTGCAGGAAAGTGTTTCTCAGTTGTATGTATTGCCCGTCAGGATTCGTTCTCTGGGCTTCCAGTATCTCCTCGATCTCGCGAGTCTTTACATGATTATCCCAGTTGGGATGGTGATAGTTCTCGCTTGTATTCCAGTGACTGAGAGCTAGCCATCGGGGAGGATCGTTGGCTTGACCCTGGCATAACACACTGTCCTTCAGCATAGGGAGACACTTGGTGCCTATAGAGTTGATCAAGGATACCTGAGCAGAGGTGCGGTCGGTTCTCGGAGATGATATATCGACAAACGCACTATCACCGACAGGACTTAGGACGGACTGTTCAGAAGGATAAAGATGGCTGGCAGGGTTCTTTTCCGATTTGCGGGTCAGGTCTTCCACAGAGAGCTGCATTCTAACTGCATCATCATCTCCCCAATCGCCTACAATACTCCCGTCCATCTCACGTTTCTCTATGTATCTTCGAGCGCGCAACACTTCGTCGGCCGGACAAGTCAGGAAATCTGACGTGGTAGTCCCCCTGATATTGCGGAGGTATCGCCGCGAAATCATCTGGCATGCGAGCTTAGGCGGAACTTGACTAGCTCGCGGAGCAGCATTGTTGGTTTGAAGGATTGCTCTGAGCTGCTTCGCGCGCATCGCCTCCAGTAGCCGGTCTTCTCGCTTCAGCTGTCTCGCGCGAAGAACTAGGTTATGCTGTACTTCCTCAAGATCTTCGTCAGAGATACCGAGCAAAGCCCTGGCAGGTCGGCTATAGCTTGATTCCACGTTCTCGAATATCTCAACCTGCACGGGTGGGAGTAGGTCGTGCCAATCGATAGGCTATATTGAGAACCACATCGCAGCGTTAGCCGTCTATTACCTGAGAGTGTTCGCTTGAGCATGCGCACGACTTACCGCGAGTGGTTCTATAGCAAGCCCTTCAGCCTCCTCGTCAGTGTCACTGTCTTCCATGCTTTCCTCAAAAGGCGACCTTTCTGGCCCTGCCCCAGCCATGATGGCCATGTTCTTGCGGTAAACAGAATTCAGCTCCCCATTGCTTGCGAACAAGTTGTCGATTAGCTCGACAGGGATCTCCTGAACTTCAGCCCAGGTCTCTGTCACTAGCTCTGGCTGAGGATGGCCGTGGCTGCCAGTGTCCATGCAGTTATATGAACGCTTGCGACTAGTATAATCATCTGCATTATTGTTCTGCGCATCGGTGTTTGGTTTCGGATCGCGTGGTCGATCCAAGGTAGGAAAGGCTGCAGGAGGGAGGTTTGGGTTGAAAGCCTCGCATCTAACACGAGACGAGATACTTCCTCGACGATAGGTTCTTCTTGGAGTTGTGTAGGTGGACGCCTCTTCGCTGAGCCGGCCAGGCGGACGGATGGTCTCGCGGAGTCTCATCGTGAGCCTGCCGCGTCCGATAAAGTAGACATGAGGAAATACGCGTGCCAGGTTCAAAATCTGAAACGGAAATGAGAGTTAAGTGATTCGCGTGATTCGCAATGCGTATGCAGAGTTGGTGAATGGAATTAATTTGAGCGCATTCTTGCGCTGGAGGGCAGTACCTAGGTGAGTGAGACTTCCACTTTCAGAAAGAGGAAATCATCGCCCACAGTGGATAGTGGGTAAAACTTCCACCATCACGCAAGATCATCGGATCAAACCTCAGGCTGTTCTTATCAGTTCTAATAGTGGGCAGGGCCACTGAAAAACCCAGACATTCAAGTTATGTGAGTATCTTTCAATTAGAGCACTTGGTAGCCTATGCGAAAGGAAAATGGAATCATGGCTCAGATATGTACGAGATTGACACAGACAGATAAACACAGAAGCTTGAAACATGCTTTCAATAAACCATGAAACGACTCAACGAAAAACATCCACCGATGCATGTCAACCTGACCGATCCTGAAATGGAGCCAGCGGTCTTCTACCCTCAGCCTCCTCTCCGGCTTCTAGCGCCATGGCATCGACATCTTCGTCGTCCATATCGAGCTCGGTAGCATCACGTTTGCGGGCCACAGCTCTGACTGTAGCATTCTGCGCCTCACTCGCCCGTCTGGCTCTTTCCACGTCCCGCTTGGCGTTGAGGATGCTCTCGAAGGACAACAATAGCTGACTCAAGGAATCATCCATGTCGATGCAGAACCGGCGCGCTGAGACATATTGCAGAGCCTGCGGCAAGCTGGCATTGAGCATCACCATCAGATACGCGATCGCCAACACCGCTGATGGGCCATTCCCCGTTTCGCAAAAGAGCAGAACCTTGTTCAGTGTATGGCCCCCAGTGGAGGTTGAGGAAGCGACATGGGAATTGATATGGCGGATAAGTTGCGGTAGAATCGCGATCAGCTCTTGATTGTCCGCGAAATCTACGGTGCCTTCCGCGATCTGCAAAGCCTCTGCTGCCTTCTTGCCGCTGATGAGACTGGCCATCGCGAGTCGCTTATCGCGAACGGCTAAGAGAAACGTAATTCCTTCCTGGGCGAGTCGGCCACGGTCGGCGAGACAGCTCCAGGGGCCCAGGTAGAGAAAAGGTAATAATGCCTGGGCTTGTCGACGCATCTCATATGACCATTGAAACACCGGGGGTGGGATGGTGAAGCACAACGGGCCGACACGGTTGAAGAAGCCATGGGGCACGAATTCGCCCTCCTCGAAGGCATGGGTTTCGGCAGTGACGGGCTGATGGGCTTCGACGTTGAATTCCTCGTAAGCCACGGTGGGGTAGTCGGTTTTCAGTCGGCGAGTACCCAAGCTGTACTCATGGTTCGGGTTATACCGCGCATCGGAACCTTGAGACATCGCGCCATCGGCGGCAGAAGATGCCATAGCCATTCTTCAGATGTGATATTGGTAATAGTTATGATCTTGCACCAGTGAGCTGGACTTGTCAGGTGATTTTTCTCCTAGTTCGTGATCATAGCCCACAAGGAAAAAAATGTCAATATGTGTCGAGGGTTGAGAGTGGAGAGAGTTGAAGGTCAACAAGCAAAATCATCGAGTAGGGAGAAACAAAGAAGCCTGGGTGTAGGAGTAGACATGAAATGGGACATTCAGTTAATCACTCTTTCTTCGGACTGGTTTACCCGCGTGCTCGACAACGTCTTGCCGTCCGATATCATCGTATCACCACCACGAACTGCTCTTTGTGGAAGGGAAAACCCCGGCTTTCAGGTACAGAGTCGTGATTCGGATGGAGGTGGAACAATTAGCCTATGGACGTCACCCAGCTAACTGACTCAGCATATTCCGACCTAACTAACAAGTAACTTAGCGATTGATGATATCTCAGATTTGGCAGGCCTGGGGGTCTACGGGAAGTTGTGGTTCTACATCTAGCATCACGCAGAATTACACAATCAGAGCCTGTGAGATGAGAATGACCTGAAAAGCTCGGCAACTGGGACCAATCGAGAAATTCACTGACCCGGTTGTTACCTGGAGCTACCTAACTAGAGGGAAAAAAACCGCGGGTTCAAGAGCGGAGAGATGAAAAAACGAATGCATCGTCCGGGAGTCGAACCCGGGCCACTTGTTTGGAAGACAAGTATCGTAACCGTTTGACCAACGATGCTATTGGGTGAAATTTGCCACCTTCTAGTACACTATGAGCAGTCAATAAAATATTATGCTTTCCTTACGCCATCATGAAGTGTAGTTCACGCAAGATCATTGCGTATTCAACAAGAATTTTTTTCACTAGCTCATTTCATAGCACGAGTCGTCTTTTCTAGCATGTACCCATTTATCGAGTTAGCTTGCGCTCGACTAAGCGGGATTTGAAGCACATGAGTCACAGTAAGTGTCACGGGAGAGAGGCGTGCCGGACCCTACGTGGTAGAACAGTCCTGATCACAAGCGACTCCTTCGCGGTCATACTGGATGGAAGAGTAGGGCCGCTAGGCTGACTGTCAATGCTTCAATCGAACCAGAAATCAGTGCCTCAGGCCCGGAGCGCAGATTTGTTTCCTTTATCTACGTATGGATATAAGCCACAAGTCGTCGAAACTGAGGATTTGTCTTGAGAATCTTCTGACACCACTATGAACGAACGCGACTCCGTGGGAATCCCAACATGAACATAATAACTACGGTTCGGATAGCAATGAACAAAATGACGATAGACTGGGAAGTGACAAAGGAGACTTAGGTTGAAAACGCCTGGGTATATTTCAAGAAATAAAGAAAGAGTAGGAACCATTAGAACACCACCTGGCCTGTATGTTCGACCTCGAGCAAACGCCATATCTTCAGAGCTGCCTGATTTTTATCCATGCGTTCTGAGATGTAGACCAACCATATGAACGAACCCCCCACTGATGTTGTAGACAGAATCGCGCGGACCCAAGGCCCGTACTTTGCATATGAAAACGCCCATCGAATGCAAACCACCTAGTGCAGACCATAAAAGAAGAAGAGATCAAAACACCAAGGAAGTGTCTGGGGTAAAGAATGACACGAACAGGGTGGATAAGATATGAAGGGGAGAAGTTTTGAAAACATATAAATCGTAGAGAATCTTTGCTTTGGAGGCATCTATCCTTGGGACGTCGCGGTCTGCGGTAAAGCTTGCTGCAGACCAGCAACGATCCGTTCGAGCTCTTCCAGCCGGCGGTCCTTCTCCTGAACCTCAAGTTGCAGTCGCTTCAGCTCGTTCCGAAGAGTGACCCCGTTTCCACCATCTTCGGTAAGGTCCAAGGTGGGATCCTCATCGATGGAATCGCGCTTGCGCTTCAAGGTTGGGGGCACGCCCAGAGCTGCAGTGCTATCCAATTCAGGCGATGTGGCAATGGGCAGGTCTGATGCATGTCCATTCTCGGTATGCATGTGGCGCCGTCGGAGGTGTTCCTTCAGGTTCTCCTGACGCGTAAACCCGTTTCCTGTACTGCGATTGCAATCGGCGTATGGACACATCAGTGGCTTCTTGGCGTTGATGTTCTTCTTATGCACCTCGCGCTGGTGCCGCAATAGACCGCCAGAGTATGTGAATCCCTGGATTTTGTCACACCCGGGCTCCATGCACTTGTAGGGACGGTCGTGTTTGTCCATGTGCTTACTATTGTCATGGCTTGTCAGCGTTCTGTTCTCTTTTCGAGAGAATTTTTAACACATTAAAGGGAGCAAAGAAGACTTACTTCCACTCGCATGGTCGGCGAAAAGTAGGAGGTGATTGTTGGCACTCGGGATGATCGCAATAAATTTGGCCTGCAGAGTTCTTGGGCGGATCCCGCGCTCGCCTCACCGACAGTCGCGGACGCGCCCCTTCCATGAAATTGGGCGGGAGTTGTTCATTCATCTTGGGTGCTGGGGCAAGCGATTCCTGGGTAGTGACTAGAACTGAGGTAGGTCCGCCAGGACCTTCGCTTCGTGGGCTAGGATAATCAGAGCCGTCACCCATAGCGTAGTTCCAACCCCGCCGTCAATTGAGATGGGCGGAGGTGTCCCTGAAGGAATCGGGTAGTTTGAATCAAGAGACTCAGAGATCAAGGTCTATAAGGATGCAGAAAACAATAAGAAGTTCTAGTTTGGAAGAAAATGAAGCACAGAAAGGCTGATATAAATCGATGTGGGCGACCTTGTTCGTGTCGGGTGGCACTGCAATGGAGGATGGATGTTGGTTCCTTAAGGAAAGGGCGGATTGCCAGGATTTTTAGGACACTAAGCCAGGCATCGAGTGACTAAGCAGCTGAAGGCTTGGCGAACCGCCACTGGAAAGCGAGGACGGGATGAGAAACAATGAGCGGAGGGCGAAACGCTGGACCATGTAGTGAATTATATTGGCTTATTAATTCCAGGTCTTTTCAGCTCTGGGAACTCTGAGATTCTGACCGGTAATTCGAACATCAATATGCCTTGCACACGTGGTGTGATCGGAGACGCGCTGAATCTGTCCGGCACGGGCGATGGTACACCAAGTTGTATTAGTAGGCGCCGAATCACCCTAAATCTTGATGGCAAACCCTCCCAAGAGTTCTTTTAGGCTGCGACTAGTGAGTCACGCAGAAGTTGACATCAGGCAACCAAGCGAGGGGAGGAGGTCATCGGCAGGAGAAGCCCGAATTATCATTCCTGGTCGACCTGGGCCGAACGAAGATGAAGGGTTAGACGATTACTTCCTGCTTGACTTTACTGCTAACTTCTACGAGCCGCCGCCACATACCAGGCGGGCAAATCTGCGTGCCTCATTGCTGCCTGGCAATCATCGTAGCGCCAGGCACGTGGTCGGGGTTGAGCTCCTCAGCCACACTACCTACTTGGGAACTGTGGCGTAGGCATCTATTTTGGGAAATCCCAACAACTGCCAGCATGCCAGCATATCTGGTGCCTACGAAGAGAAGCATCATTGCAGAATTGTTGTTGGCTGCCAAATAACCTAACCCCTCCCCTCATTACCTCTTCATCCATGTCTGCTAGAATTATATCTCTCACCAGGGCTGTTCACCTTAGGTACCCAAATTTCTGCGGCATCGGAGCATGGCATATTGCGTTTCTTGCCCAATCCCGAGCCGCTCCATCCTTTAGGCACAGAAGGCGTTAAGCGCTGCTCCACGACAGACCAAAGGCTGAATGTACACCAATCAATCCCAAAGACTAGCCATCCGAGACGCTTCATGAGTGGAACTACTCGATGATCGTGGCGCGGTTTATCCTGGTCGATGTGTTTGACACGCAGGGTACATACTCGTACATACATGCAGATCCATCTACACAGCTTGTTTCTCACGCGCTTCATTTCAATGCCAGCAATATCCGATAGTCGTAACCTTGACCGTCCACCTGTTCCAAGAAAAGGTCTCTTTCCTATCGTCGAAGTTGCTGATTGGGATAGCATCGCCCACTCTACAGGCGCTTCAGCCGATATCGGCGCAATTTTGTGTACTGTACATACCTCCATTGCCGATCAGATCGGCCATTAATGCTTTTCAAAAGCATGGCCTCAACAACCCAAAAGACATTGCGTCACTTGCATGGTGATAACGTATCTTGGTTTTTCTTCTCTGGTATTCAAGATCCAGGCATGTCAGATTTGAGCCTATCAACATGTCTGTGCCTATAAATCCGTCGTAACGAGACGTTGCTAGTATATATTTATACTCATACTCATGGCGCCCGAAGTTGATCAGCCTTCGTGGCGCAGTGCTGCTATGATCAGCAGTAAGCTCCGCTCACTAGTCCTGGGATTATCTGCTTTGACCAGTAGGCAATACATCCTTCTCTTATCTCTGTAGGCCCGCTTGCCGTTGACAACTACCGGCAGATACTCGTAGTTATATTTGGAATGATCGACAAGGGTCCACGGTCTGATGATTGCCTTCCGGAAAGCTTCTATACAGGGATTGCTCGGCTGAAGAACTACTAAGTATGCGTTCAGCGCTCCCAATCATTCTATCGCGAATTGGCAGCGTCGAAGCCAATCGGCGCCCACTTGGATAATCTGGAAAATACGCCCTGTCGCTCTCACCCCGAATGAACTTTATGAGCCATGTCCTGTCGTATAAAGAAGTACTGTACAGTACAACTTGCAGGTTCTTCTAAGCTACAGCCAGGGTTGTTTCACAGTTGGATCCACTTTTAGTCTATATTGTTGAGCGGATACCAAGGATGCAAGAAACACGGATGCCTATTTGCGCTCTATTGTTCCTGGCTTTTCTCTTGGTTCGCACCTTCGCCGATCAACAAGTTACGTGGCTATGCTGTTCTCCCGAATCGGGAAGAGCCGGTCGACCGGAGAGGCCGGATCATTTTGGTCGGATTGCATGCTGAAGACTGAGGTACGATAGTCTACGGACTGCTTGGCTGATACGCACATAATCTACTTCAAGATGAACAGAGTCTGGGTTTATACGCCATGGAAATACGAATCAGATATGTGAGGTTTCAAATTGACTTTATGGTACGACAATAAGCATGCAGAGCAGTAGTAGTAGGAACAGAAGAGACAATAGAATGGGATCGATGGTGTTGGATTCACCCTCATTTACATCGTCCGCGACAATGTTAGGACTTGCTTGCTGGCCGCCTCTGAATTGCCGAGCACAGCCGTAAGCAAAGAGATTGACATACCATACCGCTGACTCTTCCCAGCGACTGATATCAAAATGACATTTATGAGGCATGACACGAGATGAAATTCATGCGGTCATCACCAATCGCATGCAGTTAGCAGGATCCTGAAGAACTGCTCCATTGTGTGACGAGGACTGATGTTCGCCTCGGTGACAGGTAGCAGTGATTCGTAGCCTGGAACTAGCATCCATTATCGACAGCAGCGCCCAAAAGAGGTCGAGGGATGTCGCAGTCTTCTCCAATTGTTGAGGGTTCGCTCCCACCGAAGCTGCCCTGGAAAGCACAGGGAATCCCCTGCTTTGAGAATTTCGATAAGGCCATGTGCAGCGCCAATATATCGAGTCTTGTCTGGGGCAACCAGTCCAGTCAATTCTGCGGCTGGCTGTTCCGAAACCCATGGGGATAACTGTAGGTAGGGGCGCTTCCGGGTCGGCTCCCAGTTTTTAACATCACACAGATATTTCGATCAATCATAATTTCCACCAATCTGACTGGCAAAAGCGGTTGAGACGCTACGAGTATCATCGTCGTCGTGCATGTGTCCTGGAACACCACGCGTGACACGAAGGCTAGTCGAGCTACCTCCAAAAATGCTGCCGTTATCGGGAACACCGGGCTTGTAAGGCTCACGCCCTCCAGATTCCACATAACGTTTCAGACGGTCGGACTGACTGAGACTGGGCTGCTTGGTCATATCGTTGATGCTTAGGCCGGCAAGGCTAACACCGCCCTGATCAACGCTCTTTCCATCAATGATACTGGCCGTAACATCAGACTCGGTGGCTGCGATAGACTCCCCAGCGATGCTAGGGGCACCCTTCATTCTATTTCCATTGGCGCGGCGAGCACCTGGCAGGGCTGGCCATGAGTCGGCAAAGTTCTGGAACATCGGCGGATAGCCAGAAGGAATGCTCACACCACCCAGAGCGGATGAGTGGACTGAAGAAACATCATCAGGAATATACCCTACAACGGATCCAGTGTCATGGAACTCATTGCGGTGGCCATTTCTTCCGTTCATCAACCCGCTGGTTACGTTAGAGGCATGGTTGTAAGCCATCTGGAATCGCTGAGGCCCACGATATGCTTGCTTGGGGCGGCTGAACTGGATGAGCGATTCCTGTAGGTTGGACAAGGGTCCTTCAACCAGACAGTGGCGCTCCTTGAAGTGCTGCAGGAGGCAGTTCCACAGAGGATGCTTCGACAAAACCTTGGGGTTTCCGAGGATTGCCAATCCATACTTCGCACGAGTGAGTGCGACGTTCAGACGGCGGGGATCACTCAGGAAACCGATGCCCTGATGGTCGTTGGAACGGACACAGGAAAGAATGATGAAATCCTTCTCACGACCCTGGAAAGCATCCACGGAAGCGACCTCGATTTCCTTGTAGTGCTCTTTCTTGAATGTACCAGTCGCCTGCATGGAGCTGACAATATAACTACGCTGGCCTTCGTAGGGAGTAATAATACCGATGTCCTGGGGCTGCACTCCGGCTTTGAAGAAACGGGTGACAATCTTCTCCACATTGGTCGCCTCAGTCCGATTGAGATAGGATGTACCGGACGCCGAGATCTCTTCGTTTCCGAGGTTTGACCAGAACATCATAGGATTGTCAATAATTGGCCAAGGGAAGTCCACATCACGGCGGAGACGGTCAAGAGGAGAGATACCGTTCTGAAGGGACCCCTCATAGAACATGTTCGAGGGAAACTCAGAGAGACAGGGGTGCATACGGTATTGAACATTCAAGCGGATAGGGGAGCAACCCAGGATAACCAGACGTTCGAAGAGCGATTGGTTGAGACCAGCTTTAGCAGCCTTCTTGTTCATGATGACAGGGCCCAGCTGTTGATGATCACCGACAAGGACGACTTGCTTGCAGCCCAATACTAGAGGAATCATACACTCAGGTTCAGCAGATTGGGTCGATTCGTCAATCAAGACAGTGCGGAACTTGAGCTTGGAAAGACGAGGGTCACCAGCACCGACACAAGTACAGCAGATGACATCAGCGTTGTTGAGAATCTCTCGTTCTGCGGAACGAGTGAGCTGCTTGAGTCTCTTTTCGTCCTGACTGGACAATTCGCCGAGCTCAGCCTTCAATTGATTGAGTTTGATAAGTTCAATGTTGCTGTCGTTGATGCGGACCTGTTCGTGTAGGGAGAGAAAACCGACAGGAGACTCGACATCCTCCCGCGATTTCGCAGTCACACGAACCGTCTTGAGACCAGTTCTGTGAATGCGTTCGCAGAGTTGATCAACAGCAACGTTGGATGGTGCACAAACCAAGACTTGACCTCCATTGATTTTGGCCAAGTGATAGATGATTGTAGCCGACGTGACGGTCTTTCCCGTACCCGGAGGTCCCTGAATCAAGCTCAAAGGCCTCTGGAGCACACTCTTGACCGCATTGATCTGACTATTGTTGAGCTCAGGAAGTCCTGGCACGCTGAATTTCTTAGGCATTTGAGTCTTCATCGGCGCAGCTGCAACTTCGTGACCGAGAAGACGGTGAAAGATGTATCCAGACACACTCATTTCATCGACTGCGAAGGTCTTCATAGCGAGCTGCATGCGGTCAAAAGAAGTAGATTTCCAGACATAGTCGGCCGTAAAGTTGTGCGTGCATTCGGTAGGCACGGATTTGTGGTCACCCTTGGCCCGTAATTCAATAGTCACTTCATCAGACTGGTTATTGGGGATCTTGATGACATATCCCACACCTTCCCACTTCGGGCGCAATTCACCACTGTATTTCAGGCGCATTTCATCACCTACCGCCAATTTCACATCACCGAGTTCGAGTTTGGGCAGGATGAAGCTGGCGAGGTGTTTGTTGTTCAGACCTAGGTCCCACCGGACAATTAGTCCATCCTGAGACTGGGACTCCTTTAGCTTTCGATCGTAATCCGCTTCAATTTTGACCAACGGTCCGAAGATGTTCTGATATTGGAAAGCGTCGTCGTAGCGCAGCAGGACAGGCGCAGGCTCATCGTCCACGGCCGTGGCCTTTTCCAAATCCGAGAAAGTTGCCTGAGAGTTTTCCTTCCACATTTCTTCCAATTTGGCAATTAACTGCGGGCTTAGGTGGCGAGCGCGAAGTTGCTCCTGATCAGAAGGAGCAGCCACAAGCCAGGGGAGGAACGAGCGATCTTCAATCAAGGGCTGCCAGCGTGAAGTATCCCAGTTCATATCTTTAGAGGAAGGCATGGCAGCACATGGTTGACGGCACAACAGAACAACAACAGTGTCGGACTTGGCTGGAATGAAACCGAGAAGGAAAACATTCTTGGTGCCGCAGTTGTAACACTCCAGGATAGTATCACCCAGCGATGAAGCAGGGTGTAGTTGGACTTCCTTATGGCGAGCTCGAACGAGGTGATTAACGATATGAGAAGATGACGTATTACCACGAGCACTACAGAACCATTTGCTGCAAGCCAGGCACTTCACGACGCTGCTCGGGTTGTGTATACCGCAATACCTGCAATGCCGCATTAATAAAGAGACGAGCTATTTCAATTGTCCCAAGAGATACATACGAGCAAGCATGGGGCGGAAGCTCTTTCTCCTCATCCAAAATCCCCTCCTTGTTTTTACGCCCCGCCATAGTAGCACTGGCCGTGCTCTCAGCGTCGTCATCCCCAACGGAGCCCTCGTCGTCGTCATCATGTCTCCGCGGACGGAAGTGATGGGCGTCATCAAGCTCTGTAGGAGCCCTCTCATCGACCGGTGCGGCCATAGCTGATGTTATGTGGTACGGATCGTTGAGGGAGATCGTGGACGTCGTGATATGTGTAGGCGCAGAATGAACGAAGATGTAGGAAGCGAAAGATACCTCGGCCGCCGCGATCAAGGTGGTGCAGAGACGGCGGTCGTAGAGATGAAATGAGTGTAGCGGACAAGCCCGTCGTCTGTGGCTCTACAGAATAACACAAGTCAGCTCGTTCTTGATAAGCTTGTCTCTCAAAACCATCAGTGTGCCACAGTAGAGGGGCAAAAGACAGGAATGGGAACAAGTGCGGCCTTAACGAAGCGGAATTGACTTGCGAATGACAGAGTGAGTCAAACCTCCAGTCCCAGCGAGTCCTGCCGCCACTGAATTACTTGGCGAAAGTGAATCGGCTTGCCCTCTTTGACCAGGCGTAATGTTGTCAACCACAGGGCTAAGTGGTGGTGGGTGGGTGAATATGCGATCGGCTCGATCAAGTTATCGGCGTTGTTTGCCGCCAAATCCCACAGTCCGGTGGTCAAGGCGGACCAGAGCGGCAATTTAAGAAAAGAAAAAAGATGGGCGGCATGCCGCATTCGATAACTTATCCGATCTTTTTATCAGACCCAAATACAGGCAGAACACTCAAGATGTTGGTATGTGTGTGCTCTACGCCAGATTATCGGCTTTAATGCGACTTGATTTCTTCTGTACTAATACCACTCCCAGCGCCGTCAAGCCCGTGAGCGTCGAGATTATCTCTATCGGAGAGCTCTAACCCTCCGCGATGCCTCTATCGCCGAAAAGCGAGCTCAACTGAAGGCGTCACTGGCCTCCGGCAAACCTCTCGATCCTTCTATCGCCAATGATAAATCCCTGCGCGAAGACTACAAATACGATGAATCCCTAGCAAGCGGAGACAAACAAGATCAGGACGCCGATAAGGTCGACCTGGACGACGAATATGCGCTCACCTCAGGAATCGCCGACCCCCGCCCTATCGTCACAACTTCTCGAAGCCCCTCCGTCCGCCTCGGTACTTTCGCCAAAGAAATCCGTTTACTCCTTCCCACGGGTATTCGTCTGAATCGTGGTAATCTCGTCCTTCCCGATCTTGTCTCGAGCGCAAACGCCGCGGCGCTTAGCGACATGATTCTCCTGCACGAACACCGTGGTACACCTACTGCGATGACCATCTCCCACTTGCCTCACGGCCCTACGGCTAGCTTTTCCCTCCACAATGTCGTTCTTCGTGCCGACATCCCAGACGCAGCCCGCGGAACTGTCTCCGAGAGCTACCCTCACCTCATCTTCGAGGGATTCACGACCAAATTGGGTCTCCGCGTTGTTCAAATCCTGAAGCATCTTTTCCCGCCTCGCGAGACTGGCAAGGTCGGCAACCGAGTCGTCAGCTTTGTGAACAAGGAGGACAGCATTGAGGTGCGGCACCACGTCTTCGTCAAGACCGGATATCGGGACGTTGAGTTGGCGGAAGTTGGCCCTCGTATGACCATGAGACTGTTTGAGATCCGTGGAGGCTCTTTGGAGAAGGGCTCCAGTGGCGATGTCGAATGGGCACTTACGCAGTACACAAGAACGAGCAAGAAGAAGGATTATCTGTGAGCGCAAACATTCGTCACCTGGCCTTTGTAGTCAGGCACGAAGGCCACAGAAAAGTTTGATTTGGCGCATGAGGTGTTAGGAGCTCCATGGTCACCTGTTTACCCGGTTGGCATTTTTAGCCACTATTTGTATACCCATCGGAAAGAACATAAATCACTGATCTTCATCTTCATCATTTTGCCCAGTATATAATCTGGCTGGCTAGCACATTTAGACCCCTCGACGAGGACATCTGATGAAGCACCTTATAATTACCTAGTAACTGCATGTTCTGCCTTTTCTCAAGCTTGATCCACTCCGATCGCCTAGTTTTCAGCCAAGCCCAGCCCATCATCATCCCCATCATATCTCGCACTATCTTCCCCCAATCGAGAGTCCGTAGTTGCTCCCTGACTTTCTACCTTCAATTCGTGCAGATCAGAAGATTTGTCAGCACCATAAATTCCATTCGGGTCTCCAGCACCTTCGTCGCGACGGACGAGCGTTTCTTGTTCGTCCACCGTACTGGTAGCCTCCGACTGAAGATAACGAGACAATATGCTTCTGTTATCCTCGTAGTAATACCAGCCCTGATGTGCGGGCAGCTGGTTCCCTTCTTCGTCCAGCTTCGGGAGAGGTACTATCCCATCAGACCTATTGGCCCAGTCTGTACCGGCCTTGCTCTTGAACTTTGCCTCAAACGCACCCATGGCCGTTTTCAAATTGGTTCCCAGAGGCGTCAATAGCTTGAACGAGGAGGTTCCAGCACGACTGTACTCGAAGTGTGTAGTGTAAACGTGCGGTTCGTCCTTGGACTCGTAGATCTATAGCAGGCCACTTCTCAGTTTGTGTGCCCAGCCATATAAGTATATATAAGTTTGAAGAAATCTCGTTGATAGCCATTCGGACACACCGACCTTAATGTGAATCTTCTCTCTCGACTTCCTCGAGAGCATCATTCGTACGAGGACAATGTCATATCTGACTCCTGTTTTGTTGTCCACATAAACGTTATAGTTGCCTGTCAGCGTTAATGACTGGGACTACTGCCCTGGCCTTCCCAAGACTTTGCTACTTACCCACGGCACTTCCAGCCCGGAGCTTGCTAGTGGCCTTGCCAAAAGGGTCTGGGTTCTTGGTTTTTCCTAATATCACCATCAGCACCGAGGGCGGGAGTCACTGGCACGAAACATGATGCGCCCTACCAGTAGACTTCTTCGCAGCTCCTTTCTTCTTCATCGTGGCGCCAGGGTCCGCTGACTTCGTATTTCGAGAAGCCTCGCGAGCCGACTTCTCTTTCTTCTGCTCATTCTTCACTTTTGTTTTCAGAAGATATTCAGTGACCCGCTTCGGCTTCTTGTCCTTCGAAAGCAGGGAATCCTCGAGCCAGTCGAAGGTGATGATCTTGATCTTGCCGTGCTCCTTTGCTTCGCGGACTGGTAGGCGGTCAGTGACTAGAGCCTGGTGGGATGAAAGAGGGAATAATGTGTGTACCTGGCTGGATGTTCTTCTTATATGCCTCAAGAGTGGTGATGAGATGGGTTACACTACGGCAAATGGTCGATGAATATTGTCCCCCATTCGCGGTGATCCATTGCGGTATCTTCTGCCCATCCTTCGGAAACTTGCCTGCCGAGCAAGCGTGGATCTTTTGGAATGTCTTTCCCATGACTTGCGGTTTCGTAGGTATGTAGTGTGATTAGAGTGATGAGGAGTAGGGGGTTAGCGTCTCGAACGTAGGGACTGCAAGTGGCATGAGAGAGGAGAAGAGGTAGTAGGTTTCTGGGATTCAATCAGTGGAATGATGGGGTGGAAAGAAGAGATAGATGAAGACGATATCAGTAGCAGCCTGGGTATTGCTGGCTCAATGTTCGAACCATCAGACTCCGAAGAATTGTTTAATGTTGGAAGACAACAAAGCCGGATACTGTGAGAGTGGCAGAGAAGTCACGCAGGTCAAATTCGGTTACGATGTATGTATATCAATTTAATGACGAGATGTGCGAAATGTAAAGAAGGTTGGAGACTAAAGTAAAGCTCGGGTAGGCAATATAAAATGTCCCAGAATAAGGAACCGCTCACTTCTGTCTGAATATAGCCTTCCAAGTATGTGATAGCTGTATGGGGGCTATGGCGCATGTGACAATTCACGTAAAGTCATAATACCAGGCATTTGGTTCATATCGACTTCAGAATAACCTCTGTGGAGGCAAAGTTTCAGCATTCCGCACCTGGTGGACTTTACCTGCCAAGTATAGTTTGGTTATGCTGATGGGGAAAACCCCGACGGACATGAATGGCTTCATGTCCAACTCATAATGAGAGTCATACTTTAAAGTGGACAGACTCAGAGACAGAGAAGAGATCAAGTTATGCAGGAACCCTTTAGTCAAAATCCATGAGTTCAGACAAAATGGACCACGGTCATGGCGGTCGGCTAAGGTCGTTTAGTAGTAAGGAAATGCGAGGTAATAACTATCCTTGAAAGGCATGTAATTAAAATTTGTCCCGAAAGTAAGGATCAATACCATAATGGCTTGATGATTAACTCAGAATAGAACATATTATGTAGAAATCAAACACCGAGTCACATGCGGAGGCGCTTGACAGCCTTCACAAAGGCGCGAATCTTCTCCACATCTTGAGCGCCGTCTGACTCTACGCCAGAACTGACGTCCACGCCCACAACTTTGTCGCCGGACTTGCCGAGCTTCTCGATCGTGTTAACCACATTTGTGGGATCCAAGCCTCCAGCGAGGATAACACGCAAGCCGCTATCGCTCTCCAGAACTTGCTCAACACGAGACTGATCCAGCAACTCACCCGACCCTCCAGCCCCAGAGTCCAGCAGGGGCAGGGTATGGTATGATCTCCGAGCGATTGCCGGCTCATCGAGACCAAATTTGCGAATGACAGGAACTGGGATCGACCTAGCCCACTCGAGCGGCTCGGAACCATGCAATTGTACAACATCGAGTCCGAGCTTCTGTTGCTGAGACAAGATATAATCCAAAGGCTGGTTTTGGAAAACACCTACGAGTAGAGCACGAGTAGGGTGGCGCAGGACCGAGGCGGAATGATCAAAGTAATCAATAGCTGTTGCCTCGGGTAATTGAGGAGATTGAGTGGTGGGCTTGTGAGTAGTCTTGACGACCTGTGAGATCCGCAATGCAACATCATCCGGGACAAGTCGCTTCCGTCCTTGAACCAATATCATGCCGATTAAATCAGCACCAGCTTCGATTGCAGCCCTAGCTACTTCCTCAGATCGTGTGCCGCAAATCTTCACGAGTGGCGAGCTCTGAACCTTGGTGGCGACACTCTTAGCACTTCCACCAAGCAACTCCGCAACAAATGCAGATGTGTCTGCCGCTCGCATCAGAGCCTCACCGACCAGAATCGCTTTGACGCCTTCTTTCTTGTAGGCTTCCACATCTTTCGGGCCAGAGATGCCGCTCAGTGCGCAAACAATGGTGCTCGAGGGGACTTGATCCATTAGTCGACTTGTGGTTCCGAGATCGACTTCAAAGCTAGTCAAGTCACGGTTGTTGACACCAATGACCTGTGCTCCCAACTCAACTGCAATCTTCATCTCTTCGGGAGTATTGACTTCAACCAGTGGTTCCATCCCGAGACTGCGAGAATAGTGATAGAGTCTTGTAAGGAGCTCGGTGCTAAGCATCTTCACGATGAGCAGCACTGTGTCGGCACCAGCCAATCGCGCTTCCAAGATTTGGTATTCATCAAAGACAAACTCTTTGCGAAGGATAGCAGGCCTGTTGGTGAAGCCCTCTAGACTCTGTCGAACGGCACGCAGGTCATCAATGCTGCCCTTGAACCATTCAGGCTCGGTAAGGACGGAGATAACACTAGCTCCCGCCTTCGCATATTGACGAGCCTGGGCTGGTGCGCATGCATTCTCAGCAATCATGCCCTTCGAAGGAGAAGCCCGCTTGATCTCAGCCATGAGGGACAGAGGATAAGGTGATTGCCTAAGGCGGTCAGGGAAGGAGACCTGAGGAGGAGCAAGGTTGAGATCGTAAGCAGCTTGCAGATCTGCAGGTCGCTGGGAAGGAATGGTCTTCTGTACAGCCACGGCAGCCTTGCGGTGGTCATAGATCTTGTCAAGGATTGATCTCTTCTTATCGGTCTTTGGAACGGCAGACAAAGGCGCAGTCGGAACCACGGTCTTCTGTTCACCGAAGTACTTCCCGTTTCCTTCCCAGGTGCCGGCCGTAAGCTTCAAGAAATTCCTGAACATAGTTTGTCCATGCTCCGTCAGAATACTCTCCGGGTGGAACTGGACACCCTCTATAGCAAATTGCTTGTGGCGCACACCCATGATGACGGTTTTGTCGTTGTCATTGCCGTTGGCTAGATGCACGTAAGAGGTTACTTCCAGGCAGTCGGGAACAGTGGAATGAGTTCCAGCCAGAGAGTGATAACGAGTGACATCGAGCTTAGCAGGCAAGCCTTCGTAGCAGCCTTTGCCATCGTGCTTCAAGGGGGATGTTTTGCCATGCAAAATCTCGCCGGTAACGTCGACCTTTCCTCCAAAGCAAGTGATCATACATTGCTGGCCCATACACACTCCAAAAATAGGAATCTTGCCGCTGAAGTGCTTAATTGCGGCATTGCTGATGCCGGCATCCGTCTCTGGGTGACCTGGACCGGGGCTGATCACAAGTTGCGTCGGGTTTTTCGCGATCAGTTCCTCGAGAGTGATTTGGTCGTTACGGTAAACATTCACTGTCGCGCCTTCGAGGACCAGGTACTGATAGACGTTCCAGGTAAAGGAGTCATAGTTATCGATTAGAATGACATTCGAGGCGGTGTTGAGTTGGGCCGCTTTGGTAGGATGGTGGGGGGAATGGTCAACGAGATCCGCCATGGTTGATAGATCTGGATAGAGAGAGCAAGAGACAGATTAGACGGATGAGCGACCGGAGGATTAGGATGCAGAAGGGGAGAAGAGAACTCTGGGCCAACCCACCTCTCACTGTTGACTAAACTGTCCGAGAAGTGTGCTGTGTAACCAAAAGCAATATATCCATTGACTCACTAGCCGAACAAATGCCAAATGCCGCCGCCGCCGTTGCCGCCGCCAGCAGCGGAGGTGCCCAGTGGTGAGCGAGGTGAGTGGATCAGGGTGCCATCCAGATTCGGATTAGTGTATTCAAACAATGCAAATCAAGCCAGCTAGTACAAAATCTCTCTCACCGCCTAGCACTAGACCCAGATAGGCAGTCATTGTTGACCTCAGGCTAAACTCCGTTCGGATTGAATAATATTCTGGAGATTCCCGCCTTGAGCTGGTGAGCTCTGTATTCGTCCCTCTCCGCTGCTGCCCACCTCCGTGTCTCTCTCTCTGACTCGGTCGGACGGCGTCTTCTTTTCATCGCCTGTTTGAATTCTATAATGATATAATAGTTCCGCCAATGGCTCCCCTCCCGGAAGCCTTCTTCCCGTCCCTGGACAAGTGCTTCTCCGGGGACGTCCAGCTTCTGTACGCGCCATTGATAGTAACACATTTGATCGACAACATACACTAACCTCGTTGGTGATTCTAGGTCTTGGAAGAGAGCCTTCCTATACACATGCAATCACGCGAGTGCAGGAGATGATGCGGAGAAACTACATGCCTTCCTGTCGCATCCCGACAGCATCCAGATTCTCTCGAATTGCCAGAACGGGTTCCCGCCTCCATCGGCCAAATCTAAGACGGAATTCGAATCCAAAACAGCTGCCATCCATGTCGAGACCAATGCGCAATCTTCATACGACCTCAAGGAGATCAAAGCGGACGCTCTTTGGCTGAGCGAGAAAGCTGGGATCGATGAAATCAGCGCGCTTCGGATTACCGTGTTGGAATGGCAAAATCGACCTGCGACACGCCTCTTAACTCGCTTCGCTGGGGAGGAAACAACAAGTCTGCAAAGTGCAACAGGGGTCGATAACCTGCGCGCATCCCTCGCGGGTCCTGCTCTTGCCGAAGTTCTCAATCGCAAAATCCTGGTGAACGATGATTCCGTCGACTTTCTTTCCGAAAAAAGTAGACGCCTAAGGTTACGCAACCTCTATCTCTCCGAACGCAGCCATGTCATCAAGGTATCTCGCAAACTCTTGGGCTTTTTCCATCTCGGCACACTTGACCCCGCTCCCACCCAGCAATCATCGAGCAAGCAAAGTGATTTGTGCAGATTGGGCGCCCAAGTCTTCGATGGCAAACTCAAAGAAGGGAAATGGCACACATTTAGCGAAAGCTGTATCGAAGCGGTCCGCAGTCGACTGAAGTCTCTGACAGAAGATGGCGGGTGGCTAAGTGTCACTGAGAGCAATCAGCAAGTTGAAGATTTGTGGGCGACAACCCTCGTCGAAGAAATCCTGCACATTGTGCAGATACTATTTTTGCAACTACAGGCCTCTGAAGAGATACCCTCCGCTAGTCTTGTGCTCTCTTGGCTCAAGCTGATGGTTGAGCATAGCTTCCTCGAGCCACTTGTAATTGTAAGTTATTGGCTGTCTACCCTTAGCGAGTGAACATATACTGACTCATTGAAGCCATGCCAGGATCCCTTGGAAGTATTAGTGCCACTTCAGGGCTTTGTTTCCTTGACCACAATCGCGTTCTTGAAACTTCAGCTGTCGGTCCCTGCTATCATCAATAAAACCTTTGTTAAGGGCAAAAGCCTTGCATCCTCCAAAACTCCTTACTACCTGTGCAAGGAGGAGATTGGTCAGATCCATGAAATGTTCTTGTCTGCAGGCCTTGAATGTAAGACTGCTAATCCGGGCGCATTTGCATGGGGTATGATATTACACACTATGCGGGAGCTCGCGCTTAATGACAGAGAGACACGCGAGCTAGAGCAATTCCACAGCGCTGTCGATTCCTTTCAGTCGAATACACCAGACTCAAACGCTGGCCGATCATCCGAGTCTTCGCTTTATGAGGAGTTGCTTGAGCGCACACGGTCACCCAATTACACCATCGATGAGTCAATTGCCGTCTTGACCTCAGACGTAATGAAGGAGGTTGTCTTCGATACAATCGTTGCATTAGCAACTAAAGTTGAACCGACATCTGCGGTCGACGATCAATTAACGGCCAATTGGATCCGAGTGGTGTTGCTGGACTTCCTTCGGGCCGCAGTGGTGTACTTGGACTATTCTCCAGAGATTCTCGAAGCTGTCTTAGCGATCCTCAACGGGCCTGCAACAGAGCCTCAATGGCTTTCCGACTCGCAAATGCCACTTTCAACGGATCCACGACTCCGGTTCGTCAAGGAAGATATCCTGATGGATAGCATCTTCCGGATCGCACGCTCGCGATTCCCCTATGAAACAGTACCTTTCTTGAAACTATGCCGCGCTCTAGTCAGCAAAGATCTAGTCGATGAAGAAGGCCTTCCATTTATTGTCGCAGAGCTGGAGAATATGGGGTCATTTACCCAAATCGTGCCTCATGATTTCTACGGCTACCAAACGGTGAGAGAAGATGAAAACGCGAACTTTGTCTCTCTCGTTGAGCCACTGCCGATGGTCTCGTCCGCGCCGCGGAGACTGATTGGCAGCCGTGACATGGGCAATGCGTTGGTTGTCACAGCCTCGTCCCAGATTCCATCGACAGCAGTCGGCCAGATTGTCTCCGAGTCGAGGCCTGCAGTCATTGCGTGGCAGCATCAATATTCCTGCTTGAGCTACCTTGGAAGTTGGCTAGAAGGATGGAACGAGCAAGGAGGTTTCGCAGCAGGCTATGGAGAGGAGTCTGTCGCGGATTCCATCGGACTACTTGCTGACCTTCTGGTAGCTGCTAAGGATGCACAGGCACAAAATCGGGACGGATCTGGCGCCAAGCGTATTCTAGAGTTGGCTAGTGACGGCCTATCCCATCAAGGCGACATCATATCCTTAATTTTCGATATCTTTGAACGAAACCTTCCACTTGTTGGCTCACGAACTGGCTTGGATGCTGTACTAGAGAGTACGATCGCCTGTCTGCGGTTTATTCATGCTCTGTTAGAGGTTCTGCCGGGCAGAGTTTGGCCATTCCTTTCTCGCAGTGGCCTGCTTGGCACAGATGGAAAGGGTGGTGTTATGACAACTATTATCTCTGCTGCGGAGGTAACATCAGGAAATTACCCTTTCCTCTTGGGCTGTGTGCGGTTGTTCGATGCTGCCGTCGAGGACGCAGCCTCTCGCGCAGTTTTGAGACGGAGTCCGAATGGCGTTAATGGAAAGATGATGAATGCCTCAGACTGGACCGCAGGCGTTCCTTCACATATGATGCGAGGCATCCTACTAAACTTTGTGCGGGCCATGGTCGACGCCTACAACAGCAATGGGAATTGGAGATTTAATGCCATCGAGCAAAGGTTCGAGGTAAACACGTCGCTTGCCAGGACATTTGAACGAATAATCTATTACGCATACGGAACGAATGAGGATGAGAAATTGGACATGAAGGCTACAGGTGTCCTCTCATCTTCCGCAACATTCTTATTAGAGGTGATGCGTCCCGAGTCGACCGATGACTTGCCCTTTAATTCTATCCTACGCCTAATTCTTGATGGTCTCCAAACTCCTTCGACATTGTATCTCCGTTATTTGGCCCTTGTTCAAAAACAGGTTCTCGCGACATTGGAGCTTTCGGCCCGGCTGTTGCAGGCAGCACGGTGCCTAGGCCTTCCCCCTTCGCTTCTGGAAGAACAGCTCTTCAAGGCTAGTCCAGCGCTTGTGAAGTTGTACGCTTCGGATGATGTCTATCGATTCCCGATCATCTCGATCTTGGAGATCCTCATATCTGGCGCCGCTTCTGACTCTGCCAAGGAACCACCATCTCTGGTCGGTCACCTGGGTCCTGAATCAGTCTGTCTCTTCCTCGACGTTCTGTCTCAATTCGACAAGCCACTCAACGACCAGCGCCTCCAGTTGGTGATCTGGCATTTTCTGTCTACTATCATAAGCAAGCGTCAACCGTGGCTTGCCGTCTACATTCTAACGGGAACGTCGCCGCGTCAATCACTGAAGAAGGACGACAAGCAGAAGGGGCTTGCCATGAGAGGGACTCCTTTTTTGCAGATTGCTCTCGACACACTTGCGAAGATAGAGCAGACCGATCTTCAAGTAGCCCTCTCACAACTGGTATTTGTTTCTCACGCGCAGGAACACTGGCCATGGGCGACTCCCGAGCTGAAGAAACACCCGCAATTCTTTACCAGCATCGTCAGCTATGTCTCCAAGTTGAAAATCTCGTCTCTATCAGCGGTAGACCAGATCTTTGCTACTCGGATAGCGGCCGTGGTTGCAGATCTTTGTGGCGTGTATCTGCATGCAGCGAAGGATATGCAAGACAAGGGCTTTTACAAGACTATGATTCCCCTTGTTTCTTGGTTCTCGAAGGATGCGGTGGATGTGTCTGGTTACAATGCGTCTCTACATGTGAATCTCAGGAAAAACTTCGAGATGCGGTACCCTGGGTGCAAGCTCGCCGACTTCAAGAGATCCCCGCTGCAGTCTCGCACGCTTGGACGTGGATACTACTATGACATTGAACTAGGCCAGAAACTTCTCTCATACGACTTTGCCTGGACAGGGACTCGGAACCAAGGGTTCGCCGAAGAATTTCAGCGTGCCAACCTCAACTTGTCTTTGGTTGAGGCGCAAGTGGTATGTACTCCGTCTCTCTTAATCTTATCTTTGTTATATTCGTTAACCATGTCCTTTGTAGGCTCTCCTTTACAGCTGGAAGTTCTTTGCCATCGAGCATTGCGAAGACTTCATGGCAGATCGTGAAGTCCAGAAGTCGATGGCTCTGGTCGTGCAGAGCTGTCTGGAAGCCAATACCCGAACTGTTCCTCAGGAAGCTATCTTCGAACGCATCCAGCAAACCCGAGCAGAATTTGCGCAAGCCCTGCTCCAACGCCTGGTTACGATTGGTGCTAAAGGAGCTGAGGTCTTCGGTCTTCTCAAGGTCGTATGGGATGCATTGCGATCCCGCCGCGCTTCTTACGAAGAAGCTATTATCAACGACGACACGGACTATTACCGCCTACTATTGAATGTTCTTTTCCTTGCGCTTCAGTTCCATCTCGATTCGCCTTCGCGAACCGCCCCGGAGACTCTGACAAAGAAAGCGGAGGTGTCCTCCGATCTTGGAGTCGTGGTGGAGATTGTCAAGGTTGTGGTTGCGCAAGGCTTCAAGTCCTTAGTCACCTATCTTCATGAGCAACCTGACAAATGTACGCCCAAAGACTTTGCTCTTCTTACTGCGATCCTGCAAAGTGCATTGCAGGTCAAAAATGTTGATCGCTTATTTGAGCATATCGTCTACCACATTGCCGATAATGACACAGCGCGACTTGCAACTTCCTTATTCTCCTGGGCCGATCAACGGACTGTGGCTGGCGACCCCGTGTACGGCGAGCTGAGCATGTCCTTCCTCGTTAAGCTGTCCACCATCCCGATGCTGGCAGAGCATCTAGCTGTCGAGACCGTCCTGGCGCGTATTTCTACTAGCCGACTTACGGCCTTCATGCGCCAGAGTAAGGGCTTCGGACCGTTCGACCCAGTTCCGCGACTCTATTCAATCTGGACGGGCGGCATTCTCCCTCTGTGTCTGAATCTCCTCTACCATGTTATGCGCACCGCGCCGGAGGTGGCCGGGTTCCTCAACCAATTCGAAGGTCAACTGACTCGCTCAGCCGAATCATTCGCTGCCGGCCGCACCGTCAGCGTTTCCGGGGTTGCTTCCACGCGGCGACTTACTCTCAGCATGGTCTCCGAAGCGTACTCCCTCGCGCTGATCTCGTTCATACTGACCCGGTTCCGCGAAGCCGGCGCCAGTATCGGAGTCGACGCCCAGGCAATCCAGCCACTGAAGTGGGACAAGACACAAGTCAAGGACGACATCGAGGAGCTCCTCGAGCGCAAGCAGAGTCTGCGGGCACGTATCGTGGCCACCAGCGACAAGGAGCTAGAGTTGGCGCGTCAGAAGCCGGTCGATGCTGCCTCGGGAGCTGAAAACCGGTTGGAGGAGAAGATAATCAGTGAGTTAAAGGCCACGCTGATTACCCTTGGCGGCGATGAGGCGTGAGGTTCGAGTTCCAGGTGTGCAAGAAACGGTGTTTAGAATCCAACTAGACAGATTCGCTCTATCACTTGAGCGGGTGATTTATATTTGTGTATGGTCTTTTATTATTTCCATCCGATGAGCGAACTCAGGGGGGTACTACGACTATTTTTTCAGAGAATTTAGCATAACGTTGGTCTTATTTCTTTCTTTTAACACTGTTGTTGCTGCCAGTTGGTGAATGCTAGTAAATCGGGCAGTAGTGTATGTGCAGTACCTGTCCATGGTCCAGCTTCTTCCTTGTACTTTCATCTGTGAATGCGTCGCAAATATCCACCACAACTGAATCCAAATGTTTACTCACCTGTAACTTGTAACTACAGTAGCCAGCCTATTATCAAACCCAATGCCGATCCCCCGCAACACCAGCCTATGCCCCCTTCCCCTCCCCAATCAATCAGTCAATCAATCAATCAATCAATCAATCAATCACACCATACCATACCATCTACCGGGTCCATCCCGGCCCGCCCCCCTCCTCTTCCCTTGGGAAACACCCATCCAAACCTCGGTCACCGAGTGATTGGTAACCGTAACCGAACAACCGACACGAGAAAATGCGGGGAGGGAAGACCGGCAACTTACTCCAGAGGTGGGAGCGGGGTGTGGAAGCGCGGAAAAACGAAACGCGGGCCTGCACTGACTGGACTGCACTGCACCACTCACTTCATTCCCCAATCAATCCATCCGAAGCAAATGCCTCTTCCTCTTTTTTTTTTTTCCATCAGCCCGGTTGCCACTGCAGGTGCAGGTGCAGTGCAGTGCCCTCCAACTGCATCCACATATCGGATAGCTGGCTTGCTAGTAACCCAATCCAACCCATTAGCCCAAGTTTGTACTGTACATACGGTACTCGGTTTGAGATTCTCGGATTATGTATCCACCCTTGTCTGTCTGACAAGGGACTACGTCAAGCGTCGGGAATACCCCGGCTTATTGTCTAGAGTTTATATTGTAGGAAGGTTGGTAGGTAGGTAGTTGGTGTGCACCACACAGACACAGATAGACACACCGCTGCATCTGCATTCGCATAAGGGAAACCAAACCCAACAGGCTTTTTCTCATCCGGGAAATGCTCGTATACGTAGGCATGTAGATGCCAGTTAATTAGTTAGCACCGCAGATAGGTTCATGCATGATTCGTGTTGTATTGGGCTTGCATTATGGAGGTCTGGGCGGACATCGAGGATTGACTGGGTGACTGACATACATTTAAAAAGCGATGGGGGGTGGGAGGGTTGATGGGTTTTATTCCTATTCACTTGTGGAATCCTTATTCTTCCTTGGGGGCGGACTGTACTTATTATCTATCGCCTTATTTCCCCATCTTTCTTCAACGATTGGGGTACTGTACATACATCCTAAGTACTGGTTGGAGTCAACCTGTTTTGCTCGGATATTCGGATGACTTGCTATTGCCCGCGCTGCTTCCAGTGATACTTCAGCGAACCAACCAACCAGCCGACGAACGAGATCTATACATCTCTTGATTTGCAGTGCCAGAATACAGCCAGGAATGAATTAATCGCCTAACAAGCATCCTTCCTCATCAATCTACCCAGCTGAACTTATTTCCATCTCTCCACCCGCTCCTCAAATGCGATACACTTGACCTATCCTCCCCCCTCCCCTATTAACTTCCTCGAGGAAACATCAAAGAACTCCCGCCAAAATGCCCTTCCAGTCTCGCTGGACCATCGACATCCCCAACTGCCACCTCGCGACCCTCCTCTTCACCTCGCCTACCCACCCACTCTCCCAGACTCGTCCCTGTTTCCTCGACGCCGCCAGGCCCGATACCCACTACTTCACGGAGCACGCCTTCCGTCTCTGGAGCCAGCGGTTCGCCGCGGGCCTCCGGAGAGCCGGGCTGCAGCGCGGGGATCGCGTGCTCCTGTTCTCCGGGAATGATCTGTTCTTCCCCGTCGTGTTCATGGGGATCATCATGGCTGGGGGCATCTTCACCGGGGCCAACCCGACGTTCGTGGCACGGGAGTTGGAGTACCAGCTCCGGGATTCGGAGGCGACGTTCTTGATCTGTGCGATGGGGAGTTTGGCTACTGGGGTGCAGGCGGCCAGGGGGGCGGGGTTGGGGTTGGACCGGGTGTTTGTTTTTGATAATGCGGTGTTCGAGCAATATGGCGCTGATCAAGGCACTGACCGGATACACAAGAAGCACGAGGAAGGGCTCCGAGGGTGTCGCTACTGGGGGGAGTTGATCGCGTCCGCCGAGGAGGGGAGTCGCTTCGTGTGGGAAGATCTAATGACGCCGGGAGCGGCCGATACACGGACGCTGGCGCTGAATTACTCGAGCGGTACCACCGGAAGACCCAAGGGGGTCGAGATCACGCACAAGAACTACGTCGCCAATTTGTTGCAGTATAACTTCCTCTTCTACCTGTACCCGGACTGGGTGGAACGGGTGGCGCGCGCGCGTTGGCTGTGTTTCCTGCCCATGTATCATGCCATGGCGCAGAATATCTTCATTGCCGCGGCGTTGCGGCGCGGCGTGCCCGTCTACATCATGCCCAAGTTTGACATGCTGACGATGCTGGAGTATACCGAGAAGTTTCGCATCACGGATTACATTATCGTGCCGCCCGTGGTGGTGGCATTGGCGAAACACCCTGCTGTCCGCAGCGGCCAGTATGATTTGAGCAGCGTGGAGGGAGTCTTCAGCGGTGCGGCACCCTTGGGTGCGGAGGTCTGCGAGCAGGTTGAGAAGCTTTGGGCACCGGGTCAAATCAAGGTCCGCCAAGGATGGGGGATGACTGAGTGAGTTCTGCTTTTGTCATGTTAGATATGAACCAGCAGCTAACAGAAGTCCTCGTCGGTCTCGCCGTAGGACGACGTGTTCACTGTTAGGCTGGGATCCCAGAATGCAGCCTCACCCAGCATCGGTGGGAGAGCTGAACGCCAATTGTGAAGCCAAAATCATGGCCGACGATGACAAGACAGAGTTGGGACCAAATCAGCGCGGCGAGCTGTGGGTGCGGGGCCAGAACATCATGAAAGGCTACTGGAAGAACCCAGGAGCGACCAAAGAAGCCAAAACAGAAGACGGTTGGCTGAAGACAGGCGATATTGCCTTTGTGAACGATCAAGGCCTTTTCCATGTGGTAGACCGGAAAAAGGTAAGCTAGTGAAACGACCTTCATGCTCGCCACTTGCTGCGGATTTCAGAATAGCGGATACGCCGTTCCTGCATGTCTTGTCGCCTCCTTCCTCTCTCTCTCTCTCTCACTTTTTTGCCATGCTGACAAACACATTTGTTCCAGGAATTAATCAAAGTCAAAGGAAATCAGGTCGCGCCAGCTGAACTGGAGGCGATATTGCTAGACCATCCTGCAGTGGCCGATGCCGCCGTCATTGGCGTTCCCCTGTGAGTGCGCGAAAGATCGTGGTGGCAGCAATAGAGAAGTAAAACACTAATGCGACCAGCAACAAATAGGAACGACGACGAGCGTCCTCGAGCATATATCGTACTGAATTCCGGGCAAACCGCCACCAAAAAGGACATACTGTCATTCATGGACGGTAAAGTATCGCCGTTCAAGCGTATCACGGGAGGAGTAGTGTTCATTGATGCAATTCCCAAAAATCCCTCAGGTAAGATCCTGAGAAAGATGCTTCGCGAGCGTGCCAATGCGGAGATACAGCCGACTGCTAGACTATAGATTATCTTTTCAGTATCCCAAGATCTTCCCAACTCATACCCACATAAAAGCTGTACATGCGTCGAGATTAAGAGCTCATAGGCTAGCGAAATTGGCTATCAGAGGCGGTGATTTACCTGAATATGTGCGGTCGGTTTCCTCGAGGCTATACCATAAACTTGGGCAATTTTCGTAGAAAGAAAGAGACCCCATCGCGCTGTACCCGGCAGACAGCAATATTGCGGCATCATCCACGAGGTTCTAGAATGCAAGCTGGCAATATGATAGCCTAAGCAATAGGAAGTGATGGGAAGGAGAAAGCAGCATACGTTGGTCCAACCCATAAGACAATGCGAGTACCAGTTAAGGCCACCCAGTGGGGGTGAACGACCGATCGATCGACGGCATGCATTTCGATCAGTGCGAATGTTATTGGCTGTATCTTGCGAGCTTGCATTCGGCGATATGGACTAGGCATCATCTAGATCTGGCGTGGAATATGTGCCTGCAGAAGCAATCCCCGTGAATGGTTGGGCGCCACAGGGATCGACCAAGTCACCGCGGCATTGAGGCGGCGCAGGAGCCTCATCTCACCAAGGCAGGGAACCCAAAGCGATGTGCATTGACACCGTGGTCAGTGGCATGCAAAAAGGAGGGGTCAAGTTTTGACAATCAAGTTGATTAATCAATGGCCTGGTTGATACCCCGTGAAGTCAAATTCGCTGACGTGCAAGTAGTGTTGATGATGGCGAGCTGACGACTAGTAAAGGAGTCTCGACCTCCACCAGGTTCCAACAACTTTTTAGCTGCATATAATTAGCTTAAGACCTAGAACGGGATCTGCGGCAAAAGTTGATCGGTAGGCAGGGCGCAGCTGAGAGAGACGACGAAACAATGAAAGGACCCTTGAAATGCCAAGCCATCGAAAGGCAGGAAAGGCGAGCAAAGAAGCGATGAGAAAGAAGGAGATCACGAGATGGCGCATCATGGACACAAGTGAAGGTTAACCAGACCGTAACTTTGCCGGGTCCATCGCGGCGCCATCGACAGGGGCAATGCGAATCGCAAGTCAGCCAAATTCAACCATCGTGTTGGGCCTCTTTTGCTCGGCTTGATTTCTGCAAATTCCCACCCTCCTAGATATTGCTAGTGATCGAACCTCACACGGTCCAGGCGGCCTTATGGCGTTGTGACTGGGCCGCACTCTCCCCTTAAGAGTTAGCGGGTCTCCTAGCCGATGGCACAGAGTGGTGGCGCTTCCGCTGGGCAGCTGAACCTGCCTTGCTTCAGGACCTCCATCCCGACCTTTTTAGCTTCTTTGGTCCTATGATCGGGATGCATCTGTAGTCGGAGGTCATTCTCGTCGATTGCGATCGTTGCATAAGCTCTCGTGGCTGATTATGGCACAGCTGGAGTGGGAGGGGCTTCCCCTCCTCTATCATAACCCATTCGAGTAGCAAGTGAGCTTTAGTGAATCCAACTGTTATTCTATCAGATATGTTTCTAGTCTCTGCGCAGTGGAGTCCTCATTTTTCCGAGGACATATAATTAAAGAGGCGTGTTTCGTGCCATGGGCTGCCCTAAGGACCGGTGTTATTGCTTTTGATTCGGTCTATGTTGGTTGCGCCATGGTCTGGTCTCGATTATAAAAACCATCCGATATCTGCCAGGACTGATATTGTTCCGTGCATACGGCTCTTTTGCTCATTCATGTTCACTCCTGGTTCATTTGAATACCACTCTCTTTCTCGACCCAACCTCATTTGTCTCTCCGCGGTTGCCCGTCAGGAGTGTACAGAGGCAACTCCTCCGGCAAACAAACCAACGTGATACTGTAATTTAACCGAGTATTTGTGCTACAGAGACTTTTCCCAGGGTTTATTGAATCAACTTACTTACTAAGTGTCCAGATTGGTATCCCGTACAGCTTGACGAGCAGCTGGAATCCGATTGGCTGCCGCAGGGAACTATAAAGCCCAAGTCCCTGCAATGAGGTGCGAGAATGTCAAGACGGCAATCCCGAAGAACATCCAGATAGTGTCGCTTGGATTCGTCTATTCTGCTGCCTGTATCGTTTGCGTTCTACTGCTCCTGCAACGCATCCGACGTCGCCGGCTCGGGTTCGCACCGTCAAAGAGGCGAATGGATCCGCTGTCATCTTCGCTAGAGAAAGGTGGTGGCGAAGTACCACCCGGTGCAGTGGGCCAAGGCTACAGCGTAACCTACCTGCAAGATCCTATTTCCGACAGCGTTGGCGCTTTGCCTTCAGCTTGCGATGTTCTGCAGCCCCTGTCGCACTTGTCTCAATTGCCATCGAGTGGTTATCTGGCCGCTGTGCTGGCCCGAGAGCGGAGTTCCTGGATGCAACAGACGTATCCACCGGAGAAACCTGCTCTACAGACTTCCGGGGACGCCGACATGGAAGCCACTGTCATCTCTTCTGTCTGTCAAGATAATCTCGGTGGCTTGTCTTCGGAGCGCTTGAGTGGTGGCAGTATGATTCCGAAAGCTCCACAGCGGACGGGTTCATCCCCGGTTGGGTGGCGTACCGAAAGCCAGGAACCGCCGCTCAGTGTTGCGGAGTCTAGCGGACCTCATCCAAGTCGAAAATCCGGTCACGCAGTCCAGTACATGCAAGAAGCGAATGAGGAGGGAGTGCGGACCTGGAGACGTGTGGTGGTGGAGTACAGCTGATTATCGTGTGGTTTCCATCGTTTTGGTTTGGTTCGAGGCTGTTCTTGTCCTCCATTCTGTATTGCTTCGATTTTCTGTTTGCTTCGTGATGGCAATGTCTCCATCTGGGATTAGTTCGAGGCGCGTACCAGAAGGGCGGCCTCGAAAATGGGCGGTCCTGTCTTTTCTTCGTTTGACAAGGGAGTTTTAGTTAGTGGCTGACAATGATTAATGACTGAATGATAATCTTGAATGTTTGTCGAGGAAGGAAGGTGAGAGTCGACGTATTTGCATGACATCAGGTCTACATTAGCTTCCCCTACAATCAACACTCTTGTGGTGCGCTGATCTCGGGGAAGGTCTGGAGCTGTACAACCTGAAATTCTGCACTGAGTCGCTTAGTGAAGCCCTCGATGTATTGCTACTTGGAGCCGCCTTGTACTACAAAAAGCAGTCGTAAGAAAGACCCGTGACCTAGGTACTGACGGCTTTCAAAGGATGCTCAGTTCTCTCTAATGTCTATCGTATCTTTCATCCTGCCTCGAGTTTAAAGTGACAAAGCATCACAGATTAAACCTTTAAACCTACAAACAGTATACGAAATCACAGCAATAACTCCGTGTCCGCCAAGCAACATGAAACGAGATATATTGAAAATCATGCATAATTCTCGACCGGAGACGCCATCTACGAGTACTATCTCAAACTGGAAGCAAACAGAAAGATTCATGCTTGTAGCAACTACTGATGAGATACTCTGGAATATATATGTCCCGAAGTAGATTAGCGCATTTATCTCAGGCTGTCTCCCCTTGCTGAGTCATCCAAGCTCTCCTCCGAACCACAATATGGCACATCCGTCGGGCATCCAGCTCACTGATCTCCGAATTCCCAGAATCAACGGACAAGAAGAGCGTAACGGACCGACGAAGATGACGCTCACGACCTACGACACGTCGGACTCCTCCAACCTCGCCGCCCTGAACCTGTCACGCCTGCTGGCACGGTTAGAGTACAACCTCCTCTCCTCCGCGGCGGACTTGAGGCCACTCCGACGATCAGATCATCAGCGCAAGAGAGTAGGGGCGGTATGTGCATCCTTTTGAATCCCTTTCTCTTAGTATAGCGCCATTACATTTCTCCACTCGATCTGGAGTCTCAAATGCTACCCGGATGCGCAACAGCTTCATGTCCCACATCCACGTCACAACCCTCCACTATCTATCGCCGAAACACCGCAGCTGACATCTCCCCAAGAACATAGACTACGCCCGCACCACCCTCCAGAACCTCGAACGCACCCTGCCTCAAATAAAGCCTCTCGACCGCCGACAAAGCCTCCAAAGCGACCTTGCGCAGCAACGACTCGTCCTCAACCGCCTCCAGGACGTCCTAGACCAGCTCACCGCCGAAGCGGAGACCAGCCGGAGAAGAAAGCAACACCAACCCGTCGCATTCAGCAACAGCCCCGCAGCCCACGACGAAGCAACCGAAGATGATTCGGACTCGGACTCCGATCCCCTCGACGGGGACGACCTCCTCGGAACCCCGGACGAAGGCAGCACGACCGATGAAGTTGCCGACGAAGACACGCGCGACGCCGTCCCGGATGACCTCAACGACGATAACACGGCGATAACAAGCCAAGATGACGAACAACACCAACCACAGCCGCAATCACCACAGCCATCACTACCATCAACCTCAACCCCATCCGCGACGCAGCACACGCCGACAACCAAAGAGAAAGATTCAGATTCGCCATTACCGACGACAGCAGCGACGGCAACAACCCAACCCCCACTCCCACCCCAGCCACAATCAACAACCACCGTTCCGCAAACCACCTCGACCCTCCGCAACCGATCCAACGCAGCACCCACCTCCACCACCGCAAAACCACTAACAGCAACGGGATCTTCCCTTCACCACCACCATGCACCCCAGCATCCCTCAACATCTACATCATTCACCACCCCACCCACGAATCCCCACTCAACAGAGGAAGCCCTCGTCTCCGACCGCGCAGAGCAAGAGGACCTCACGAGCTCGCTCCTCTCGCTGGCCTCGCAGCTGAAATCCTCCTCGCAAGCCTTCCACGCCTCCCTTGACGCAGAGAAATCGGTGCTGGCGCGCGCGGCCGACGGGCTCGACCGCACAACGGGTAACATGGAGGCGGCGGAGCGGCGTATGGGGATGCTGCGCCGCATGACCGAGGGGAAGGGCTGGTGGGGCCGGATGATGCTGTATGCCTGGATCTTCGGGCTGTGGATCGTGGCCATCCTGATTGTCTTCGTAGGCCCGAAGTTGAGGTTTTAGGTCTTTCCCTCTCTCTCTCTCTCTCTCTCTCTCTCCCCGTCATTCATTCATTCATTCACCGGAGGCAAATCAACGCGTGGATGTTTTTGCATAGAATGGGGTTTTCTGATGCTATGTCTGAAGGGCCCTTAGCTTGAGGAAGGAGATCCTATTGCTCCCCGGAATGTTCTACACGTATACCAATGGATCCATCCCTGCCAGTATCTCGGAATCTCCTTAGACATCGAATCAGTGCACCCGGTCCTTGGTTTTGGAAAACTTGCATGTATTTCGTAAAGAGCGTCCTACACTACACAGCGCAGCAGAGGCGGTACTTTCGCAATCTTGCCCTCCTTGCACTGAACAACAACAACAAACCCCGCCATGGCACCATATAGAAGGCATGATGACCCGCATACCCTCACTATTCTCTCATGCTGCCAGCACCGATATTTTGTTTCCAGGGAACAACCAGACCAGATGGGAAAGCAAGATCTAACGATTACACACAGCGCGGTGGACCAGTTGCACCAATATGTAATGGAATATCCAGCTTCAGATCACACACACACATGAAATTAGAAAAAAAAAACGGGAATGAGGGTCCAGGGTAACAAGATGGAGAGACGGAATGAACCAGAGATAAGAAACATGGGAATCCTATGGATCAATCAAAAACAAGGGAATAAAATGTAAAGAGAAATGAAGCATGGACATAAGACACAGAACTCTAACAGCTTGTAGAACCGGTACAATCCACGGGAATCCTGAGATGAGAAAAAGGGGGAGATAGGGGAATAGGTAGAGAAACAACTCCTGCTCTGTGTCACGGGATGGATATCGGTGATGCTGATAACAAAGAGCCGGCTAGATATCATTTCAGGACAAAGGAAAATAGAAACAGAAATTAGTAGTAATGGACAACTGAATGTCGCAACGCCGGAATCTTTCGGGAGGGGTAAAAAACTGCAACATGGTATGACAAAGAACAAAAACACAGAATTACAAGTCACATAGCATACGGTCTAGATACGAGTCCACTCTGCTCGATCAAGATATACCGGTCATTAGATCAGACCACACAGTCTCAGGTTTTCTTGGATTATGATGTCTGCGAATCAGTCAGTACCTAGTCTTGCACGTCCTTAGCGGGATCCCTTGGGACTTACCGTTTACTGCGGCCATGACGAAGCGAATCTGAGTGGTATCCGTAGCACACGTGAAATGAGTGTAGATCTGCTTCTGCTCGGCCTGGTTCAGGGAAACGAAACGGTTGAGGATGTAGTCGCATGCGGCCGCGTAGTCGGCGCCTCCTTCGTAGTCGGGGAAGTAGTTCTTCATGGGGCTGACGGGAAGCTTCTCCTTGAAACGATCGATCTTGTTGAGGAAAAGAATGATAGAAGTCTTGACGAACCACCGCGAGTTGCAAATCGAGTCGAAGAGGGTAAGCGCTTCTTGCATACGGTTGACGGTCTCATCTTCGAACAACAGCTGGTCGTACTCGGAGATGGCAACCAGGAAAAGGATCGTCGTGACGTTTTCAAAGCAGTGAATCCACTTCTTACGCTCGGATCGCTGACCACCAACGTCGAACATGCGATAGGTCAAATCGCCAATAATGAACGTTGTCTCGGTGATACCGGTAGTCTTGACACGAGAGCGAAGGACATCCTGATCGGTGGGGAGATAGTCAGGCTGGGCGATACGGTCGATGGCATCGAAGTAGCTGTTTATATCGGTAAGCATGATTGGAGGGAGCGAAGGCGACCGTGGTAGAACTCACTATTTGGCGGAATCGTTCAACTGGTATTCGCGGGACCGCTTGAAGCACTCCTGCACACCGGTATCGCGCCAAAGAGCGCCGATGGCGTTTCCGACCTCTGGCGGCAAGTTGTCGCCCTCAATCTGAGCAGGCTGCATGAAGACGGTTTGCACGTGATACTCATTGCGAGCATCCTCTAGTGGCAGCTCGAGGGATTCCATAGCCTCCAGAATGACACGCATCGACTGGACGGTGTTGCTGTAGATGATTTCCTTGAACGATTCTCGCTCATCCCGGGAGTAACTACCTTCGTGAATCAACTTCATCTGCTTGAGGATGGTCGACTTTCCGGACTCTCCGGCACCTATTCGCGAAGACCGTTAATCCTATTTCAACTCGAGTGGAGAAGCTGGAGTGGTGAAGGAGGCGCCTACCGAGCAACAGCATCTTGATCTCGTTTCTTTGCATCATCTTGTCCCGCTTGAGCTGGTTCTCAATCTCCTCGTTGCGGGCCTTCCCCTCCTTGTCTTCAGTGCTCATTCCACAACCCATTTTGGCGGCAATCAATGAACGTGTGCTTAGGCGATAGAGTGATGTAAGGAACGGTAAAAATCGAGCGAGACGTTACTATTTGGAACCCTGCCTGAGAGTAGTGATGTCAGCGAAGGGCAGTTCTCTGTGTATAGACTATGAAATAGACAAAACGATGGGCGAACGAGCGCGAACGTGGTCAAACACGAGACAAGCCAGTCAAGCGCAGGCCAAACCGATAACATTAGAGTTGAAAGGTAAAGCAAGTATTCGGAGGGTAAAAGCCAACAAGGTAGAAGTGTCGCAGACCAGCGATCGTGCTGACGCAAGGAGGTGCAGCTGATGCATCCAGCGGAGGACTTGCGGACGGACGTCTCATGTAGCCCGGGAGGAACGAGGGGGAACTACTGACTCTGCTCGAGAAACTGGATCTGATTATTCCCACAAAGAAGACAGTGTTGAATAGATGGCCGAGAATAGTATTACTCAAAGGCGAGGCGAACGTGTAAGGAGCGGGCGGGAAGGGGAAAAATCAGATATAAGCGCGGAGCCGTGAGGCTAGATGGAAAGGAGGCGAAAGGAAGGTGGAACACTGTACACCAATTATGGCGGTTCGAGCGATGCCAGTGAAACAGAGGGTACGTGTGTAGGTAGCGAAGTAAAAGGAAGAGTTGTATATTGAAAGAAGAGGGAAACAGAAGATGAAGGGTATCAGCAAATAGCTGCGTTGGTCTACCTACCCCAATTTACCTGTGAGAAGTGGATGGAACGGAGGGAGGGAGTGAGGGAGGGGGGGTGGTGAGAATGCAGAAAGGAAGAAGAAGAAGGAAATTGACGGAGGAAAGCGAGCGAGGCTGAAGGACGGGAGCAAGAGGATTAAGCTCAGCCGGTAAGGGGGGGGGGAGGGAAGAGGAGAAGGAGAGTAAGTGGGAGGGAGGGAGAGAGAGAGAGAGAGAGAGAGAGAGAGAGAGAGAGAGAGAGAAAGATAGAGAGAGAGAGAGACTGAGGGAACGAATAATGTGAGCGTGAAGGGAAAAGAGGCGAAATTTCGTTCCAGTTAGGCAAAGAGAAAGCCTGGAGGGAAAAAGAGGGGCCAGAAGAGGGAAAGGTTGTAACTTTGTTTTCAGGATACGTCCTTAGTCTTACAAGACTGAATGAAGTGGGTAGGTAGGAGAGGGGAGGAAGAGGGGGAAGAAGACTACTACTCAGGAGCCTCGTGCTCAATTGGAGTCCATTTCCGACTGAGCGAAGATGAAGATAGAGAAGTTTCCCTCCTTCTGGAACGCAGATTGACCCATCCTGAAGGTTCAAACCATTAGTGAATTGTATCAATAAAGGGGGAAGTGGAGGTTTTGGTCTGGTAATGGCGATGGGCAACTCCGCATTGTTTCCCTGATTGGTTAACAAGTAGAAAGAGGAGCCGGTGGAGTGCAAGTCAGCGTGACCAATGAGACTGCGCATCTCCGACCCTCCCCTTTTTTTTTTCCCGGCTGAATGGCCTAAGGTATCCACAGGCTGCTCGCCCTTCACTTTCCCCTAAGCACGTTGGTACTGTAACAGATACCAGCATGGACATAACCAGCTGCCCGGGAGGTGCAACCTATGTGGTGCGCTCATGACTCGCGATGCCTTGCTCTTTCAGTCTAGTGAATGCCACTATATAATCCATTGTTATCACTACATGTTAACTCGCTACATAATTCTACATTTATGGAGTACAACGCGCTGAATATATCTACTCAACATTGTCACTTACTTATCGGTCAGCAAAGCGAAAATGTGCAGGTCTAGCAGTAGCTTAGGAAGCGAGCTACTGCATGGAAGTGTTCCTGGCGCTGCCGCTGATGGCGTCTTAGACCTAACCTCCTGCGCATACGGAAGTACTCAACTAGTCGCTTATCGACCAAGGAAGACGAGCAGCCGGCGAGACTAATCCCCAGCCAATATCATGGCTTCTTCAACCACCTCCCTCCTGATTATTAACGATTAGATATCACCCGCATGGATTAATTTCCGGGCACCACAGATCGACTGAACGCGAATGGTTCCTCGAAGAGTTAGTCTCCAGGTTGGAATAATATTGATCAACGTCTTCCAGCCAATCCAGCTATCGTCTCCAAAAAAGAAAAGTCGTTTTGTACCTCTACACTATATACATACGGGTGTGGGGTCTCGATTTATCTACCGAAATCAATATGGGATTTCGGAAAGCATCACGCAGGGAAATGTAAGAATAGCTCGAGACCTCCTCAGGACCTTGCAGTTTCAGAAGGTGCCGCCACACGGTGGGGATTTGGCACCGTGGACCACACACACCTTGTGCGCCCCGATCGCCAGGTACAGTCCAGAACCGTTGCGTTCAAACTGTTTCATTCTTTGTTGCGCACCCCTGTTTATTTGTCCCCTGGTGTATCAGCGCATGACATCATGCTCTATGCATGCAAGAGTATAGCCGGACGATATTCAATCGTTGAAAGACTGCGTTCGAACGCATGGAGCAACTGATCATGAAGGTGGTGGTGGTGCTCGGAGACGCTCAGTGGAATACGGAGAGCACAATTACTAGTCTCTCTTAGTGAGGTGGTATTGGCTCCATGACCAGGTACCGTATGCTGTAAACTCCACTCCTCAACTGCCCCGTCGATCGCTTCTCCGCACGAGGATTTGAAAAGATGGTAAGAGATGATGCTACAACCAACAGCTGATTTCAGACAGGTTTGGGCAAGCGAGAAACCCCCTCCCCTCCCCTCCCCTCCTCCTCCTGATCAATCGTCAGATGCTCCTCACCTGATTCCGGGCCTGTACTCAACCTGTTGCAACCTAGAGTTGATCAAACCACTTGTTACATTCATGTTTCTGCTTAACAGGAGAGGCGAAGCAGCGATCCGAGCCAAGATGAATCTCCCGCCGAACCCTACTGACATTGCCATCCATGGTTCTGCCCATGGACTAAGAGACTAGTCAACTTCTTCTTCGCCGTTCAACCCAGTAAGGCCCAGTAATAGATATCATGAATGGTTTCTCCGGGTTCCAGAAAGGGGCTATCCCACTGGAAAAATCGTTCTCGTGGTGAGTTGCACGTCCTGATATACCCTTGAGGCAGCCATAAGCCATGTTCAGGGCCTTAATTGATCCATCAACTCTTGGAAAGATATGTCTCAATGCTCGACAATCGACGATTCCAGTACTTCGGCACCCCTCTCTTCTAGGCATAGTTTTCGTCTTCAGCTCGTGGAGTGTGGCTAGACTATTGAATGGGTTTCCACTTGGCCCGGCTTGCGCTTGGCGTATCTACTTTAAAGGGCAGGAAGGATTCTCCGATGCCTATCTATCTCTCGATGCGCTACTGTGGGCTCAGTGCTCAGGGCTGAATGCTGGGATTACATACTATCACAAATGGCCAGATGCCAGATTGTCAATGCTGAAAATCGGCCTATGGGTGATGGGGACTGATACTTTCGTATATCTACAGGCTGGCCCATGGGCAGATTCAGTCCGGGGATTAGCCGACGACCTGCCATGCAGGTGGTGGTTCTTAGCGAAAATTGGAGAATCGCGCAATGCCAGTGATGCGCTCCTCTGTCCTATCAAAACCAACAATAGTTTATTACCCTTGCTCATTGAAGCATGACTATACTTGCGCAGGATTGAACCTTCCTCACGATTGTTTGTGATGGTTTATAGTGCGATCGATTCCAAGTCCGATCGGGGCCTCGTGCTGGTCCAGCCCCGTCGCATCGCCGGAAAACCGCAGCCTTAGGCTATCCAATGACCCTCCACTGTAGGGTTCGGGGACGAGTCGCCATTCACGCCAATGTCGCCCGATCGCTGCGACATGTCGCCTCAGTCATATTCTTCTTCTCAACAATCGTTGATACATTCATTCTACGAAAAAGACTCTGTCACTCATTACGTGACTTGCTACCGTTATAAGTAGCACATATACATAATCACTAGTTGCTCATACTTCAAAATTATCTCACAAGATGCACGAGATGTCTCATATGGGCCCTCGGGGTAAGGGTCCTACGGGGAAATCCCTCGCTACCCCGATCGCGCGCTCAATCCACTGATTTTTGCCCGATACATACACACAGCCTTCAACCACAACCAAAGCCAGGATACTGAAGCCGAATATGACCGTCTGCGAGATCTCGCGAGACAGGAGGCCTCGAAGCGCAACTCATGCTTCCAACGGGTATTTGCACCCTTTCGTCTGCCGCACACTTTCGCGACGCTCACCCGCCCATTCTCTGATCTTTTTCACAATGTCCCTTCCCCTTAAACTCCTCAATTGCAATATCAGACTGATCGCGAGATGTTCCACCTCTATAGTCCCAAGAAGCATACACCAGTGGCGACGGCGCCAAAGCCAAGGAGCTATCGGAACAAGGCAAAGCCCACGGGCGCAAGATGGAGGAGTACAACAAGCAGGCCTCCGAATTCATCTTCCGTGAGAATAACGCCGAAGAGCACGTCGCGCCCGACACGATCGACCTGCATGGGCAATTCGTGGAGGAGGCCGAGGAAATCCTAGAAGAGCGGATTCGATACGCGAAGAACCATGGCCAGACGCATTTACATGTGTAAGCACACAGCGCAACACCTTCTCCTCTCTACAAACCCAGATCTGAAAATGGACGACTGGAGGAAAATACAAGCTGAACTGTTGTCTTCTTCCTCGATGAATATAGGATTGTCGGAAAGGGAAACCATTCGGCCAACCACGTGCAGAAAATCAAGCCCCGCGTCGAACAGGTCTGTCGCGAGCTCGGCCTTCAGTATGCGACGGAGGAAAATGCCGGCCGCATCTATGTGAACTTGACCGGCGGACCGGCGGATATGTCCGAGGCACCCCCTATGCATCATCCCTCCGGTGGGTATGCACAACAACAGCCTCACCACCAGTACCCTGGTCAGCAGTCGCACCAGTACCAGCAACAGCAGCCTCATCACCAGCAACAGCAATACCCTCAGCATCAACAGCAGCAGCAAGAGGGTAACCAGAATGAGATTGAACAGGTTGTAAACGCCGTTCTCCCCAGGGTGTTGCGCAAGCTGGAGAAGGCTTGCTGTGTGGTCATGTGAGCTGGCGGCTGCGGCAATCGATCATTACGACTTGGGTCTGACCCCATTGGAATTGGATACATATAATGTTTGGGTATAATATAGTTTGCTACACAGTAGAAATATGCTGATGTTGATTGTTCTTTGGATTGTTGATTTCATGGCCCAGGACGTTCTGTTGAGCGGGGTAATCGATTGTGGTTTGACATGGTTTTGTCATTCATATCAACCCAGTCCTTTACTCATGCGGGCAGGGCAGACAAAAGAAACCTTCACAAGGGAAAGTAGATCACGTGTACAAATTCTGATCCAGCAACGCTAAATAGACAAGATCGAGTATCTTCTTTATCATCACCTTCTTATGCCTCAGGGCCACAGGCACGCTCGTCTATCCAAGGACTCGCAGAGCATGTCAGGGTCGGAATATGAGAATAAGACCCAACCTCTCATTGACTGGGCTCCTGGGGGTTTCCCAGGGTTGATTCTGTGATCTTGTGCAGGATGGCACGAACCATCGCACCATCATTGCATGCACCATCGCCATCGATCTCAACGATGAGCGCCAACGCCTTGTCTCGCAGTTCCCGGACAACGTCACGCGTGTGCGCAAAACTGTCTGTCTGCTCCATGTAATTGACCGCATACCGCTTGACCTCCTCGTCGGTGGTCTTCTGCTTGAGGATGCTGAGGAGCTGGTGATCGCCCGGTCTGGAGCGGATGCTGTGGATGATGGGGAACGAGAACTTCCCCTCCGTGAGGTCTTCGCACAGACCCTTGTTCTTGGTGTACGTGCCGCTGGACAGATTCAGGTAATCGTCGCAGATCTGGAAGACCAAGCCCATTACGTTGACCAGGCTCACGCAGTCCTTGCCCGCGCTGCTTTCGGCCTGCATCAGTTTCACGGCCAGCCGGAACAGGCCCCCGGTCTTGTTGCCGACCATCTCCAGATACTCTTCCTCGCTGGGGCACGTCAGCGTCTCGCGCCAGAACAGGTCCATGCCCTGGCCGCGGTGCAGGTTCAGCAGCTCCTGCACATAGATATCGATGGCGGTCGGGTTGTTCAGTTTCTGCACCTCCTGCAGAGCGAGGAAGTACACGTAGTTGGCGGAGTTGATCGTCTGCGCGGTGCCATAGATATTGTGGGCCACTGGAATCCCGCGGCGGAGGACCGAATTATCTTCCACATCGTCGATCCTTTTGCAATTATTTGCCCACCGGTCAGTCACCTTGTCAGGTTCGGTGAGGGTAAGAGAGTGGAACAAGGTGGGGGAGCGGCTTACAGTAACGAGGCAGTGTGCAGCATGGCCACCACCTTGGTGATGATCGTCAGGCTCTCCGACGGTACCTTCAACCACACATCGAAGGCGTTGATGAGCTGTCGTCGAATGTCCTTGCCGGGATGCTGAAGCATATAGTCATACGGGCCGAGCACAATCTTCTCGTTCTCGGGTGACCATTGCCCGTCCTTGTACTTGGTGCCATCCACGCTGGATCGATTACGAGTATGTGTGCGCGATGCACTGGGATTCGTCAGAAGCCCATCGGCGGTTGTCGATCCAACACCCCGGCCCTCTTGCTCGGGGATCGCTGTCAGATCCGATCTGGGCATGCTGGGTGGGCCCGCCTCAGTCCAAGCATCATCATTCGTGGCCGAGCTCGAGCTGGGCTGGGGGAGGGTGGTCGGGGGTGGCTGGAAGAGTGGCTCGGATGGCATGGTTTTCGGGTTCTGTTTCTGTTTTTGCGACGCTAATACCGGCTTTGCTGTCCGCTACTTATGGGGGCGATGGTGGGGAGGAAAGAAAAGGGGAGAGGGGAACACTTTTCTAATCTTGTGGATTTTTTTTTACCCCGACGTTCTATGGCAGCCAAAATGAGCGCGAAAGTCAAAGACCTGCATACTGACTCGGAGTCAGTTGGGTTGTTCGTGTTCGTAGAGGCCAGGTTGGTTTAAATATAGGGTGAGAATAGAACCCTAACCCTCTGCGCAGACAGTCAGACGGGTCGGTCAGTCAGTCAGTCAGTCGGTCCGTCCGTTCATGCATCCCAAAGTTGCATACCCGCGGAGGGAAAGAGAAATCATTAGTTGGCAAAAATTACGGCGGGGGATAACGTGACGTAGTGTCACATGCGCGGGTCGGACAGACAGGGTCACGTGGTCGGCCTCGTTCTGGCTGGGAGAAACTCCGATCGAACGGGCTTCAACCTTGCCGCGTGCCTCCCTGTTTCTGCGTGCGCGGGTGACACCAGCACGTCCAACATATCATATAACCGGATATCAAGTTTAAAAATGCTGTGCGACCCAGGGTCGGGAGGAAAGGAGAGGCTGGTACTGGGCGGCCAGTTGCCCGGTTCCGCCCGGATTATTATTTGCTCAGGTTGAGAACCTCGAAGCAGCAACAGCAGCAGCAGTGGTAGCGGTCAGCAATTCAGCGGATGATATTGTCCTTCCTCCATCTCGGCCAAGCCGAGACGTCACAGATGAGATCAATCAATGGATGTGCTCCATCAATGGCGTAGCTGAATTGAAATACCCCAGCCACCCCGGTTTGACATCATCTACTGGGCGCTACGCAGCAGAAAAGCACAGCTTCTGGACCGCTCATTGGTGAGATCGGCTGGTCTCCGGGACAACGATAGGGATGTTGTTGTCAAATGTGGGGGGCATAATCCAGTGAACCAGTGAACCAGTCCAAAAGACTAAGGCTGGCGGCTAAGAGTCTATCACTCTATCTCAGATGGTGTCAACAATCATGTTTTCCTGACGGTTCGTGCCCACCGTCTCTTCGATCGCCAATGCTTTCTGGAACTAATTAAGGGCTCCATTCTCCAAGCGTCTGGACTCCGATCCATTCTATTTTTTCCCTCAGCTGAAAAGCCCTTAAGGCAATTTTTAGAAAGATAGTACTTTTTAGTACTTCAACTACTCTACTTTCAACAATCATTGTACCCGATCGTCTTGGCCCAAGGGTCTGTCTGGTCTTTCTTCACGGGCCCCCATCGGTTGATCAAACGCATTGTGTTTTTTTTCTTAATCTGGACCTATTTTTCTTACTTTCTATTTTCCGTTTGCTCCCATTGTGGTTTTTCTATTTTCTCACCCCTCCCTCCCATCCCTTCTGTGGTACAAAGCTACAGGAGTTTCTGTTGCGCCTTCATCCTACCCTGCTTACACCCACTCATGGAGGCATTGCTGGCGCATTCGTTTGACTATCTCTCTTCATACGAGCCAAGCAAGGTCCGGAAAGGACTGCGACAGGTTGAAGGGCTCCTCGCACAGATATGTTTGTCCAAGTCGAAACGACCGGCGTCTGACAAACGGCGGTCCCTCCTGTCCTTTGGAGCTCCGCAACCCGTGCCCAAGTCCTTGTCCGAACTCAGGGATGACCCGGCCTTCAGGGAATTTTTCAAGCTTCAAGAAGGCTTCCAATGGAACGGTAAGTACCTGATCCATGTACGGGATGCTTACTGTCTTCCCATGTTCCAAGTCGCCACACTTCCATCATACTAATTTACGATTTTAAAGTTGCATTGCGCCTGGTAACATGTCTGGAGCATCTGCTTGGGCGGGGCAGCAATGGCACCAATGACGCTCTCATCGTTACCACGCTTGACCTCATACAAGGCGTGCTGCTGCTGCACCCACCGTCGCGCACCTTATTCGCGCGCGAAATATACATGAACTTGCTCCTGGACTTGCTCGACCCCATCAATTGCCCAGCCATCCAATCAGCGACTCTTCTCACCTTGGTCACGGCCCTTCTTGACCACCCAGCCAACACGCGCACCTTCGAGGAACTGGACGGACTACTTACCGTGACCTCGTTGTTCAAGCAGCGCGCAACGTCGCGCGAAGTGAAACTGAAGCTTGTGGAATTTCTGTACTTCTATCTGATGCCAGAAACGCCAATGATCCCAGCAAGCCACTCTGCACCCAACACAGCCGTCATGGGTCATCAGCGCAGCCCCAGCAAGCTTGGCGCAGCACAGGTGTCGAGGAGTGTTAATGTTCCGGGGCCGTACGGCGGCGGGAAAGCGCATCGCGACACGCGCACCACCGACGAAAAGCAAGCATTATTAGGACGACATTTGAACAATGTGGAGGATCTGGTGGAAGATCTGAAGGAGACCGCGCCCTTCGGCGCAACCGTCTATTAAACATCATTTTCGAGCGACAATAAGGTTTTTGAGTTCTTTGTTTTTGAATTAAGCGATGGAGCTTTGCATGGATTTTTTTTATGGGATCATGGCTGGGTTTCTTTTCTTTCCTCCGCCCATTGAATGTGCTTATCTGGATTTTCTTCCGAAGGGCCATGTTGTCTCGCGAATTCTTTTACTTTTCTCTTCTTGACTTCCTGGCTATCAGGGCCGCCATTTCTGTCACTTCTCATTCTCCTTTTTCTTCTTTCCGTCTGGTACGGTCTACTGATTTTTCGGGGCCTCATTCCTCTTATTTTCATTATTCCCTTGTCATGTCTCTCCTATGTGTGTGGTCTTTGTTTTGCATGTGGCTTGCGAGTTACGATGATGTCTTCCATGTGTCACGTTTTGCGATTGTCGCTTAGTTGCCCAGCGCCCAGCTCTGAATGATCAAGACATGAAACCACGAATGACCGGTGCTAAGTAGACAGAGAGTGTACACTTCATTATAAATCCATCCGATGAGAACATATCAGCCCTCGTGTTCTTCGATGTCAAGCACTTGAATGCAACTTGCAAGATGTTTGCTCGTATCTAGGACAGGGTATCCTTGTTGAGGCGCTATAGTTATCGCTCTTTTCTTCTCGTGTGTATATGAGCGTAGTGCAATATCGGCGAAAATCTGACTACCTTTATGGTCGTCAAACTCAGTCAAGCTAAGTTTGTGGTTGACGACAATAAGGCCCAAGCTAGTCCCTAGTAGTAGCGGGTCGTCGGAAATATATTCCACGGCGCACTAACCTAGCCCCCGTCACACCCAAGCTCAAACAAGTAGCAGGAACGGAAAACTCCCTCCGTTCGAATGATGAAGATATGCATTCGCACATGAAAGCAGGTCTCAAGGGAGAATGCATTATTGATAGCGCCCAGTTGCAGCGGAATTCCTTCCCAGCCTAAGCTGTACCACCTGCAATCACAATTGTATACAGCTGATTCAACACTGACTACAGACACATAGTTACCCCAAGACCCAACAGCTTCCAGAACATGATGTATGATTCGATGGTACAGGAGAACGAATGACTATTGCTGACTACGTTCGGTAATGTATATATGGCTGTCGCCAATCACAGCTCGGGTAGGAACCAACTGCCACCGGGGCTGATGCGCATTTGACTTTGTTTGCAAGGATAAGGGTGGCTGTTGTTATAGCTGAGGACGGAGCAGATTGTCTCGTGGAGTCTGTGATTGTAGCACACGCTACTCGGGGTTGTCGGCATGGCTGATTCCCCCTCTCCCGGACTAAACCTTGGAAGCCCTCAATCTGGTCTCTGGATGAGGTCCCGGTTGTATTGTACGAGGGGGTAAGATAGGTCTTATTTCTGACTACAGGTGGAAGCATTAACGCTACTATTCACGACGTTTGCCTCTGGGGTATGTATGAACCACTCCGGACTCGGTCCGTTGTTGAATATTTCTCCGCACTTTGGGGTTGTTGGCTGTGGCGGGAGTAGGACGGTACTCAGACACCCTGAAACACGCTGACATCGGATTTTTCCCGTGCTGGGGATGTATCTTGCTGGGTTGGCGTATTTTGGGGGAATTGAATTGGCTATGTGTGCTCTAGGTTGGTGGGTATTTGCTTTTGATGGATGTGTCTCATGGATGTGGGGTTTGGATTTGGCTTGGTTGCTGGGATTGAACGATCGGGAGTGGAATGAAGGCTGGCTTGATGAGTTATTGAGGAGGATGTGTATTGCTATGGACGTGGGAATTGGGGCGCGGAAGCGCTGCGAGGCCGACGGGGACATTGTCTGAGGGAGTTGTAGGAAGACGAGAAAGAAAGGTTCTCAGCAGTCAATAGCGAGTGCGGTAGGTGGTGGCTGAAACTGGAGTGTCTGGAACTTGGTTCTATTTTTGTGTCTATTGGACTAAGGAGAAACGTGCTTGTCAGTGTCAAGGAAGTGGGCTAATATTGTACAAATAGTGAGAGGTGTGTGTGTTCGATCTGTGTGTTTTGTTCCATCCGGCTCTAAAAGAAGTTCAATAGTCTTTCACGGTGTTGTACAAGGTTCTCATGGCGTCGCAGCAGCTGCGCCAGCCGGTCGCGCTTCCAGCCCATCTTCTCGTCCAGGATCAAGTGCGTGTATGCGAAAACGCTGGCGTCAAACAAGCCCGGGTTGGGCCGGTCGAAAAAGTGCAGGCTATCGCCAAGAAGCGTCGACAAAGCCTCGAATGCCTCGCCCGCTTCGGCTTCCAGAGCGCCGGCGTCGATAAATGACGATGTCTTCAAGAGCTCCACGCGCGCAGCCTGCTGGAGCTGCACCGCCAAAGCCGCCCGGACGATGGGATTCGTGGTGCTCGGGTCCACATAGAGGCGTCGCGCAACCGCGTCGAAGTTCTCACTGTCGATATATAGGGCATACAGCTATAGAGACCGTCATGTCAGCAAGGGTTGTTGAGCGTACTTCTCTCAACTACTTGTCTGCCCTGGTCAAGGAGCTTACCCAGGCGTTTCGTATCCGGTGGTCTAGCAACGATGCGTAAACTTCGAAGCGCATGTTCAGCTGTTGTTCCTCTTCGCAGTGGACTTGCTCGATGGCCCATTTTTGGAGTTTATTGGAGGGGATCGGCGCGGTGTTGCCGATGGGTAGAGAGGGGAGAAGGAAAGGAAGGGCGCCGGTGGGAGAGGCATGGTTGCTGGAGGGGATAATGTCAAAGTCTATTCCGGCAAATCTCAAGTATGCCTGCGGTACAGTAGCAACAAACAGAGTCAGCAACAATGCGGCAGACAAGAACGAGTATTATCTTGGTGTCAACCTTACCTGCCACTTGAGGCATTGAGGGTTGAAAGACGGCCTTCCATGCCTGGCGCCGGCAGCATCTGTGAAAACGAACAATCGGTTTCCCTGTTGATTGGACCAAGAGCAGTGCGGAAGATCATTGGCGGGATAGATGACGAGAGGGAATCGGTCGAAGATGCGCTTGACCGGTGCAGGGACAGAGAAGAAATCTCGAGCGCGCGAGGCCGCAGTGGCATTATCCGGCGTTTGGCCGGGGGCTTCACGGCGATCCGAAGTCATTGAAGAAGGAATTACGACGAAACGAACGGCCCGGATTTTGATGATGAGATATCAGAGTAGAAGCGAAGAAGAGCACTGCTCCAGATTCAGCCACCGAGAAAGTTCGGCCGAAAGGTGGGCAGATTGAGCAATGGAGGGTCAGAATTGTATCCTACGCAAGCATCGCGATGACCCTCGGAATAGTTGTGAAACAATAAACTCCGGCGCCAAGCCGAGCCTGGAGCCTTAGGCACCAAGGCATGCATTCTGAGGCCGAAGGAGGGGTGTCGTCCTGCCTGTCTGCCTGAGGCTGCAACGGGCCTCCTCGGCTTATCCTTATCGATCGAGAATTGCTCGCTTTGACATTCGCACCGTCTGCATCTCCCCCGCATCTTCCTCTCTTTTGAATCTCTTTCTGCTCGCGGGGCTGTAGTTTGATGACGACAGCATACCTGAGCACGACGAGCGGACTTTGCTGGGTTCAATCTTATATTAGGCCTGATCCTCTATTCATCGTCTCATGACTCACGTATCGGAACTCTGTCGCTACTTTCCGATAAATTCGCTACTCCGCTTCTTGACTTCATCAAGCTCGCTCCCGACACTGATATACCGATTACCGACCTCAATCCGGCATCGGAATACTGCTCTTTGACTGCCTAACATAGTAACCGCATTGACGCCTGACCTGCAACTGTGACTATCTCGATATAGCGCCCGAGTACTTGCACGAAGAGCGCGCCGAAAGCCGTGGCACGATCAGACCCCCTCTCGGCGGGGCAAGCCTAAGGCGCACCTGAAATCTACGTAATAGTCAGAGGTGCCGCTATAGGGACCAGGACGATCTCGCATTTTAGGCTTGACTGATGCGGGCCTGAGCTTCAAGATGCCTCTCGACGAAGAAGGCGCTAAATGGTCCTGGTATGACATTTCCTTGGACCTATGCTTCGCTTGCGCTGACCATCATCTCAATATAACAGTGAGCCATGCATCCGGGGCCATCGGTCCTCTAAATGTCAACATTTCGACAGAATGATGATGAAGGTTCCAAAAGCTGGCCGACCCCTTGCCAGATGCCCTCATCCAAAGGGAACGTGTAGCTGTCAAAAGACATATGCTTTTATGATTCGCATTCCGAAAGGTTAGTGCCATTTTAATAGCCTGCGCGACGCCTCGGATCGCCGCTTCGGGTTTCGAGTGGCCCGTTCAAGGTGGCTGATGTTCTCCCAGGCTCTGGTTGTCTGTGTAGACCAGTGTATCAAGTGCCCGCAGATGCATCTGGGTCTGTCTCATCTTCGCCCGTTGCTTCAATGCCGATGCCTTCTTCCGCACCTAACAAAGTGCAGAAGCCCGGCAAACGACAGATAAAAACCCCGCCCGAGAACCTTACAAAAGCGCTAAATTCCATACCGGAGTTTGGCAAGCAGATGGCCGAGAATGAATTCCTTAATCGCCCCATCCCCTACATCCCCCAAAATTCGGAATTGAGCAAACCGTATCACGCCGCTAACCAGGACTTGACTGCGTTGAGCGGCCCTGCGCACCATGTTTTCAAAAACCCTTCCAGCGAGAAGCTATCTGAACGTGGTAGTTGCTGCTCTCGTGTGTCCAAGCCGACTGTACCGACCCCGGCACCCGAAGCTCAGCGTTCTTGCTGCGCAAAGCCTGAATCACAGCCTGAAAGTGGATTCTCTAACGCCATCAAGACCACCAATTCGAGTGAATCCCAATCATTAAGCTGCAGCGGAAATGCAACGCCGTATTCCTTCTCCCACCCTCAAGTATCGAATTGGCAAGATTTCCAAACAGCGAAGCAGGCTCAAGCACCGATGCCTCTTTCTCAACTTCCGCCGTTCCCGGCATCTATTCCTGAATACTTGTCCCATTATACCCCAAGTTCGCTGGGGATGTCACTTCCTCAATCCTCTAACGGAACCGATCTATCTCAAGTGTTGATGCCGCAGCCATTCTCAGAATTGACTGAGCATGTCAACATCTCGTCTTCAGCCGCAAATGACAACGACACCATTCATGAATGCCATTGCGGTGATAATTGTCAATGCTTAGGCTGTGCCTCCCACCCTTTCAACAATACCACCAGACAACATGTTCGGGAAATGGGACTGTTGGTAGCCCTAGATGACGAAGAGTCCGGGATTGAGAGCCCTAGTAGCCGCCAGAATTCCCCCTTGTTGGGGCAACAGTCAATGTTTACACCGCTACACTTGTCATTTACCGGTTTCAGCCATCCATCTGATAATGTTGTCCAACCACTCGGGACGCATCCCTTCAACGACCAATCTGTAACCCCCGGCAACATGAGCGGTGGCTACACAACTCCTTCCACAAACTACATCACGAGTCAACACATGATGGAGCCCTCAGAGTACTACACCCTTGAATATCCTGTAGGGCTCCCGAGTGCTTGCTCCAATATAACCGGAAGCTGCCAGTGTGGGAACGATTGCACCTGCGAAGGTTGTCTTACACACAGTGGGCACAATGGTCTTGCGGTTGCGCCCATGGCGGACGAAGGTCATAATTGGGACCATACAAATCTTGCAGATTCAGCACGACATGGAGTAATGCCTGGGACGTCTGAGATGTCCACGTTGGAGAGTTTCCTTGCACCTTCACCCTCCATGCTTTGAAGTACCTAATTTCTGGTCTCAGATCAGAATACTACATCCCTTCCCCCACAGTAGAAGGCCTGTCTTTTGGGATATTATCAGCACTAGCGTGCTCAAATGACTGACGATCGATCATGATACCCATCGCTTATATACGACGTTAGAGCAGAAAACATATTGCTTATATCCTCTTCGATATTTTGTGGTTGCTCTTATTGAAAAATTGACTCCTCTCTTGCGTTCCGTTCTTACGCTGTTTCGCTCAAAATCCGTAGCCAGCAATTCACGAACGGCGCACATATGCCCACATGGCACACTACCTATGGGCAAGATGCGAGTCGGATCCAGTGCTTGATTAGGGTAGAAGCACCAAAAAGATTCGAAGTGGTACGACGATAAATTGCATGCTAAAAGTAAAGAGAAGTCTAGAAGATCCTTCTAAACCACACCACCACGGGGTCTGTGTGCCCTCACAAACCGACTTTGTTTTCCTTCCCAGCTATACAGGTATCATACAGAATTAGATGCCGAGCCGGGTCGTCTACCTGCGCAGAGCATCTCTAACGGGGGAGTCACCGCGACGGAAGGAAGCTAGAACCCAAACAGTCAGTATACGTGCCACTTTCCTTCCCAACCAAAGAGTCAACATACAGTCAGCCTCCTCCCAGGCGCGACCGGCACCGAAGCCTAGACCAACCCAGGCGGGCCAGGCTCTCCGCTTGAAGAGCAGGACGGAGAAGACAACACCGAAAGAGAGACCGAGGGAGGAGCGGATGATGAGGGAAGAGATGGCGCGATCCCACTGTAATTCGTGAAAGAGGTTCCCAATGTTAGCTTAGTTGGTCCAAGGTTTCAATGCGCGAAGTTCGTGGTTTGGGGTTGTTCCGCATGATGTCAACGGAGTTTTGACGATGGGCCCGGTACAGGTAGGTATGCGCAGCGCCCAGTCATTGCAGTCGGAGCCTCCATCTGACTGGGCAGAATGAAGTAAAAGACGAAAAATCAGAGTCATAGCTCATATGTCTCGGCGTACCTTCTCGTTCAGCAGGGCCTCGCTGACGGGCTTAGTGGAGCGTGGGACCGGTACAACCGGCTGGGGTTCGTTGGAGTCGGCCATTGCGAGGAAGCTTTAATTGGGCATCAGTGTTACTCCCATTGAGTATCTAGAAAGCTACCGGTAGCGACAAACCTTGCAACAGACAAATGCGGGGTGATGTCTGATAGTGAATTAAAGCTAATCAAGGAGGGATGAGGAGATTCGGGGTGGGTTGGAAGCAACACACGAGATCAGATCGGGTGCGATGTCGAGCTCTGCCGGACTAAAAGGCGGTCGGAAAAACTAGGTTAGGCTTTGGGGGTGGGAGGCAGAGAAAGGGAAAGCAATCCGCCGCCCGTCCGCTTGCCCGCCTTCTGGCGTCAGCCCAACTTTTTCTCGAACCTCTCGATCTTCGGGAAACACCGAACCCCTCAAACCGGACGATGTTGGCTTCGTCCTGACCCGGTCAGACAAAGCAATTCCTTTCCCGATATCCCAACGACCAGGGACTATTCGCCCGCTTCTCATCTCTCACCGAGATGCCTTCCGTCGCGGAGGTAAGTCGTTCTCGCGCACTCCCAGAAAATTATTATCTTCTTGATAGGTAGATAAGTCGGCTAAATGATCGCATCTTTTTTTTTCTTCTGTACAGCGCCCGCGTTCGTCGCAGGAGGCCTTGCTCCGCCTCGAAAAAGGCACCGCTTCCCCCGCCGCACAGCTAAATGACGCTGCGAATATTATCGGCTTGGATCTGGCTCTGTGTGCGAGTCACCCCGAGATTAATCGAACCCCTCATGTTCAGAACAATGCTGCCCCGAAAGCGGAATGGGTCCTCCGATGGTTGTTGAAGAGGCTGCGTACCGGGAAGAATTATCGCGTCGACTCTACCTCGTTCCTCTTGCTGCGACAGTTGATCGATCTCATTCCGCCCAAGACATTGGCTACGACTCTCAAAGACCAAAAGTTCCTCGGGATTGTCCACGACGCTATCGCCGACCTGGAGGATGATGTGTTAGCCGGATTAGGGGATGGGACAACAGAGCTGCTGAACTCGGGCTCGGATTCCAGTCACACCTTGGGTGATTCACCGCACCGCAATGGCGACTACGATAAGAAGGGAACGAAGAGGAAGAGGTCCGGCGCGGACGAACCCGATGCTATGGATATTGACGACCAACCCCGTACTCCGACCTCGTGCTTTGTAGCCTTCATCCGTGCTCTGGACTGTTTGTATAGCTTGGTCACGCTGGCGGATCGGACATCGGGGATCGACGATGTCGCAAGCTCGCATCTGAAGCACGCTCTTAAGGGGGAGCCTGAGGCGGTCGCAGTAACACTCCAGAAGTCTTTCCGACTCGCTGCCGTCATTACGACGCAACTTTCTCATGCGCAGCAAACTACGGACCTGCAGCATCTGCTTTATGTGCTTCCGGCCATCTTCGACCTGTGGGAGCTGAGATCTTCGCGTCGCGACGATTCGGAAAAGGGGTTGAGCAATGTAGGTTATGAGTGGAGCTTAATTTCGGCGTGTACAACGCTAACCGCTCGCTAGGAATGCTTTTCCAAACACTGTTTCCAAAGCTCTCTCAGACTACAATTCTGCGTGAGCTCGATACGTCTGGACACTGATGAGAGGGCCCACGTTCTGCATGGACTAGAACGCTTGATCGCTCTACACGTAGTGCTCCCAGCCCGGGATAGCTTCTTCGAGCGTGGCGGTTCTGGCATTGACTACTCAGCTAGCGAGCCTGATTGGAGCCCCGTGCAACCTGTCTCCGATACCTTTAGGCCCCTCCTTTGTGCACCAGCGGACTCCAACCAGAGCACTGGTGACGGCGCCAGCACCCAGAAGAAAGCCCTGTGGAAGACCGCCGAGCTAATGCCAGAGTTCTTCGACATCGCGGCTCGCACAGTGCCTCGAGACACCTTCCGACGACAGAACCACGAGGGCCCTTGGCTGGAAACTCTTTTTGTCGCAGTTGCGGAGTTGGCGTTTTCCATCACAAAGTCTGAGAATACGACAGCATACCTTCCTGAATTTGTGGCCATTCTCGAACGACTGTTCCGCGTAATACTCGCTAGAAATGTTAAGCTTTCCCTCCAAACACTGCTCACTCATGCTGCGTATACTGGTCTCCTCAAGGAAGGTCTGTCGCAAGTGGAGTGGAGCCTAACTGCTTTACTTATCGAACTCGGCACCGACATCTTTTTACCTAATTCCGGGCTCCATGACTCTGAGAAGTTGCTGAAGGCTTTGCTCGAAAAGATTCTCCTGCACTGGCGCAGCGGCGTTCCTTATGCCGATGAAAGTTATAGGACGATCAAGAATGGCATCGTGATACCTCTCCTGCGCGGGTTCGTTGGCGCACGAGACTTGCCCAATTTCATGCAGTTATGGTACGAGCAGCTAATCGAGGTTGAAGAAGCTCGGTCGCAAGGCAAAGACTTGACGCAGTTCATTGTCTGGGAGGACGATGATGTGTGCAATGAGTTTAGTGAGATGATGCGAAACCCCCTGACATATGCGCACTCCGCTGCTCAGATGCGCGCTGCGGCAGTGGAGATAAGAGGAGAAGATGGCAAAATCAAAAATAGCCCCGGCGCTTATGCTCAGATTGTGATATTGGAGTCTGGTTTCAGAAGCCGTGACCTCAGCTTTGAGGACAGGAACGAGGACCTGACGTCCATCATTCAAACTGCTACATCAACATTGTCTTCTGAGCAGAAACTGCACTGGCGGTGGCGGCTGTGGCGTCTCGCTCGCAGTCTTCTGGAGAATAATGTACAGTCTACCGACAATGAACTGGGTGCGGCGATTATTAAACTTGTTGCTACTGCCGCGGAGTCGATACAGCGCGTTCATTCGGGACGCATGAAGAAGCTTTGTGCGCCTCTGGAATGCTTTGAGGCGTTTCAGTTTGCTCTTACGGCTATCAAAGCCACAGCAAACCCTGAACAATTTAGCTTGTTGACGAGCGAAGTCACAACTCTCATCAAGTCTATCTCCGGCAAAGATGCTGCTAAATTCATCAAGTCCCCATGGGATGGACGGGTTGAGACCCTCACGTCGCCCACAACACTTGCGCTGGCCTACTTCCTCAGCCTGGTCAGAAATCCAGATATATGGCCGCAAGTGAACTCCGAAACCAGGCGCTCTCTCTTTGCGCATGTTTTATCTTTGGCGACTTCGCAGTATAAGCCATCGCCGTCTACTCTTGAAACCGTTAGTGCCGATTCAAAATACCTTCAAGCTTGGGCAAGCCTTGTTTGTCATGAGTACCTCCTCAACGCCCCGGCGATTGCTGTCGATCTCATTGCAGTCCTGTCTGATCGCATCAAAGAAGACGGTTCCAATCGCAAACTCTACATTGAAAGTCTACAGAGAATTCCGGCCCCACTTGTCACACGTCGTCAAAGAGCGGTCCTGCTAGATTTGTTGCAGGAAGTGATAACCCAAGAAGATAACACCCCTGAGGTCACTGTAGGGATGCTGTCACTGATGGCGAAATTGGCTGAAATGCCTAAGTCTACGGCGGCGCTGACAAGCAACTGGGAGCCACTCTGGACAGTTGCCAAGGCTGTCTCTCTGCAGGGAAGCGATATTGACCTCCAGATCATGAAGGCTTTCCGGAATCTTCACCGAGCCGTTATTGCTAAGCTACTTGTTCTTTCCGAGGAAGAACGCCAGCGCTTGTTCAAGAAGATGTACCGTAAAGTCTCGGCCAAGGCACTGAAGTTGCAGTCCCTGAACCGTGATTCTATGGACTGCTTCTATCTAAGAATCTCGCTGTTCCAGCTATGGCATAACCGACAGGTACTTGAGGGTGTGTTTGACGAATCCGAGCTGGCTGCCTGTCGTAAGAAAGTGTTCGGCTTGGTGGTTGCGGAGGTCAAGTCCGTCAAGACTCAGTGCAAGAAGCAGCAACTGGAAGACACCATCACACTGATCAAGATCCTGGATGCGCTGGAGGACTTTGAAGACCTTGCTATGGATCATGCCGAAGTCGAAAAGTTCCTGTCCAAGATTGAGAGCTATGTTGAGAAGTCGGTTGACTCAGCTTCTTCCTTGCGAAGACTAATTCGGAGACGTGTCCTGGCCGGACGAGGATACGAGAAGAACATCACGCAACCTGTCATTCAGTGTGCAGAATCTCTTCCTCTGCAACATATGTACAGCGAGGAGCAGCGAATTTTTATTCGATCCACCAGTGCAAGGTTCCGCACCATGACTGTGGACGAGTTGACCCGAGTGATCCAAGATATTCGCGGAATGGGCTTTGTTGGGGAAAATGCCGAGTATCACTTGCTCATAGCAGGCTTGGCTATTGCGTCTCTACCCTCGGTCGAAGACAAGGAAAGTCAAACCGGCAAAGAATTGGGCTTGGTTTTCTCCGCCGCCACCGATTCCTTACTTCGCAACAACTCCATCGAACCGTTCACCTTCGCTACGGAGTGTCTCGATATCATACTGCGCAACCACACCCGTTGCGTTACGCAGTTCAACATCGATAATCTGTTGGGCACGACTGCTGTGTGTACCTCAAAATCTGGTCCCTGCATTGACCCTGCATATGCCGGAACTGTCTACATCCGCCTCTGTCGCTTGATGGGTCTCCTACTTGGCCTTCACCGGCAGAAACTCGGAGGTCGCTTCCATCTTATCAATCCCGTTATCGCGGGCTTGCTGGACTGTCTCTTTGCTCGTTCCAAAAAGCGCAGTCGATCCATGTTGCACGAGAAAAAATCAGGCCAGCAGCCCTACTGGCTGGCCCCGTTGCAGCCATCGCACGCTGTGCACTTTACTCGTCTTTTGACCTCTCTCTGCGACCCGACGGTGTCAGCCGTGTCGAGGCCGACGCAGTCCGGCGCGGGCTACGAAGGGTTGACCGACCAGACTAAGAAGGCCAAACGCATTGCTGGGCAGTACCTGCAGTACTTGATCCAAGATTATACTCAAAGCGCTCTTCGTGGGTCTCTGTCGCCCGACGTGAAGGCGGCTATCATCCCAGGTCTGTATGCGGTGCTGGATGTGATGTCGCGCGATACGATGCGCGCGCTGAATGCGGGCTTGGATGTATCCGGACGGGCGGTTTTCAAGGCCCTGTATGATGATTATGTCAAGTTTGGCAAGTGGAATAAGGGTTAGGTGCATGGTTTGTACGATGGTGGTTCTGTCGGTGGATCATGACATGGGGGGTTTTCCTCTAACCGTGTGTCTGTCTGTGCGTGTATTTATTATCTTGCATTGTCCCGGGGTTTCGGTTGAGTGGGTTGTTTTGAGGCATCATAGAAGGCATGTACTGTACTTTGCAATTATTTACAAAACAGCGAGCTTGTACCTACACGCTACATGCAGTATTTGCTCTAGGCTAGTAGGATCGCCGATGTAGGCAGGCGACCCGATGAGTAAGCCGTTAACAGCCATCGGGACAGCGACATCGGGATTCTTGTCACCTCTTGTCACTTTATCCTCCGCTGCCTAGACCAGAATCATCGGGGAGTCACTTGTCCCCCCAGCGCGGAATCCAGCACGAATAGCATGGACATGGGCTGATTGATCGCTTCAGTTATATCGGCAGGGGGGAAATCTTTTACTCGATCTCATCGAGTCAACGGGGTCCGGTGGTGATTAGATACTAAGAGATACGCCCCACCGCTAGACCTTAACTGTCTCCCTTTTTGCGGAGAAACCAGTGGAGAGCGATTAATCTCACTCCACTATCGCTGAATAGCTGATAACGCTTGCTGGCCAAGAATTTGCTTACTCGGCCGAATCGAGCAACGGAGAATGAGATGGATCTATTTTGATAAATAATATTATAATCGTCAGTGGCAGGCACAGGTGGTGGTGCCTCAGCGCGCGCTCGGTGCTCCCGTGCTCCGATCCATGGTGGGCGATAAGAAAAATCCATGGATGATCTTCGAGCCCATCTGACCAATTCTCGAACCCTTATCTTGCGTCAGGGGCATATGCCAAATTGCCAATGGTCCTTTTTGAGGGGTTGTCATGATGGCGTACGGGGAAACAGCCACTATCAGTGGCCCAGTTGGCTGAGCTGATTGGCTCGCCGAGAGAATCAATGACGAGAGCGATGATACGGTACGTTCCGACTTCATGGATCCATCCAACTTCAAGTAAGTTTATTTGAGATTGGAGATTGGAGATTGGAGATTTGAGATACTTATCCTACACAGCGCTGCCATGGCGTGGTCACTTAATTCACTTCCTTATTATCTCTTATATCTTCACGTCTCCCTGCCTTCCTCAACAGGCAGGTCGACTCTGTCCATTCCACCGTTCATCCATCTATCCATCATCTACTTCCATCCCTCCAGATTCGGAAGGCTCTGGTTAACTCAGCTTCCCCCCCCCCCCCCGCCCCGGCCTCCTTCTACCTCCCGCGCCAACTTGTATATACCTGCCTGGCATTGTGAGCCTTTACAGAGATACTTCATCTCTCGACTAGGCTGGCCTAGTATCTGTTCCTTACCGACTCTTCTTCAATCACGTTCCTTTTTCTATCTACCAGCCTGGAAATGACTCGACTGCAAGAATGGTTGAAGAAACTCGAGGTATCGGCAGAGCCTGGGCTGTCCAACACTCAATTGATGTTGATGAACCGTGATTTACAACCTGGTGAGTTGGTGGACTGGCCGGACCCCCCGTGGCCAATCTCTACCTTCTCCTGCGCGCGGACTGACCATGTCGGCCTTGAATCTTGACAGTCGAATATGAACGTCGTCAATGGAGATGGTTCAACTTCATCGCTTTTTGGATAGCAGATTCCCTCAACATCGTGAGTACCACAGCGAGCAGCATACGCTGCAATCTCAGCTTGCCTTTCTCGCGGCTAACAAGGTCGGCTGATCAAATAGAATACTTGGATGATCTCCTCGTCTATGATTGTTGATGGGTTGTCCTGGTGGCAGTCATGGATATGCGTTTGGGTGGGGTACTTCATCGCCGCATGTTTTGTATGCTTGACGGGTCGCATCGGGGCCGTCTACCACATTTCGTTCCCCGTCGCCTGCCGCTCGAGCTTTGGCATCTGGGGGTCTTTCTGGCCCGTCTTCAACCGAGCTGCTATGGCTGTCGTGTGGTACGGTGTCCAAGGCTATATTGGAGGTAAGAAGACTTGGCGCCGTTGCTACGCGGACCCGCCGCGCTGGCTTGATCGGAGTATATCTGATGTGCGACAGGCGAGTGTGTGACCCTGATGATTCGATCCATTTGGCCCAGCTACAACAATCTACCTAACGGTATCCCTGCAAGTGCCGGCGTCGACACCAAGAACTTTCTGAGTTTTTTCCTTTTCTGGCTTCTATCTTTGCCTGCCCTTTGGTTCCCCGTGCATAAAATTCGCCATCTCTTCACCGTCAAGGCCATCTACTCGCCTATCGCTGCTATTGCCTTCTTTGCCTGGGCGATTTCCCGCGCCAACGGGATTGGTCCGATTGTCCATCAACCCGCCACGGTACATGGCAGCGTGTTAGCCTGGGCTGTCGTGAAGTCTATCATGAGCTGTCTGAGCAACTTTGCCACTTTGATAGTGAACGATCCAGATTTCTCTCGGTTCTCACGGACACCGAAGGATGCGTTATGGTCTCAACTGCTTACCATCCCGATCGGTTTCGGAATTACCTCCTTCATCGGCATTATCGTCTCGTCATCTTCGGCGGTCATCTTTGGCGGTGGCTTTGTGTGGAACCCTTTGGACTTACTGGGAAAGTTCTTGGACGGGGCCAGCTCCGCTGAGCGTTTCGGTGTCTTTATCATCTCAACTGGATTTGCTCTGGCACAATTGGGGACCAATATTTCTGCCAACTCGGTCTCGGCAGGAACTGATATGACCGCCCTGCTTCCTCGCTACATCAACATCCGCCGAGGCAGCTACATCTGCGCTGCAATTGGCTTGGCGATGTGCCCAGTATGACCACCCTTGCTTGAACCTGAAAGGAGAATCTCACTAACAGAGCCCAGTGGAAACTTCAATCGTCCTCTAACCAATTTACCACATATCTCTCCGCATATTCAGTCTTCCTCTCGTCTATCGCGGGTCCCATCTTGTGCGACTATTACATTGTTCGCAAGGGCTATTTGCAATTGAAGGACTTGTACAACGCGGGTCGAAACTCGCCGTATTATCATATGTGTGGATTCTCCTGGCACGCGTACGCCTCCTATATCGCCGGTATCCTTGTCAATATCGTGGGATTTGCCGGGGCTGTGGGCCGTGAGGTGCCTGTCGGCGCGCAATATCTTTACAACATTAACTACTTCTCCGGGTTCGTCGTGTCGAGCGTTATGTACTATGCGCTGACGCGCTTCTTCCCGATCCCTGCCACCAGTGAGAAATGGCATGAGGTCAAGGTGGAGGGCGTCCTCTCGATTGCGGAAGGTGAGGAGGTCTATCCCGATGAGGATACCACTGCAGCGAAGCAGTCAGACTTTTCATCGACTGGTGACCAGAAGCAACCGAAGTCTCGGGCGTCCTCGGTTGTATGATTATGAGACACGACCTTCTCTCTTTGCTGATAGTGCATTAACTTTGTTGCCTAATGACCAAACTGTTTATGTATTCTGATACATGCTAGCGCAGAATGACATAACTATGACTCGACATCCTGCCAGGATGTCCTTCCAATTCTATCGAGTAGAACAAGGTTGCTTGGTTTACCTATGACACGATTGAACTAGTTACCCCGAGGCCGCCCTGGAGAATGAGAATCCCTCATAGGCAGGTGGGGCATCCCCGCGCTTACTCCGCGGGGTCTTCTTTGTGCTGCTAATTGACTATACTATAAGTTTACGAGTAATATAATCTCTAAGTTTAAGAAAACTATTAGTATTTTAATACCTGATATAACTTTTTAAATATATATTTATAAGTTATCTTAAGAATCTAATACTAATAATAATATTAATAAACTTTAACTTTTACAAATCTGAAAAGAGTAATAGAGAAAAATTAAAGAAGAAAATTTACTATAGATATTATAATAAAAAAAATTACTAATATAATAAAAAGTCTACTAAAAGTAAAACTAATAATTAGATAGATTGTATTATAAAGAAAATAAATAATCTCCAGCTCTAACATAATCGGTAAGCGAGTAGCACGTGTAAGCCAGTGGTGTGCTGTATTTCCCATACAAAATAGTAATTTTTAATCCCTTATATCTCGACTAATTCTGGATATTATTCTATATAATCTTATATACAGTTTTATATAGTTATAAATTAGTACTTATATCAGGAATTTCTAATTTAAAGCTTAATAAGACTTAATACAGAAAAATATAATATATTTTTTGTATATTATTCTTTTTCTAGAATAACTTCTTTTTAAAAAGATATAGATATTTCTAAATAAGATTTATAAAGAATTAATATATTTATTTCTATAATATATTTATTTAAAATTTTTAAGTATTCTTGTTGTTGAATTATATAAGTTCAAAATATCTAGATTTAATACTAAATACAGCTCTGC